TTCTCCTGACATGTATCCCATACAAAGGCAATTACAAGAAGCCCAATCAACTTACCGAATCATGACATGTACCTTATAGCGCAATTACAAGTAATTGGAAATGAGCACAGTGTTCCCTTAATGGCGAACAAATAGGAGGAAATGTCTGGTGCCAGTAGCCACCGGTACAAGGCAAGAGTTTTGTTATTTGGGCCGATCAGATCCATTCTCAATCCCGGCTCGTCAGAGGCTGTCGAGGGATCCAATCGTCGGTCTCCAGAGTCAATTCTTGCTCGTGGGTGATGGTCGAGGGATGTAAACTGTGGGAGGCTATCGAGAGATCCAAACAAAAAAAGACCGTGGGGAATCAATACTTGCTCGTAGAGGCTGCCGAGTGTTCCAAATCAAGCGTCGGTCCCCAAAGTCAATCCTCGTTCATGGGAGGTGCATCCAAACAGGAAAGACATGTTGCGAAAGGTTAGTGTGATTCAACCACGTCGTCCAAAGAAAGTGAGAAACGGCCCTACAACTCAAGTTCCAAGTACTCACTTGGTCAAGCTCACAAGTGCTTCTATATGACCAATACGTATTGGCTAGTCCTTCATAGGCCACCCATTTATACGCATAATTCAAATCGTACAGCTTGACCGTGAATCCATTGATACGAGTTGCAAGTGATTCAAATATACCACTGCTACCTCGCTACAATCGCTACTCACTCAGCTGGGCAATCATGCAGAAAGCATGACTATGAATTGCTAATGGAAATGCGGTCAACAGTTGATTGAATTAATGCGATGAAATCTCCATCTTGGAGGCGAGAAGTGAACTAGCTCTGTAAGAGTGGTGGTTTCAAACCAAAAAAGAAGATGCACAATGTTGGTGAGCGCCATCACAATGCTTCTTGTATCTGCACCTTGTTCATGCTGCAACAATGGTTATAGCTGATGTCTATTCATTTATGCGGATTCGTTCTTTACAGGAATGGAGTCCTGTTCAGCATCTATATTCTCGAAAAGGAATACGATCGATCCCACACTCGGCTGCTCAGTACACAAGAAGGAATCAATACCATTGAGTAGGCTTTGATGGGGGTGCATGAGGCGGAGGAGTTGGACAGCTCAGAAGGCATCAGGTATTGTAATTTATCTACATTGCGCGAGCCACTTCTACGTGAAATTTCAGACTCTCTCAATCGGCACGATTGATTTTGAAGAACGCCGCAACGCTGAATTGGCTCAAGTTCAACGTCTCGAGGACGCCAATTACTCTAATTGTAGTCAAGTGGTGGGATGGTTAAAGTGCTCTTTTAGGTGCAGCCTGTGGGTAATTTGAAAACGATCCAACAAAGAGTCATCGTCTCGCCCTCCCGTCTATAGGGTATGCAGGTCGCTCTTGTGGTTCAAGTCAACCTTTCTGACTCTAGATTTTTTTAGAGACTGCCGAGTGTTTCAAAGGAAATGATAAAGTGCAAATGGTGAGGTCTACGGGATTCGAGGAGCCGAAGCGTACTTGTCTTCGCGACAGAGTCTTCTGCTCCAAGTATCGCCGTTCGTGTATTTCTTTGAATCCAGCGGCAAAAGAGACGCTGTCGAGACGCTATCGGTGAGGAGGTCCATGTGATTTTGGGGAATGTAACGGGTTTAGGGTTGGGTTAGCGTTCGAGTTTAGCGTTTGAGATTAGGCTTTAGGGTTAGGGTTAGCGTTCAGGTTGGGATTCGGTTTAGGGTTTGGGGCAGGGCAATGAATCGCTAATGCTCGTCTGCTAACGCTGGTCATGGATCTATGGCTAGAGCGAGAGCATTAACCTCTTGCCTCTAGTCTAGTCTGGCACGGAGGCTGTCGAGTCTTTCAGTAGTTGACCGTTGAGTGAGGCCTACAAAGGCAAAGTACGCACTGCTTCATGAGGCCCATGTGATGCCAGCCCACTTTGTAAACAAAAAAGGAATGAGTTCTGCGTGAGGTCCTTCCAAACAAAAAGTGCAAACAGTTAATCGGGCCTACGTGATTCAAGCATGTAGAATTCCAAACAAAAGCAATGGTGAGTGACGACAACAAAGCAAGTGATCAAAGCCAAATGAGTTTGGATTCCCAGATCCCCCACATTTTGGAACAATTGACGATATTTATCTGGACTGTTTGGGGATCGATAAAGGATGGCTCGGGAATGGAACTGATTGGGAAAAGCCAGGGGGTCCAAGCTGTCCCCCCCGTAGCTAGTCACCTGTAAACGACACCAATCGTTCCCAAATGCCACACTAATATACCTGCCTTTACCAGATTGTCTTTCCCGATCGGTCCCACCCCAAATGTCGCGCACTATCCGCCTTTACCAGATAGGGTTAGCGCCAATCTTGAACCGATCATGCAATAGGTCATTGATCACCCAAGTGAGCTATTTGCAAAAACAACACACTGTGGATAGCGATGCCTACGATGTGACCTGGTTGCAAAAACAGCACATTGTGGGTAGCCATGCCTACGATGTGCCCTGGTTGCAACTTGTTGGTAGCGATGCTGATGCGATTGAATACAGGGTAACTGGGGACTCTGTATCCCCCCTGTTCCAATCTGCAACTCCTACCGGACCTATTCACCAGACAAGGATGAGAACTGATTCGATTTCAGTTATACTTTTATAGCATAATGCATTGTTTGTATTCTCCAGGTCTCGTTGCGTGCGTGAGTTCACCCATGTATGGCTAGTATTTTAGTCTGTCCACCCACTTGGTCATAATTCCACGCAAACTGCGTGCAGGTGGATATATCGATACGAGTTGGTACAACTCGGTATCGATGTATTCACCGTTGCGTGCGTTAACCAGGTGTCGATGGCCTTACCGTCATGGACCACAGGTCTATGCCGCCATGAATCACAATGGACTGTTCACCGTTCAACGGCGCGGCGTGCGTTAACCAGGTGTCGATGGCCTTACCGTCATGGACCACAGGTCTAAACAAAAGAGTTGGCAAGTTTGCGGCGTTCAACACCGCTGCCCCGCTCGAACGTGCAGATAGGTTGTTACGAGTTGCAGAGTAAATGAAACCAAAAAAAAAACGCTGCATCATGGATCGTAAATGAGGCCTATGTGATTCGAACACATAACCTTCTGATCTGGAGTCAGACGCGCTACCGTTGCGCCAAGGCCCCCATATATTCCCTACATTGTCATCCACTGCCACCGTTGTGCCAAGGCCCCGTATGAACTATCCTCAGCATGAACAACTCATCCCCTCACCAGCCGCTGCTACCGTTGTGCCAAGGCCCCCATATATTCCCTACATTGTCATCCACTGCCACCGTTGTGCCAAGGCCCCGTATGAACTATCCTCAGCATGAACAACTCGTCCCCTCACCAGCCGCTGCTACCGTTGCTCAGCTACCATTGCGCCAAGGCCTGGCGGCCTTGGCGCAACTGTAGCTTCTCTCTGAGATCCATGTATACACTCCCCTGCGGTGAGAGTACACCATGATATACAATTGAGAGCATTGTTGGGTCGATTGCGATTGGCTCAGCGCGCTAGAATGACTCTATTGGTGCCATCATACTGTCCCAGTGGTACAGAACGTCTCTGGGGACATTGCGTCGAGAGAGCTCCAATACAGATCGCAGGATCAGAACCCGGTGCACATCACAGGATGATAACCCAGCGTTTGCTCCGAGCTGTACTACGAAAACCTCACCATTTGGCGATAATACAGATCGCAGGATCAGAACCCGGTGCACATCACAGGATGATAACCCAGCGTTTGACCTCCAATTTGCGGGCGCAAAAGACTGCTAACCAGAAAAGTAATACAATAAGCTAGTAGCCAGGCGCGAGGGCTTTTTAGAGCCGTTCTGGTTTCCTTGACAAGTTAAGAACTCGCCGAGTTATCCAAGTTTCCGTCCCATGTCAACCATTTCACTCATGAATCCATGACACGTTCGATGAAATTTCCGAGTGGCGGCCACACCAATTTGTATTGGCAGTGAGCGTGCGCAAATGCATCATATTCCATCTTGCATCTAAGCGTTAAGTTGGAATCTCTTGCCATTGTCTGGTCTTGAACAGCAGGGTTTTAATCTCCTCAGTTGCCTGTTCCCTACCATCATGGTTGGTCGCCAAAATGCGTAATTTCTGAGTCTAGAGTACGGAGACAGCGTAGAATGACATGGTCCACCTGCAAAGAGTACCCAAAGCAATTCTATGACATTAAATCTGGTGTACAGTAAAGATGGGAAATCTACCGTCCATGGAATATGCCATCTTATTTGTAACAACTGTGAATGAACGCAATCGTACCAATTGAGTAACGCACATATCTATAACAAGAGTATCAATTAAAATTGCAATCCGTATGGGAAACCAACACAATTCCGGCATAAATGCGACCAATGGTAAAAAAGTCCTTTCTACATTTTGGAATCAAGTAAAATAAGTAATGTTGCTTGGTTCGCACCCTGGTACCGATAGCAATTCATCATTCACATGCAATTGCACATGGCTGGAATAGTGCTATGCTTCACCAACAACTTTGAATCGGCCATGACATTCCCGTAAACTGAACAAGTGCAACTGTACACGAGAACGTTGTCTAATCTCTCGCCTGACCAATTATGCTTTTGCTTGAGTTAGCTGTGACAGACAAATTTCACGTTTTTGGCCCAAAGCAATCCCCGTACATTGAACAAGCACAACTGCACAGGAGAAACTGTTTAATCTCTCCTTGAAAAGTCTACATTCGCCAGTATGGGCGGATCCGGGATTGAAGCCCCCTGGTATTCGCTCGCTTAGGTCACTCGATGACCTCAATTGCCAATTGACATGCTTACTGTCCTCGCTCAGATACAAGTCGTCGTCCTGGTCTATGTCAGCTCCACTCGACCCGACATGCTAATACTAATTTATGAGGCAAACCCTCAAAATGCTCCGATGATTGATCCCCTTAATATACGCCGGCAAACTTGCTCAAATTTCCTGTTCATGTGAGATGTGCACAAAAAAATATGGGGTACAGCACGAAATGAGGAAAGGGCTCGTAAACAGGAATGGGATGATGATAGCGGTCGAGGAATGCAGCCATGAACAGACATGGGCTATGTGAGAACGAAAATGCAGCGGGATCCGCGGCTGGAATACAGCCCTCATGCTGGCCAATCATCCAGCCATCGTTCAATGATTCAAACCGCTCTCCAGAGACAATGATCCAGGCCACCCACTTTCTTCTTCGTCATTTTGAATACTTACCAAAGTACGCATTTTTAAACCACTGGAAACCGTAGAGTGCAAAGATTTGTGAAAGCCATTCAGACCAGAAAGAGTTTACAGGAAACCAGAGCACCCGCACTGATACCTTTTCTATTGTCATTGACTCGAGCGGGGGACGGCTCAAACAAGATGAATTCAACGAACATTCCAGACTGTTATGCAAAATGCATGTGATACCCGGATATCCCGCGAAACCACACAACCTGGTCTCACACAAGGTATATACTCCTCGCCAGAGTACGAAGCCCGAGATCTTTGAGAACCGGTAAGGATTGAGCCGCAAAAGTCTCGTTCAGCTCAATCAGATCTACTCTCACCGGAGCCCAACAATGTCTGAAAGCGTCCCGTTGCCTAGGTGCACCGTCGCTGTTGGGCAGGTTACTCTTGGATGTCTTTATACATCCGGTTGCGTGTAAAATCGCGGCGCCAGTCAGTCGATATGCGATCTGTTGGGCATTCCCATCCCAGAATGGATAACGTTTTTAACAGCGTTTGGAACTGCCACAGAATCCTTTCTCGAATCCGCTCATTGGAGTTGTTTTGGGATTCACAGTCTACTATTCAGTAATGCCTCACCGAACGCAGAAGCCCCTCCCGTCGGCGCTTGAGAGAACAAGACTAGGATCAATGAGAATTGAACTTGTACTCTCGCCTGACACTTAACCCTATCCACTATAATAATACTGAAAGGAAGGGTGTTCTCAGCGGCAGCAGCTATGGTGGCTTTTGTGATACTATCCAGACTTTCGCGGATAGCGAGAGGTATACCTCGGAAAGTATACCCAAGAAAACATAGTTCTCTTCCGGGGCCAAGTAATTGCATGTGTCCCCCGATTAGAGACGTAGCGAGACAAAAACAGTTTCGGCAATAGGACCGATATACCCAGTGTGCGTTTAGGCGGATTTTCATAGACTCGATAGATGACAATTTAATCAATAGGAACACTTGACGATTCCGAAACCCACTGCGGAAGCTATGCTGGTTTATGGGCATCATCAAAAGTTCTTCAGTACACCTGTAAAAGAATACAGTAAAGTATCGCTACCAAGGCCAAGTAGTAAAGTTATCAAATTTACCACCGCCATAAGTACTTACAGTGAATGCCAAATGGGCATCCCTTTCATGAAACCATTATCCCTGCATTTCTTGATAGCAGCAGGTCAACTCAACTTGCATATGTGTCATGCTTTGGCTTTAGCGTTCCTGCCAAGATGGGAATATGAGTAGTATGCACAAGTCAAGCGGGGAAGGTCTATTCTTGTTACCATTGACCCATCTGCCTTATGCTAAAGTAAGGATATTGATACTTACCGTTAGTTGACAGTTAGTATTGGTAAGCCTCTTGTAAAATTACTTGAACTAATTATTCTGGGTGTAACTGATAAAGTTATGGGAATCAAACGAATTCGTACCATCAAGTAAGAACAAGATCAGGAATGGTAACTTCACGTTGAGCATGTGGAGCAGGGATCCAAGGACTCTCAGGTCGATCTGCATTTGGACCAAAGGTAATGACATGATACTGTAAGTTATGTGCCTCACGTAGGATCTACAAGCCCAACATTCTTGGTCTAGAGCAAACCTTCTTTGGTATGTTCGACAAACATTGCTGAATTACTACAGTCAGGTACATCATATAGTGACGAAACACATTTTTCCTGTCCATAAGCCTCATGGTACAATGTTAAGCCTGCCATAAAGCTTCATGATCGCACCACATGTAGGCACACGTCAGTATGCGAGCTTGCGCATAACCAATGTGGCCTGCCCAGCAAAGGTGCATAGAGTCCGGCTTCTTCTGATTACCAAGAACAAGCTGGATTCGAAAAGTACGAGTGATGGAACATATCAACAGGTACTGTTCAAAATTCTCCACGTAATGAGGGTCCTGGTCGACCGCAATGAGACGTAAAAGGAATAAAAGTTAAGCATTCGTGATGAATGTGAGCTGATAATTATACCCTTTAGGTGATTGATCTTCTCGACAACAGTGAGAAGGAGATGAGCGCAAACGGGTCGCCTTGCCAGGGATGTAAGTACGTTCTACGAATCAACGTCGATTGGTCCTACTCTCAAGGGACTAGAACGTCATCGTCTTCTCGAGAGAAGAGCTTACGTTGCATGCCAACCCCAAACGCGCAGTCGCCCTCGGTTATAAAAAGACACCCTTCCCTCGGCCCCCCGCTCTTGAAGTAAGTGGTTGAGATGGACTGTGGGCTGCGATGGCGCGGGGCAGCTGCTATATGCCCCATGATGCCTTCGGGCGGAGGGAGGGCCTGAGTGGGTGGTTGCATGGACTGCAGATCGCGCTGGCTGGGGCGGCTGCTATACCCAATATGTCTTCGGGCTGAGGGAGGACCTGGCTGAGATGGACTGTAGCTGCGTTGGCACTGGTCATAAACCAAATGTGACAAAAGGATGAAAAGAAAAGATATCATGACTGACGTTACGAATATGACAAAAGGAAAGACAAACATCTGGATACTACTGCGATTGCATTCACTACGCAGAAAATGGACGAGGGAGAGACTGTCTTCCGCAGCAAACAGAACTGCAGACTTGCCGAATATCAACCCGTCCCCCATCCATGCTCGGCATTTAGTATACGTTGTCCCCACGAGTGGCATCATTGAATATTCATTTATAGAGCAGGTACAGTGAGAAACTGCAATGAATAGCGGTGTCCATCCGAAAGCGACCCATATACCCGCCGCGAGGTGCATTGAACGGGATTGTTGACAGCGGGCACCATGATGTCTTGAGGGCATTTAACGTACATCATGAGCCCCAATGCCAAACCCAACTCCAAGCGACGTTCGATGCTAGGTGGCTGCAGCACAGGAATTGAATTATGCCAATAAATCCTGCTAATGCAAGTGACCCGAATAGCAAAGTGGGCCACAACCATAATTTTACTTTGGTGTTATCTACTCCCCGACCAGACTTCATCCTGAACCCAAATGACGGGTGTAAAAAACAAGGTCTACTCTTCCAAAGTATAACCGCAGAGTCCGGACCGGAAAAACGATGGACTGCCTACCATAGCCGTCCGCTTCGTTCATCCATTCAATGTGTGCGAGGCGATATCGTGGGTGGAGCAAGCGACAAATTTGAAATATTTCTTGGAAGCTATGACAGTGCCGTAGCCACAACGTTGTACCCAGGTTCAGAAACGAGGAGCCATTTGGAACCACGGAAGTTGGACAAAGTCATTTTCGCCATACAGATCTTAACCAGATTCAGCCGTCTCTTTCAGTAAGTGATCAAACACGCACCATATACCCCATTCTTGAAGTAAAAGTAATTTTGTTAACGATAGAGGAGAAAGTTGCTATGTATGATGACCGGCAAAGGACAGGATGAAAAACATGTTCATGCAATTTATGTACAAGTGTTCGTTACAATAAAAAAGGTCTATCTATGCACAAAGTTTGAGCAGGAAGCAAACAACTCTTTCTGGCCAACTTGGTATGGCATATGAGAGAACATCAACCATCATATACTAGGAAATCTGAACGACGGTAATAGCGCTCAGCAAGCGCCTTGCCGGCTCCGGTAGGCTGCGAAAAAGCAATGGAGCCTTTGTCCAACACACATCCAAAAAGAAATTTCGCTCTGACGTATACACTATCTTTAGCTGGCCTCCATGTAAAAAACTATCGACAACGCTTGGAGCATACAGTACCTGACGGCATCCAGCAATTTTGATGCGATTCCTTTACGTCGCTCGCTCTTCAACACCCATATGCGACTGATGCCGCACAGTACCTCGACCGTCACATCACTGCAGTATCGTAAGTGTTAATGCAGCACACGGCAATGCAGTAGCAGGAAGGGAACGGTAACTGCACGTACCGTCTGACGGCAACACTACCATTCATTTGAATAGAGATCTCCTTTCCATCATCCCCAATTGTCTCGCTTGCAAGCATCACTCTGCAAGCGCTACTTACTGGTTCCGCTACCACGCATCCTTGTATACGCTTGCCTGCGGAGATATATAAGAATATCTATGAAAATTGATCAATCGGTGATCGACGTGGATTAGCAAAGCAGTCTCTAATCCTACTTTGCAACCGATAGGTACGTCCGTTGAGATTGAGCCCAATTCGTTGTTAACAAGTGAAACAATCGCCGCTGCCTAAGCGGTAGAATGTCTAGTTGCCCGCCTAAACTGGTATTCGCTAATATGACTGACCTTGCTTTTCAATTGCTTTGCAGAAGTATTGGTCACAACAATAATCTGGGACTTGTCGGCAAACTCGCATGCCACTGTTTCTGATTTGTAGCCCTACGGTCGAGAACATATATCCAATCAGTATGGGGAACCTGTCGCTAGCATTCCCACAAAACGGCGTTTACCGGCCATTCAACACCATTAACGACAGCTCGATGATATTTCTGATGTAGAGCATCGTCTTCCGCCTTCGCTTTAGAAAAGGCCATACCGCAATCCGGACAAGTCACTAATCCCGTATCCTTTTGTCCCAGATCTAGGAACAGTTGTTCATACTTTATGATCGGGGGCTTGGTGCTTAAAAATTTGGAAGGTCCTCCTTTTCGCTGTTGTGTGTTATTCTTCTCTGTTATGGGGAGCTTGGGTTTTGCTCCACTTGCTGGATCTGGTTGAGAAAGATATTGTCGATTTTCGTCCTCCTTGACGGCTGTGCCCTTTTCTCGCGCCAATGAAGGGCCCAATCGTGCAGGAGATGAATGTTCCTGCCTTTGTGGCGCGGGAAAGTAGCTCGTTATGGGTTTACAGCCTTGCAATCGAGCCTTCTTGTTGCTGCAGCAATCATATCAGCATGATTTTTTTACCACATATTTGGCCTCGTAGATCTCACCGTGCGCCATCCTTTTCTTCAGCGTGTAACGGAGGTATTTTACCATCAGAGGCATCTCCAGTCGCCTCCTCTGATGGTTCCGTCACATTGTCCAAGCAATGCAAAACTGTTTCCGGTGTCGGTGCTGCTGAGAGCTCTCGTTTAAGTCGACGGTCTGCATATGTAACTTTGACGTTGGCTCGTGGGCGACTGGACTCCGCAACAAGTATCTAATGAGTCCATAGTACCGTAGGTGGCAAACAAGCTGACTCTTCACCTGCAAACCGTTGGTTCCTCCTGGTCAAACAGCGTGGGTCCCGCGGCTCGGAACAGCGCCATGACGCCTTAGTTCCTGCGGTCAGGTAGAGAACCGTTTGGAAGTAGAGCTGGGGACAATTCATGTCCGAAGGCGTCGTCCGGATCGATGACTGTGCAATGCTTAATGACTGTGCCATTTCGTGACCCAACAATGTGCCCAGCATCTGGCCTGTCAAGCTTTTCAAGAACCTCCATTTCTCTCCACCTGGTCATTCGAGTCCTTCCGTACGCTGGGCGCCCGTCGCCATGGGCCAAGAGTCTTCACGCCTGCAGCCGGAAGAGCTGGAAGAGTTGCAGTCAATTTCGACCTGTATGAAATGTTCTTGTTGCATTCTGCCTGAATTGTCCAACTGACACACTAGACTCTGTTTGCATATAGTCTCGGAAGCGCAAATAAAAACACTCTATTCTCGCTTCAAGCACCTGGATAAGGATAATTCTGGTTCTATTTCTATAGAAGAAATGACTGCTATACCCGAATTGGCCATGAATCCGCTCTCCCGGAGGGTTGTCGCTGTTTTTGATTTGGACGGGAGAAATGAAGTCAACTTTCGGCAATTTGTCGCTGCCTTGTCCGTATTCTCAAAGCAAGCAAAGCGGGAACAAAAACTCAGCTGTATGTAACGTACATGAGCAATCAAGTGTGATTGGGAAGAAAACACAGGTACTCATTAGCCCATTATGCCCCCTTTAGTCGCATTCAAAGTATACGATGTCAACGGAGATGGTGTCATCGATTCGTCAGACCTCTATCATGTTCTTAAATTAATGGTTGGAACAAATCTTTCTGATGCCCAAATTCAGTCATTGGTGGACCAGACGATTCTAGAAGCGGATGTTTTGGATAAGGATGGTGCCATCTCGTTCAATGAATTCAAGCGTGCCATGTTTAACGCCGACCTTGAAAACGCATTGACGATGGAGATTTAGCACGGTGATACTCGCCTTTGGACTGGTTTGGTTGTTGATCAGGGCTATTGTGTGTACGCTTTGTAATTAGTTGGTTTTTCGTTACAGCTCTAGTATCATTTTTTCGCATTCATGTACAGATAATATATTGCTCAGGGATAAGCCCGTCTTGTCAAGTGGAGCCTCATCACCGTTCAAATGGTACTCCTAGAGCCTTGCACTGAGAGGTTGTATCACAAGAATTTCCAACATTGACCAACCCTTTGTAGCCACATGACAACTACATGAAAAGAGATTTAACGCCTGCGTTCCCTGCTCCGACTCCTGTCGCTGCCGCTACTGGTGCTTCTGCTGTCGGAGCTGGAACTTCGGACACTGCTCCCGCTCGAGCTACTCCTCCTACTGCGAGAACGACTCGAAGATTCTGAGGGACTGCGTCGGCGACTGGATCTAAGTGGGACGGAGTCACGACTACTGGATCGGGATCGTGTCCTCCTGCGACCTCGTTGCTCGTCAACTGACCGATTGCGGCGCACACGCTGATAGTCCCCACGGCTGCTGGACCTAGAGCGTTTTCGCTTTCGATCATATTCCTCCTCATCACGGCGGCGGGAGCGACCGTCCTCATGACGACTGGTAGATCTGGATCGAGGCCGTCTTCGCCTCCACTCTTCATCCTCGTCATCCCGCGCAGCACGACGCCTTCGTTCAACCTCCTCACGACTACTGGAACGGGACCTGGAAGCTCTCCGCTTCGTTTCATGATACTCGTCCCTCGCAAAGCTGCGTCGTCGCAGTTCACCATCCTCGCGACTTTTTGATCGAGAGCCGGCCCCCTTCCGTTCCCTTTCCTCATAATCACGCTCATCACGTCGGGTACGCCGGGGATCCTCGCGGCTGCCAGACCTGGAATATCGCCGTCGCCTATCACGGTCGTAGTCGTCATAACGATAACGTCGATTGCTCTCGTAGTGGTCAGAATCACGGCCATTTCCGCTTCCAGCGTGCTCTGTATCCCCTCTTCGTGTCATTTCCCTCTCTCTGTCCCTGGCCCGTTCTAGATCCCCGTCACGAGTCCTTCCTTGTCGCTTTCGTTCCTCTTCCGCCTGCTTCGCCGCCTTTTCCGCAAGTTTGGCCTCCTTCTTGCGTCGTTTCTCCAGCTCCTCCATCCGCTGCTTTCTTTCTTCTTCTTTGCGTTCTTTTTCCTGAAGTCGCTCCTGTTTAAGACGCTCCTGCAACCAAAGATTGTAAAGGGCCGTCAGCAGTGTCGTTCATGCGGTTTCTAAACAATCGGGTTTGGCTCACCTGAAGCTCCTTGTCAAAAGCGGCTCCAGATACAAAGTCGTCACCAATTCCAAAGGCACTTCTGGCCCTAGCGTTGGCCTTCTCCTTTGCCTCAGCCATCTGATGAACCTGGTATTCTTGTAATTTTTTTACATCTTTTTTCATTTTCTCCAGATTGTTAAGCAGTTCACTACGCAGGCTGCTGACACGAGCCTCCACATCCTCTTCAGATAGACCCTGCGTTTCGAGCTGATCCTGGAGCATCAAGCATTTGACTTCCACCTCCCTCTTCTTTTCATGATCAAGGATCTCCTGGTTGGGTTTTCGAATCTGAGGAGGTCGCTGTTCTTCAAAAGGGATATCGTGCTTCTTCTCTCGGGGGCGGAGAGATGAGAGGTTACGTTGAACGTAGCCATTTGTCCCAGAACCTCTGGCAGTGGAGAGACCTGTCCAGGGAGAATGCTTCAATATCGGTAGTCTATGCTGCGGCAAAAGAATATCCTACCAATCCCGTTGTACATGTTGGCAATCAGGAGGTTGATCCACAAACGATAGGTAGATCGTAAACACTCTGGCTGGACTGTTGCTCGTCTGAGGAAGCGATTTATCACCAAGCTATAAATTGAAAACCTCGTTGCGCATGGAGACACGTGCAATATGAGTCATCGATCGGAAGGACTTTGGAAACTGTCGCTTACTGGTGTTGGGGCAAACGATGCTTGGGCGACAGCGACGAGCAAATGTCTAACCTACAGGACACCTTTCAAACGAAGAAGTCATGGCTTCCGTGACCACTGCTTCACCTTCTCCTCCACCTCCTCCGCCTGTGTCTTCATCAAACCCTTCCTCGAAAGTTGCGCCCGCCAAGTCACCTGAAGTGTTAGATTCTTCTGATGCCGCGCGAATTGAAGGACCAACACCCGTGGTGGGGATTATGGCTGGAGTGGCAAAATCTTTGGCGACAAAATCTGCATTTGCGGCAACAGCCTTTGGAAAAGGCTTGTTAAAATGGTGGTTTCGAGTTCCAATAAAGCTTTTCCGACCGCATACAGTCAACCCTTGGATTGTTCTAAATCATATGGCGCGAACGCAGGGCCAGAAGGTTGGGGTTGGATATATGAGGACGGTGGTGGCAGAGGAAGGGTACAGTTTCTTGGGGAAGAATATCATACCTTTGCTGTTTGCAAATGCTGTTGCTGGTGCAGTATTGTTCAACGTCTACGCTACGACTATATCCGCACTTTCATCTTCGGAGCCATCATCTTCCTCTCTCTCCGCCGCATTGGCATTCGACCATCATTACCCATTCATTGCCGGAGCGTTGGCTGGAGCGTCCACGTCACTTGTAAGTACACCCCTTGACAACATCAAGGCCAATGTTTCGCCCGCTCAGCTTGTTGCACATCGTCACGAGGGCATGTTGAGATTCACTTATCGCACAGTTCGAGAGGCATTAAAAGACGAAAGGAGCATTTGGGCAAAGTGTAGACGTTTATATAAGGGGATTGGCTTCCTAGCGGCGAAAGATGCGTGCGGCTTCGGCTTCTTCTTCTTTTTCTTTGAGGGCTTTCGCAAATTTGGCAAAGGGATGGTAGCGGATATGTGGGCACTCAGAGATGGAGGCGAAGAACAAGACGGGGTTCCCAATGGTGAAGGACCGAAGCGTCGCCCCTTAACTCTTGTCTGTGCCAATGCAACTGCGGTCATCGCGGCGGGCGCCGCGGCAGGCAGCGCCTATCAAATGATTATATACCCTCTCGATAACATTCCCGCCGTAATCACCGCAAACAGAGTTTCTCAAGTGACAAAGAGCACCTTAGCGGCAGAAGCTGTAGCGGCCGCAGCTGCCCCGGTTTATGACGATCTAAGCTTTCACAACTCGAATCCCACAAATCTCGCTGCCCGCCAGCGATTTCAATGGAGAGAGGTTTGGGAAGTGTTAAGGACTCGAGGTGTCAAGCCGTTTTATGCTGGGATTGGTCCGCAGTTGGTGCGGGTGATGCCGCCAAGTGCCATTGGTCTGTTCGCCTACGAGGTTGCTAGCTCGCAATTCTGGGATAATGATGAGTCGTAGAGAACGTGATGTTAGACCTCAATTTATTGTATTATAGACAAGACAAAAATGTACAAGATTATATATTTACATTGCATCAGGATTGTGTATTTACTGCGTTGACTAAATTCACTCGACATGTAGGTCCTTTTGGGTAAGGATGGAGATCAGTAAGGTTCATGTCGCCTACTCCTCGCTGGTGCCTCATCGCGACGTCGCCTCACAAAATCTGGATTGAATTGCGAGTGATAATATGCTGAATCTTCAAAATGCCGGGTAGGTAACGCGGACCCGGGTTGCAACACCTCTTGAGCTTTCGCCCGCTCGACACGTTCGCGGGCTAGACGTTCCGCCCGCAGCTTCTCGATATTGGACGAGGACGAAGAGGAAGACTCTCGTGTCTTGGTCGCTCGTTTCCTCCTTTCACTGTGCGCCTGTCGCTCTCTCTCTCTCCTTTCCGATTTTGATACATATTTTGTCATAGCATTCAAAGGATCCTCTTTCGCCTTCCTCCGCTCATCTTTTGCTTTTCGAGCTTTCTCATCCTTGATGAGTCCAGCAGGTCCTTCTTGAGGTTTTTTATCACTCTTTAGATCCAATGTAGCGTACCAGGGGGTTTCTTTCTTTCCATCCTTTGTCTCTCCGAGGTACCAGGTGAATTTGTCAGCTTCCTTCTTCTCCTTTGCTCTCTTCTCTGCCTCATACTCTGGATTTTTTCCGCCCTTCCCTCTCGCTTCTCTCTCAGCCTCTTCAAACAGATTAACGTGGCCTATATGTCGCTCTTCAGTATCGGGCAGCGATAGAGCTGTGGATACTTCATTCGGTGCTACATCCAGCACCTCGGCGTGCGAAGACCCAATCCTCCCCCGAGATTTAGAGCGAAGGAGTGCCAAGCGTGCCTCTCTATCTGCTTGGAGTGCGCGCTCTTTCTTCTTCTCCTCCTCAATCCGAGCTGCTTCCTCATCTTTACGAACCCGCTCTTGGTTCACTTCATTGTAAACATGCCAGCTGGTAACGCAGAGATGTGAGAGAACGCAACTGACATTGGCGGTCACACTCATTGGCTCACCTTTTGTGTTGAAGGATATTTAACTTCCCCATACTGGGCGATTATATAGGGAAATGTTGATAGGTAATTGTGGAGACATTGAATAAAAGGTGACCACCAAAGGCCACTGGCTTACCACAGACAGCGCGCGTGTCAGGTGTATTTGAGCGGGACTTGAGCATGCCCAAGATCATTTGGACCTGGGGTTGAACAGGTAATTCAAATCTGCGAGCATGACTCCCCACAGAGGTGCTCAACTTTTCTCAGCCGAGGCCCAGAGTGAATGCTGTGCGTGCAGGGGCCTTGGGAAATGAGGAGGGCAGTTCCTGAACAATTCATACCAACTATTCACGTCCTCTTTATAGCGCATGTTCTGACAAGATGGCAGCGAGCAGCGGCGGGAAACCGTTGCCAAAGCAGAGCCTGGCGGATTCGGCAGTGATAAAGGAGATTGTCAAGCTTGACACCTTCAAGGTAATTAGCTTTGCAAACTTCAACAGAGGCGCACAAATCAGTATCTCACCTGTCCGCTTATTTGGATAGGGTAAATTCGTCCCTAAGGACTTTGTGGAATCTCTATCACAGAAGCTTGTAGTTCAGGCGCAGACAACTCCCAGGCGTAAGTTGTGTCGAGAGAATCTGCGAATGACAAGCTCGATTGATCACTCTTTGGGCATGCCGTAGAATTCGATCCGAGACCTTTTATTCGTAACTTTGAAGCTGCTATCGACGAGCTTTTGAGATTAAAACGGAAGGTCCATAACAAAATTGAGGATTTGGAAGATCAGGCGGCTGCATCAGATACCGCCCGAAGGAAGAAGCTTGCTGAAATCAACGATGCCATGCATGTGAGAAATAATGTCCAGCATTGCACTGTCGAGAACTGAGATCTCATTTTCTCGGCGCATGTAGGATGCCCAAGCTGCATTTGAGTCGTTAGAATCTCGCCTTGGCGAGGTCGGAAAGACCGCCATAAGGATTGGTACAAGCGCCCTTTTCGTTACCGCCGCCCTGAACTTGATTCTTGACATACGGTTGTCCCGTTAGGCGAGCAGCTGGAGACAATAGATAAACAAAGAGCACGCGCCGCGGAAGCAAAGGACTTGATACAGTACTTTATTGAATTCAATGCTGGGAATTCCACTCGACTGGATGACTTGAAAGCTGCCGGACATGAAGGCGAATACAAGGTCGGCTACTTCAAGCTTTAAAAGTTTTTGACATTGGTACTGACAGCACTCAGGCGGCCATTGTTGTACGGAGACTAACAGCGGTTGCGAAAGAAGTTGACATCGCTGGTGCTGAGGCGGTAAGGCGCATCTGGCGTATCCTGTCTCTGAAACAGGCGGCTCATTATTTCCGGGTTTGAAGGCTCGGACTAACATTGAAAGCTATTCCGAACAATTTGAAAAAGAACTTCTAGAAAGATTCGATGAAGCATACAGAGACGCGGATCGACATATAATGAATGTATGTAACACGTCAGTGTCCTTTCCCACTTTGCGAACAAACTAACGCATTCACTGATGTTTAGGAATGCGCCAAAACACTTGTTGAGTTCAATGGTGGAGAGTCGTGCATTCGCGCCTATGTCAACCAGCACGAATTCTTCATAAATCGCTCCAAGGTTGAGGAGACCGAAGAGACTGTAGATGCGGAGAGGTACGTCAACGCGCGTCTTATCGTCCTCTGAATGCATTCACTTACCATGTTTCCAGACAAGAGGATGATCCAACAAAAGCTGATCTTGGCCTTGTCCGATTATGTAACGAGATCCGACAAACCTGCGCCCAAGAATGGGAGGTCATCCGTGCTGTTTTCCCAAATGCACCGGTAGTCATGCAGCAATTCATACAGCGAATTTTTGCACAATCTGTAAGGTTTACATGAGTAATATATGGTGGTCCCGCTTGCTCATTACGGTCGACTGCAGATTCAAACGTATATCGAAAACATCCTTCGTCGCGCTGACGAGGATTCGCCCCGTTCCTATTTACGAGCCCTTTCCTCATCTCATGCTGTCATCTCTGGTTTGGTGAACGATCTGCACAAGTTGGATGAAAATTGCATAGCTGGAAAGGCCGGGAAACCGGTTTTGACTGCAATCATTAACCGATCATTCGATGACTTGTTCGTACCATACATTGAAGGAGGAAGATATATTGAAGCTGAAAAGGAATGTCTCAATGATCTCTTCAGCGAATCATTGAATGTGTTCCACGAATACGCGGTAAGGTTATCTGGCAACTTGATCAAGAGCTCCACATTCTAACATGCATCTGATGAAGGCGCAACGAGCCAAAACTCCCCGCGGCAAAGCCGTTACCAAGCCGTCCACAACGGCCGCGCCGCCTTCACCGACCAAAACTTCCCCGACTTCCGCTGAGGCGATGATGACCAAATTTGTGAGCACCATGAACGTTCTCGGCCAGGAGGTAGCGCAACAGATTGGGCTTCAAGCAGCGCCAGAACCACTGTCTCCAGAAGAGATGGGCCTTCCTTCGGTTCAGCTGATGCTAAAATTGCTTGATATGCATGTCGAGGCCATGGCACGATGTAAGGAACTTACGCCGCCAAGCGAACTGTGGGTAGTTGCGTCGCTTAATGATTGGGCATATCAAATGGTCTCATTCGATTTTATCTACGATAAATCCAGTGCAAGGAATGCAAGTATCGTCTTCACTCTTCTCATTGAGACAGTTGGTGTGAAGTATCTCGAAGTTGCACTGGATATGTAGGCTGACAAGTGCGTGCTTGGTGGCAGTGGTAAATACTAAACGGCAGTTCTCATTAGGATGATCGAAGATATTCAATTTGCGGATTCACGGCAGCAACCCGATTTCAAGCAAATGCCCATGGTGCATGTGGCTCAGCAGATCCTGCAGCTTCTCCAACTGCACTTTCAAAGCACAATAGTGAGTCATCATCATCTGTGACATTTGCTTTATGGTCCAAACTAACCACAGGTCAACAAAGGTGCCTATGATCGCACCATCTCCGACCACCCACCGCGATATGGTCCTGTACAAGAACGGATTCATGTCAGCAGTCGAACATAGATTGAACATATTGCTCCAGAAGCAAATTGATGGTAAGGAACACTAGTGATGTCATCATTCATGTGCTCCTTATCAATCCTCCGTCAATTAGCTGTCACCGCCTGGCTGTCGGTCCTCCTTGCGTCACAAAAGAAAACAGATTATAGACCAAAGGACGAAGCTGCCGGGAGCAGCAGCTTGGCTAGTCCTGTAAGTCAGCCGGCTTAACATGCATGGCAATTTTGTCGCTAATCCCCCAAAATTTGGTTTCATAACACAGACGTGTATTCAGTGTACAGACTTTTTAACGGTAGTCTATGATCAAGCGTCGCAATGTCTAGGCGGGGAAAATTTGGAAGCGTTCCTGACTGAGATTGGAGTGTCATTCCACAGGTTAGAATGCTCGGTCGTGCTTACGGTGCCGTTTGCGCACGCGACTAATGCCACACAAATGACAGCATGTTACTCGATCACTTCAAAAAGTTTGTAGTCAGCCAGGCAGGGGGTATGACCCTCTTAAAGTAAGCGCTTGCTGTCTGGTGTGTCGCGTTTTCTTATTGCATGCAAGTCGATGAACAAAACCTATCTGCAGAGATATTTCAAACTACCAGCAAACGATTTCTCTTTTCAAGATACCCATCCTACATGAGCGGTTTGATATGCTCAAGGAACTCGGAAACGTGTTTGTTGTGAAACCTGAGAATCTGAAGACAGTCATTAGGGAGGGGCACCTCAGTCGGATTGAGATAACGCTGCTCCATCCATTTCTTACGATGCGGGCGGATTGGAACAAACTCGGCAAATTTGAGAAGGATTTGTTCCAAAGCGGAGCTCAAGGTATCCAGGGAAGAAATGCTGCGATGCAAAGGGTGTAGAAAGCGTGATGAAATATCGTGTGTTGTAATTGACTATCTAAGTTATATGCCCCATTGTTGTCTATATACTTTGATGTCCTGGATAGCCTGCTCTTGCCCTCCAACTTCCTCGAGATACTCTACAACCTGCGCCAAACTCACAATCGAGACCACAGGGACTCCATATTCCTTCTCCACCTGTTGAATGGCGGAGAGATCTGTACCAGTCCCTTTCTCTTGACGGTCCAGTGCAATCAGCACACCCGAAAGATTTGCACCCTCTCCTTTGATGATCGTAAAGCTTTCTCTGATAGCAGTACCAGCCGTAATCACATCATCAATCACTACTACTTTACCCCTCAATGGGGAGCCCACAATGCTCCCGCCTTCTCCATGGTCCTTCTTTTCCTTTCTGTTAAAGCTGTAAGGAGCATCAACACCATGTTCTCTAAAGAGGGCAACGGCAAGCGAAGAAACTAGAGGGATTCCTTTGTATGCGGGACCAAACAGGACGTCGTAGGGAAGGTTGCTGTCTTGTAGGGCAGCGGCATAATATGTGCCGAGTTGTGCCAAAGCCTCCCCAGTGTTGAAGAGTCCAGCGTTAAAGAAGTAGGGGGACGTGCGGCCGGATTTGAGCGTAAAAGACCCAAAGGTGAGCACCTTGTGCTTGATTGCAAATGCGATGAAGTCTCTCTGGTATTGCTTCATGACTGCGACGGGATCTACAAGTAGTGGGTGCCCAAGTCTCAGACTTTCCAACGATCTTCCTTCTGCCTATTGTCACGTGACCATTGAACATTCATGAAGCACTCGACGTTAAAGGTGGCAGTGGACTGGTTTAGACGTAGGATCGCCGCTTTTGAAAAAGTACCTATCGGTTGCAGCAAAGTGAGTGACAGCTGTTTCATGATGTACAATATATACAGTACGATGGAAATCTAACGATAGTGCACTCGGCTTCTACACCTATCCTCAGTAGCGTCGTCTATGTTTTGATAGATTTTTCCTCCCACATTCAACTTGTGCGGTCATGATGCAAAAAATGTGTTGAAAACCCTACGTGCATACTGTACATAGTAGCGGACGATACATGGCGTTACAAACTCGTCGCACTGTGTGCAACAAACGATAGAATCCATACCTGCACTAAATTTTCATGCTTCAACACAGCCTGGCGCAGCGCAACTTCACCGGACGAGGTTACTAATAGGGATAAGATAATATGCAGGTACGCGAATACCACCGCATCGAGGAAGGACGCTCTACAAAACGAAATGGGTAAGGAAGTCATACTTAACGCGAGCTGCAGCTAGAGCACATCAAGCCACAAGACGTACTTTGACCCGAAGAAGTACAACTGATTTCCCAGTTGAGTTGACAGAGCGGTCAGAGCCTTCCTTGCATCATCTAAAATCTACGCACGAACCACGATGAATAACGACTCATTACGTTCTCATCAGCGTCATTCATTATTTAGACCTCATCTTTTTTCAATACAGCTCGTCTGCTAAGCATCCAGTCGGTTTTCTGTGCCCGGATGGTTCTGGAAATGACCTTGTTTAATGGCCAAGGATACAGTGACTCGTACATGGGAAAAGTGAATTCGTCCCGTATATGGCCATCGTACCACATGGTGAAGAGCTGAAAGTACAATTTTTGCCATTAAGTAACGGCCTACCTATGAATTGCTGAAACTTGATACGTACCAAGGCGAAATCAAGCTTTGCTTCGGCAAGGAACGTGAAGGCTTTGACATCGTTCTTCTCAGCGTCCGTTAGCCTCGATTCCAAGTCGCCAACCTATGAAGATGACAATGAGTGCCATTGGTGTGTGCCATTGGCAGCGAGATCACAGCAATACGGCGTCTTACCGTTGCCTTCACTTCCTCAACGATCTGTCGGCCAGTAAGTAAACGTCCATCCGAGGTCACCAGGAATGGTAGCTGCCCTGAAAAATGCACAAGTCATATGAGTTCAAAGCCAACTCACTAGCTGATGTCGTTGGACGGTAGCCTTACCTGACGGTGACATCTCAGGCTCGTGGCATTCTTGGGTAACATGGTTATAATTTGAAAAGGCGAGGAAGGCCTGTATGCAATGAAGAACGTCAGGGACGCATTGATGACAATAATCGTGCTTGCTTTCCTTCTTGAACACATAGTAATTGCAACTTCTACTAGTCCGTTTACCTGATATTTCACACACTCGACATCCAGTGAGGTGATGTGTTGCTTTTTTCGAGGAAAGATGAAGAGAATAGGAGTTCTCGCTGGGTCTGCCGGTACTGGCGGCGGAGTATACACTGGCGGTAGGCGGACTAATGGGAACAAGTTTTTGAACTTGCGAAGCGGGTTCTCAACCGGCATCGTCGTCCTAGTCAGCGCACGAGTAGCCACGGTTGACTTGAAATTCGGGCAAGTTTGGGTTTGATGACACAACAGGACTAGTTGTCATGGCAACAAGCAAGATCGCTTGCATATTACGACCTGCGGGTTCCTTCCAAAATCATCCATCTCGAACATGTTTGCTAGAAGAACGGGTATAGCGACGCGGCTTTCGCAAACTTGGTCTGGGACATGGCAATGCTCTCAAGCTGTTCGGTCGGGTGTAAAGAGGGAAGCCGTTATCAGTAAAAGCCCGGGCAACATTCGAAGTTTGGTCAGTCTGGAGCAATGTGTTCGCTGTTCAGATAACCACTCGTAAACAGATGAAAATGCTAAAATGGCGAGTTTTGACCTTTAGGCTACCAGAGCCTCTTATCATCGAGAACCGCACCCTTCTGTGCGACCCCGTAATCTACTCGCAATTTCGCTTGGTTTTGGTGCTGCTACTATACTCTTCATGTATCTAAACGACACGAGGGCTGGTATATACCGCTGGTTCGCTATGCCTATGGTGCACGCCCTCCTGGACCCTGAAGAATCACACAGGCTTGCGATTTGGTTGGCAAAGCACGGTCTAGTGCCAAAGGAGCGTACTAAGGATGATGATGTGCTTCATACCGAGGTATCACTTGCGCCTAGCCCTTGCGATGTTCGCATGGGAAGATCGATCTGAATTGTGAATATATCATTTCGCAGATATGGGGAAAGACCCTCTCGAATCCTATCGGATTAGCCGCGGGATTCGATAAGAACGCTGAAGCTGTTGACGCGTTGTTCGACTTTGGCTTTGGCTTGGTGGAGATTGGAAGTGTCACACCCTTGCCGCAGGTAATTGCAACGGTGGCTTTTTGGAATGCTGTTTTACTCCTCTCATGGCATATATTACATTTCTAGCCAGGGAATCCAAAGCCGCGAATGTTCCGTCTTCCCGCGGATACAGCCGTGATTAACCGCTACGGGTTCAACTCTGACGGCCATCGGGCTGTTGAGGATCGCTTGAAAGCCCGTATACGCAATTATCTCCATCACAATCGACATCTTCTAGGCCTGCAGCCAACGGAAGGGCTGGCGTATCCGGTCACTCTTCCCGACTCTAGTCGAAAATCGTTGCGCGAAGCCAAGATGTTGGGTGTGAACTTGGGCAAGAACAAACTTTCATCCGCCGAGTCCAATGAGGATTACATACGCGGGGTGAAAGATTTGGGAGCGTATGCCGACTATCTCGTCGTAAATATTAGCAGTCCGAATACTCCAGGTCTCCGGGCTTTGCAACGAAGGGAGCCAATAGAAAAGCTTATGCAAGAGGTACCCTGTAAACATCTGCCTGCGAGATGCTGCGTTGTCACTAACTCTCTATATAGGTGCAAAGTGCACGCGACGAATCGCTACCGCACCACCCGCCACTACTGGTAAAGATTGCCCCTGATCTAAATGATCAAGAGATTGAAGATATTGCAGCCGTCGTTAAAAATGTTGGAGTTGATGGTGTCATTATCAGCAACACAACAGTATCGAGACCACAATCATTGAGAAGTGGTATGTATGATCCCATCGACCACGCATATGGTACAATCCACGCTCACAAACCAATCACAGGCCCTAAAGTTACTACTGAAACCGGCGGGTTATCAGGACCACCTGTACATCCTCTTTCTCTTGCTGTCGTTCGAAAATTCTATGCGTTGACCAATGGCACCATCCCGATAATCGGTTGCGGAGGAGTAAAATCTGCAGATGAGGTATTAGCCTTTGCAAAAGCGGGTGCCAGCTTGGTCCAGCTTTATACTGCTATGGCGTATGAGGGACCAGGACTTGTTGCGGAGATTAAAGATGAGGTAGCGAGAAAGCTGAAAAGAGAAGGGAAGAGATGGCAGGACATTGTTGGCGCTGATCACAGGAAATGATGAAAAGTGTGATCCGGGATTGTCTGGATTCACTGGCATATACTGGCATAATCTGCTTTAAAAATTCGCTATTATAATGAAGTCGCTATCATGCATGAAATTGTAGAATATTTGGGTCTTATTCAAAGTGATCTGCCGCGCCACACCTTAGGTAAGGAGGGAAAGAGGGTCAGATCAGCACTCGGTTGTGATCTCTAAATTTCCAGAATTTTGCAGAATGTCCAACACACCCATTGCCAGTGCACCACCAGCAGTACAGTTGGGCTACCCTTGCGATAAGCTGCCTTGGGCACAAGATGTGGATGTTTATCTAGATAAAATTGGCGGACGTCCGGTACTAAAGTCAAACATTGGGCAGTTTCGTTTGGTCAGCCCATTAAATTGTCCCTTCAATGCAGGTTTGGTTTAGTGAAGACACACTACCACCAAAACAATGGTCGTTCTGCGAATCTTGCCAGGCACCTCTTTTGCTCATTGCTCAGATGCTAGGGCAGCTGCCAGGCAAACAGGCAGACCGTGTGTATTACGTTTTCGGTTGCAACCGCAGAGAATGCATGACTCGTCCGGGAAGGTTGGTGGTTTATGTTGCGTAGATTGATAACAAGGCTATTGTTTTGGACTGACGTTTGTTCTTTTGACCAACAGTTGGAGAGTGATAAAGGCTCTTAAAAGCTACGAACCCAAACCAAAAAAGTCCAAAGGACGATCCAAAAAGGAAGGAAAGAAGCCAGCAGAAGGAACAGAAACTTCAAATAACACTAAAGTGTCTGATCAGAATAACAAGAAGCCCTCACCCAAATCGACGCCAGCCAAGGGAAAGGGAGCGCGAGACTCTCCGGTTACGCCGTTGAAACAGAAGGTCATGCCTCAGCTACCGTTTTCTCCTCCACAAACGCCAAAATTTAACCAGGACAACAGTGTGGTGCCCTCAACGGTAAGTGCTTATTTCATATCATTGGAAACGTCAAGTACTTATGCTATGTGGTAAAGAAGGATGACGAGTGGAACGCCCCAATAGCATCAGATACCTGGAGCCTTCCTGCAACTCCATCTTTCGGGGATCCCAAAATCACCCCACTCTCGTTTTCTCCATCACCCTCTTTGAGCAGCGTATCGTCACCAACTCCAAACCTCGCTGAGCTCTTGGCTTTGCGGGACAAAAAGTATGCGTGGGATGATGAGAAGGACGTGGAAACGGAGGGAACTATCCCTGTCAAAATTAAAAATGCAGAGAACACCTCCCTGAGACCTTTGAATGATGAGGAGATTGAAGAGAACGATCTTGTGACCGATTCCGGCATTGATAGCACAAGCAACAATATCCATCCCGGTGCGGATGCACCTGTCATGGACGATTCAGAAGACCCCGTGACTGCTTTATCCGCCCAATTCGAAGAGTCGTTGGCTATCACCGACCTGGCAGAGGCAACGACTGCTTGGTCTAGAGCGCCCACGTTCTCCGCTTACCCACTAGAATTTGCCCCGGAACCAGGAAATGACGCCTCGTTCGAACACGAGATGCGTTTACTGGCGAGTTACAAACAACTGGAGAAGGATCTGGGCGGTGCAGATGGGACAGATAGTTTGACATGGTCCGGGGAAGGTTATGAGAAGGTCCGACCCAAATATTACAATAAGGCATTCAAACGGTTTCAAAGGATTGTTGAGGAGGAGCCTGAGCAATGTATAAGGTAAAGTTCACCTAGCTTCTGTTTTTCATAGTGGCAGTATTGACACGGGTGAAAAATTTCAGATATGCTTTCAACGGACAGCCGGTCTTTTATAGAGACGATGACATCTCTGAATCACTGCAAAGTAAAGGACCACCACCGTGCTCTCGCTGTAATGGACCGAGGGTTTTTGAATTTCAGCTGATGCCTATGATACTCTCCCTCCTTCCAACGGAGCAATTAGTACCGAGAAGAGCTAGTGGGGATGCCAAAGGAGGGGCGGGAGGGAAAGCCACAAATTTGAGCTCATTTTTGGAGCGCTATGCGGCTGGTATGGATTGGGGAACGGTTCTGGTGTACTCTTGTGCGCGAGATTGTGAAGAACGAAAGCAGCGTGATTCGAATGTAAGTTACTCGGAAGAGTACATAGTGGTGCAAGTAGAGAGCTTGGTGTAGGTGTCGTGCCAAACCCCGTAGCATGTAGAATATTGAAGTGTCTCGGCTCATGGTATTGTGTTCATTGGATGTGGCGCCCACATATCTTATTATATTACCATTAATATTGCATGACATACATTACTAAACGCTAAAGAATGCATTAAAAATATAGGTTTAGGCACACAGGGCAAAAGGGCAAACCTGTGCAGGACTAATAGTGAAAACTACATTGCAATTTGCTCACTACGTCGATTACTCATCTACCACATGGTAAGATGTGAAACGAATCTAAAATTACCTCGCCGGTGCCGTGGAGTTTCGTTGATTCCCTCCATCTCCTCCTCCGTTCCCACCCTTTGGCCTTAACTGGAAGTAGAGCACCAGCGCAATGACGATCAACACAATGAGAATAATAGTGAAAATAATCCACTTCATCTTCCTCGCACTCTTAGCGCTTCGAATGGCCTTGGTCATTTGAGCAGAGCCGTCTGCAATGCGCGTGTCCGTGTCATCAACATGCTGTTCGATAGTGTTGATTTGCTCTTGTTGGGTCTGGATAAACAAGACGGTTAAAATGAATTCACGACTATGGGCCATTATGTCATGAGGCCGCGGCTACGCTGCTTTCCGTTATCAATGAATGTATACATACATCCAACAGTGCCTGCATTTCCTGAAACAGCGTAAATAGCTCTGTGATACTGCGTTCGATCTTGACCAATTCTTCATGTCGATTCTGGACGGCCTCGAGCGCGCTTCGTTGCTCCCCAATACGTGATGACAGAATTTCCTGCTGGAAAATGGGTCCGTTTGTTGAGTCGATAGCTTCTTCGACTTCAGCTGAAGTTGCTTCTGGGCGGGCAATTTTGTATTGCCGTGCCATCTGACTTCGATAGCCCTGCTTTGCATTCTGCTGGACAGATTGGAAATCCCGCGCGACAGACATGAGTCGCGAGGCGAGAGACTTTTGTTGCTGGGATTGCACTTTTGCATCGTTGTTGGAACGTGCGGATTCGGTCGAGAGGTTCCGGATTCGTTGGCGAGTGTCCTGAATCAATCTGCTAGTTTCGTCGGTAAGGTTGTCCACTTGTTGGGTGAGAACTTGAAGCAGGACAGCCGGTTGATATATGAGCCTTTGTGTTCACAGAAACATCTATTCCACAAAAACCTACAATTCTGTTGTCGCACGTTGGTCTCCAGTAACACTCGTTGATGAAGCCCTTGCATATCTGCTGTGTTGCGGGATATTTGCGTGATGTTGCGCTGTATCTCTTCAGTCTTTAGGAAACGGACACGTTAATACGGTTTCAAAGTTCTTCGCCAATTGCAGTCTAGTGCTCACTTGTTGCAGAAACTGGTCCAAGCTAGTTCCGGTGAGCGTATTGACCGATCCCATCTCAACGTCATAGGTATCATGCATGTCCTGCTTCTCTTGCTATTCGAAATGTTGTTAAATGGCGAGTTGATGGGTGGTGATCAAACCTTTTTGGTGCAGTAGCCATCCAGGCAGCTACTTACCTTGAAGTCGGCCCACCTATCTCTGCTTGCCATTGCTTAAAGAGTTTCCAGGAGAATGAGAGTAGTCAGGTGGTGCGATTGCTTGCAAGAATGAAAGCGATATGGGATGAGGAAGCAATCTAGAGTGTGTGCTTTTTGGTGCTTCGGCCTGGGACGAGATTTTGCCCTCCGCGATAGTGGCACAGCACCAATGACATGTTCGCTTGGCAAGCGCAAACCTCAACACTTTTGGCCCATACTTTTCATTATCAATAGCGACGACCATCAGATAGAGCAGCTACACATACTCTTTAATTGCTACAGAATGTCTAGATATACGTAGACTACATGCATCTCAACTGCTTGGAGGCTGGGAGCTCACGAAAGATGCCCTGTGAAGGAACTGCTCATTATACCACTTGGCCAATTTTGGTCGAGAACTCGCCCAGTTTTTTGCTGCAAATCTAAAGTCCAAGTACCCGAGCGCAGTGGCGACAGCCAGCTCTCCTATAGTTGCGTCTTGACCGTTGGCTAGCGTATCTGCCTCTTCTTCAAGTGCATCCAAAGCTCGTACGACTTTTGCCCATTGTGCATCGATCCAACCCTGATACTGTTTCTCAACTGGCCGAATGGTTTCCCTACTTTCGTACACGGCCGACAACGCAGCATCGACGATCCCGTCACCCAAAGCGAGTCGCCGCAATGCCACCCATCTTGGGGGCGCATGCTCTCTCGGGAAAAGATTTCCGCCGGCGATAGAATCGAGGTACTCACAAATCACGCGACTATCGTATAGAGCGGTACCATCTTTTAGGACAAGAGTGGGAATCTTGCCCAGCGGATTGGAGGCAGATACAACAGGCGTGTCTGGTCCACCCTTTGGGTTGACGGAAACGGTTACGACCTCGAGTTGGTCACGAATTCCCAGTTCATGAGCGACGATGAGTACTTTACGAGCGTATGGTGAAGCAGGAGAGTAATAAAGCTTCATGCTTGTGCTATTTGCTTGCGGTGCTGATACGGATGGGTAATGGAGGGAACAAGGAGAAGGACCCCAATTTGTCAGCCTTCACGATCATATGATTACATAAGCAGTATGTACAGTCCAGATAGTCATCTTCATGCATAGTGTTTACTCTTGCCGACCAGTCCTCTCGCTGACGGAGCCGCAGGCGGATTGTTGGCTTCCGTGTTTTCCAAGCTGCCAGATACACTCCCACTACCACCCGCATGTCTCGCTGTCGCTTTGTCTCGCCCACTGCTCACTTTGGTGGGCGACTTTCTGGCCGCTGATGGCGGCCGTGTTCTTCTGTTTGGTGATCTTTCTCCTGTTGCAGAGCTCTTCTTTCGTACATCGCCTCCGCTTGTCTTCTTTTTAGCTGATTTGACTGGCTCGTCATATGTGAGATATGGATCAGGGAACCCAGACATAGGGTCCCATGGAGGCTCCTCGCCATCCATCCCTTGATCTCCTCCTGCTCCATAATGGTCGCGGTGCAATGGCAACCCAGACACCAAGCTTCGTTTACCGCGAATGTTATTTCCAGCATGGGCAATGTGCCCTATTCGCCATTTTTCGCTTGTTTCGTCATATTCGGCGAACGATTCTAAAAGGTCTAGGGATTCTCTGGGTACAAACGAATCAATGACCAACATTCTGAGCTTGAGTTCTCGGGTTAGATCTCGGACTGTATCGAGTAGCTGCTCTCGTTCTCTTTGGTGCTCCTCTTGTAGATCTTTGATTTCCGATTTGTGTCGCATGAGAAGATTCCAGAGCTTTTTGAGCTTTCTAGTTTTGACAGCAGCCTCTTCTTGAAGTGACGAAAATTCCTCCTCGATCTGCAACCCCGTCTCTTCGTGCTCCTCTATCTCTCTTGCGAGCTCGCGCTCCCGTCTTGCTCGTTCTTCTAATTCCTGTTCCCGCTTCGCCAGCAACAGTTTTTGTTCCTCATGTCTATCGACGGCGTTCACGCCACCAATCAAGAGCTTCTGTTCCAGTTGAGAAAGCTTCGCAGTCAGTTGGCCTCGAGCTTCGCGCTCTGCCTCGAGTTCATTCGCACGTGCATTCAAGTCTGCCAACAGGCGGTTGCGCTCAGATTCCGCCATTCCTTTCGATTCAAGAATGTGCCTCTTTTCGGCCTCCACTTGTGCCTGCATTTCTTCCAGCTGCTTCTCATGATCACCTGGAGACGTCTGTGCTTGCTCGGTGCCCTTTTCGAATGTGGGTATGGCCTTCTTAACTTTTACCTTCTTCGGCTTAGGAGGTTTGTTAGGTACTGCTACTGCTTCTTCGGGTGCTTCAATCTCCTCGAATTCTTCCACTTCCTCGATCTCTTCCACCTCTTGAACGATTGGTTCTGCTCCTGGAACAATACCCGAACTGTCCATTTGCTCCAGTTGGGCCTTCAGACGTTTAATCTCCTCTTGGAACTCGCGCAACATGGCATCCTGAATGAAACATGACGATGAGAAAACGCAAGTTGAGCACACCGGGTCAATGTCCAGAGTATTGCCGTACCTTGGGATCCTCATTAATCTTCGGCTTGTTCTTGATGCTCTTCGCTCTGTTTGCATACCGTAGAGTTGAGAGTGTCTCATCAAAATTGTAGCTCGCAGGACTCATGGTCGCAACCATTAAGGTCTTTGCATTGCCTCCAAGCGAGTCTTGCAGTAATCTTGTTAACTTAGAGTCTCGATATGGTATATGGGAACTCTTTCCGTCCACCAAAGCACTAATTACGTTCCCCAAAGCTGACAGAGACAAATTGATCTTTGTGGCTTCTTTAAGACGTTCGCCAGTCGCACCAGTTTTACTTTGGCGCTCAGAGCCGGCAAGATCGACTAGGTGCAGTTTCCCAGCTCTGATGTGCTCCTCTCCGTCAGGTCCCTTTTCGCTTGCCTCTACCGTTATGGAAAAGATGGAGTGACTTCTCGAACTCCGCGCGTTCATCTCTGTAGCTCCAACCGACCGGTTCTTGTTTCCAAACGACATGAGTCTGTCCATCTCCTCTACATCTTTAATGACAAAATTTCGCAAGTCTTTGACGTAGATTCCAATGTCTGCGCGCTCCTTTATATCAAGCTTTCCAGCTTTCGGGTTCAAAAGATCGTGAATGTCTTCATTGTATATCTCGAGGTAGGAGGCGCGAACAAGGAACTGGGTTGACTTGTCCGCCAGAGAAATCTCCGCAAATATATGTTCGAAAGCATTAGGTATGATACCACGAAGTTCGGGAACATCACGAACGCCTTCCATCGAAAATGTCTGAGGAAAATGAATCAGCTATTATTCGGTGTTGTGAGTTGTTCATTTACGCATTCCTTACCTTGCCTGTCCCCGTTTGTCCATAAGCAAAAATTGTGCCATTGTATCCGGCAAGCACACTTTCAACGATCGGTCTAGCCGTGGTGTTGTAAACCTCCTGCTGGCTACTGGCCAAGTCGAATACACTGTCGAAGGTGAACGTCTTTGGTAGTGGATCTGCTCCAGATCTCGGATCGACAATTGATACTGTTGCAGCAGCTTTGTCGATGCTAACGATGTTTGAATGACCGGCGGCCTTCTCCTTTTCGCTGAAAGGTCGACATCGCACCACTACCTTCACGGCTTCTCCTCGGGACTGTCCACAACAAGTAATTAGAAATTGTGGGAGGTGACGGGTAATGATATTGGCTTCTGATGGTCTAGCACTAGATTGCGACTATGGCAGCCGAGTTCATTTACTTACCGCCATTCTGACGACCAGCGAGGAATCTACAAGAATTGCAGACGAGGGATAAGCGGAGACGCGGTCTTGCTCACGTGAGATGCTGCGTAAGCTATCCCGTTGACAGTATAACTTGGGGTCGCTTTGACAGCAGCATCCTCAACTTGCCCTGGCAGGGCCCACTATGCTTATATGCATAATTCCAGCTGTTCCGAAAGTTGAGCAAACAGCCCGGGAAATCCTCTCTCTAGAGCTGCTGAAGTGAAAAGCATCGAATCTGACACCCTGTGGGCGACGAGTCGGTACCTTGAGAACAGGACAGGACTATGTCGACGCCTTTTGACCAAGATTTTGAGGCGGGGATTCGTTTGATTAGAGAGTCCTACTCAAAAAGGGTAACGATAGATTTCTATTCGAAATGTATATCTTTATTCCAATCCTGAGAGTCCTGCTATTACCCAGATCGCTGCTAAAGATGAAGAAATTAAAGTATTGCGAGAAAATTTGGGCATGAAGGATTCTGAAGTGAAGGTTGGAATGAGCATATCCAAACACTATGTATCATATCCTCACATATTGGGGATTGTCTTATATAGCATTAATTTCGACAGGATTTGACCGCTCGCATGCAAACACTCGAACTGCAGCTGGGTCGAGCGGACAAGCGGATGGCTGAGATGTCTCGAGCAGTGGCCAAGTTGGCCAGCTTCAAGCAGAGTGTGATGGAGTCGTTGGCGGATGACACGGACGTGAACATAAGTTTATCTGATGGATACCGGGTCGCCGGGTTGAGTACACTTGGAACGAGTACCTTGAGTGTTGGCCGCATTGGGGGAAACAATAGAGTAGCCACTGCAAGTACACATGGCATTGAGTTGGACGTGAGTACCTAGAGGATATATTTGCGTCTTGTGGGCACAGCAAATGTTGAACCGTTCCTTCGCAAATGATCGGACGAACTGATGACGATTCATTGTTGTTAGAACGCTGGATTGCCAGAACACATCAATCATGAAAACTCGTGTATGTATCGGATGTGTAGAAAATGCGTATTACCGTCGTGCTTACAATATCGTGCAGTTATTGGTGACCATACGAGCCGTCTATTTACCCACAGCCCAACTAGTCAAATTGCGACCGACCGGTAAGGAGAACAGACGTTTCTTAGAATTAACGGCGATTTCCGACTACTATACGTATTATCGAACGCAGCCATGTAGAGGACGTCCTCTCGAATATTTCCACCTCGCCACAGCGCACACTTAAACATGCATCCTCCGCGGATAACCTCCGAAAAGTAACCGGTCTCCCTCCTGGACCCACATCTGGGTCAGCGCGACACTCAACCACGGCGGCCTACCAACAGCAGCCACAGCAGCAGGAAAAGCGCAAATCAGCTGGAGTCAGCTTTACGGGCATTGATACGGGTGGCAACCCTTCAACTCCAAACGGAGATCCCCCGTCACCAATCGCAGTGACAGGTCATCCTGCCGCTAATTCGAGCATACATACCAGCAATGAGCACAGCGTAACTGGTGCCGTGGATGGCAGAGAATTTTTCCGGAAAGCGAGAGCGACTTTATCTTACGATGAGGTATGAATAGAACATTTCTGCAAACAAAGTTAGTATGCGCCAACCAATACATCTCTGCTTTTCTAATTTCAGTTCACAACCTTGCTTTGGAATGTAAAGGCGTAAGTCAGGATGGAGGTTGCGCTCCCATCTGCATTCAGAAACTTAAATGCCCTCCTCAACAGATATAATAATCGTGAACAAAACCGCGTTCGTACACTGGATAGTTTATCTCGTCTTTTCGGAGAGAAGCATCGCGATCTTTATGAGCAATTTGAGCGGCTGGTGCAACGATGAAAGAGAATGAATGGAAAACTTGTTTCTTGCTTGGAACAGATAACAGGCTCTATTTCCTGATCGTAATATATACAAAATTTTGGTGTCGCTATTACTGCTACTACAATAATGCCCGTGCGAGTTATCGCATCGACGGCTTGTCGCTATTCATCCACATCTTTTGGCATATCTAGCACGAATGTGGGGGCTACCGGACGTGATCGATCATCGTCATCTACAAACTTTAACATATAATCGCCTCCCTGGTAGTGGCGATGAAGATGTCATTTTAGATCCACATAGCATGACACCTGTGACTACCCGCCTTTACCTTATTAGATGGACTCTCGACCTTGGCCTGATAGAAGCAACTTGTCCCAGGAAACAGAGCTAGAACCTCGTGGCCCTTTTGGAATACAGGGCGTTTTGCTATATCCTGTGGTGTGGGAATAGGATGGACAGCTCGCGGGGTAAAAAGGAACCGCCTATGAAGTGCAATGTACTTCCATCAAGACCTTTTCGTGTCAGATATGCATTTGCCTTGAATCTTACTTTCGCTTTCCGGGAGCAAACTCGTCATCTTCAGCGTCTTCGATTTCGTACTTTCCTTTTTCTGGTATCCATCGTTTCACCACTCCCAACAGCCAATCTTGACCACCCATGGGACGCACAACCACCTGGGTACGGGGTCAGTCACTTATGCAAACGGGGTATAAGACAAGTTGCAGTCTTACCTGATGCTCAAGTGGTAATATTCTCTCTGGCGCACCATCACCTCCCCTTTGATAAGTGGGTTTAACGTCAGCGGCGTAGCGAATGATGCAACTGACTTAATGTTAGAGCTTACGCTTTCGCTTTCTTTACAGGAGCGGGGGATCCCTTTGGTTTCTCATCTACCTTCCGCTTCTTTCGCCGCTCTTGCTTTTCGGTACCTGCAATGATATAGCATTAGCCTAGGCATATAGCACCATTCTTATATGACATGCCGAATTTTCCATACCATTCTCTGTTGCGTCTCGTAATGCGGCCAAGATTTCCAAGTGCTGAAGAGCAAAGGCAAGGGCTCTATGGAAGGACCGGACGTCAAGAAAACATCAAGTTAGATGAAGATGCCAAATGAGTCGGTGTAAGAAGCGAAATATGATACTTATGATCACGTACGATTTTTCTTCCTCGAGACCAGTACTCGTTTTCTCATATACACCAGAAACTTTGAGTTTTGCTGATGCGTTGAATTCTTTACCCTCTATTAACATTTCAACGTGTCGAAAGGGTTTTAGTGCCGAAAAGCATATAGAGTCCAACTAGTCCTCTCAAATACGCTTCGTGACAGGTTCTGTACCTTGTCCTCGGGAGGCGATCTTCTGGTTGACTCTATTGTATCTGGCCACTTGAGGTTCGGCCTCCTCTATTTTGTTCTTCAAACTCCACAATGCCTGGCAGAGCTGTGACCAAATTTGTATTTCTTCGTTCGAGTTAGGGTCTGCTGATGAAGAGCGTGACTTGCGAACCCGATTTATGTCTGCCATGGAGGTCCAAGAGCTGAGCCGAGGATATTGCGGTCTTTGGGTCTGCTTGCTTGGGTAAGCCTTGATGGGATACAGCTTGTTGCCATGGTATTACCGATAGGTCTCAACCATTAGATCTCACAGTTGCCTACATTTCCTTTCCGATTTGTGGAGACAAATCCTCCTTGAGTCGTCGGCGTTGAGGTGAACATTTCATGGAGCTATTCGATCCCCAGCAGCTGGCAGACTATGAGGAGGATGGGATGGATCTAGAAAATGAAGCTGATGCAGAAGGGGAGGACGAGGAGGACGAAGAGGAGGACGAGATTGTAAAAGAAGTGGATGTATACTTTTCCCAAGCATTGGCGGACTCCTTGTACCTTTTCCAGTATCCTACACGACCACACGCTTTCGATGAAGAGACACGACCGTCGACTGGAAGAATAAAGCCGAAAACGAAGCGGTTCGAGCTTGAGATACCATTGCAGACGAGGAGTGCGTTTTACAACCGAGAGCGAGGAGAGGAGCTAGGACAGGGCACCGATAATGCTCCAATTCGAGGGGTCTTTGATTATGATGATGGCACACCCGCAAAACTACTCGATAAACAAACCTTAAGCTCATCAATATTGCCCTCTCATGCAAACTACATGATTGGCCTAATTAGAAATGGTACACAGCAATATGCTGGCGTCCATATACTTAGAGAAGAAGGCTGATGGATTTATTTGTTCTGCAGACGAACTTCACCTGACACCAATCGCAACCTCTTTACAATTACGACCCAGTCTATTCTACATTGATAAAATTGCAGAAAAGCAAGCCAAGCGATATGAAGAAGATTCTCTTGAAGCTAATAAGAGGGCAAATCCAGAGTACGAGGAAGAGGCGAAGGTGCTTTCGGTAAGTCGGGTGCACCGGACTTGCTGTCAGCACGCAGGTTCATGATAACAGTTGTCAGGTCGTGATCAAAGGACCGGATGATAAGGATGCCATCAGAAAGGCCGCTCAGGCGGAGCTGCAGAGGAAAGCGGAGGAAGAACCCTGGCTGCCATTATCAATCCATCACTCACAGGTGCGCACTGTTAGGCGCTGTGTCGGTCCGCGTCATTTGATCCATTTCTGACAATCAACTAGTCCGAGGAATCTCGTTTGATGGTCAGCAAGTTGTATTCCTTGTCGCCCTCCGATGTGGACTTCGTTGGAACCGGTAAAGAGTATCTGGACGAAATCAACCCAAGTATCACTGCAATCAGGTTAGTTTTGATAATCATATGAACGATGCCGCCACTACGGTTAAAATCTGCTGGACAGATTGGACCAGCAGGATGTACAGCTGAAGCAGGGCTTCACACTTAAAGAAATTGGCCTACTTCCTCTCAAAGACAAGATGAAAGCGCTTCTTATGAATGGTGCGTTGATGAGTTAGGTCCATCCATATGAATATGACCTCAATGTACGGAACAGCCCATATCGTTCAGTTTAGCACAGTCATGGAGTTGCTAGGAGATTCTTTTGACGAAACAGATGCATTACAGGCATTGAGTCAAGCGGCTGTGTTGGTGAGAGGTACATGGATCGTCCGAAGGTGAGCGTTAATGGCCAACTCCATCTGGAGAAGCTCCGCTGACCTGTGGCATAGTGAGCTGCTATATAGTGGACGTGCCTTGGAAGCTCGGCGATGGCTCTTGTACATGTTCCAGCTTTCGTCACATGTCAGTCGTAGCGAGTTTGCTGAAGCTACGAGATTACCCGGCGCGATGGCTACTAGTATGCTTTCGGAGATTGCGGTGTTGGAGCCTTCCAAGGGATGGTCGTTGAAAGTAGGGATTGATGAGAACTTCTTGATGCGGTAGGAATTGCGTGAATGATAATGATGTTTCTAGAAGGAAACTAAATTCAGACACGTCTTCCTTTTGACAGGTACCAGGCTCTTGTAATGGAACAAGCGTCTGTCGTGCAAGAAGAGGCAGTGAGGTTAGTGTGTGCAGTGGGGGACGCTACAGCTCAGGTGTTTACGCCCAGCAATGCAGAGCCCAGCAGGTACTCAGCTCTGGAACTGCCCCATTCAAAGCGGGAAAGGGCGTCATCATGAATGGAAAGTCAATAGCTAAAGGTAAGGGTGACTGGGAAAGCCGTGCCAAGAACCACGCATTAAAGCTGATCTGACGAATAATCAGACATGCCAATGGAGTTGGGTACAGTGGAGGACCAACTTAAGCATTTCATTGGGCACCTATTATCTGCACATCACCTGCTTTCTTTGGAGTACATCACGAAAGCAGTGTATGCCCGCGCTAAGGAATCAGGTATAGCCTTTTATTTACGCGAGATTCTTATTTACCATCTAACAGAGTACTTACAGATGTGCAAGGTAACTTACTCGTAACTGCAAGCCCTCAAGCAATCGGTGACGCTGTGCAGGAGTTATGCACCGAAATCAAAGGAAACTGGGTCCGGAAAGTGCTTAACAACCCCGTAGTTGATCCGGTATGCTCCAGCGACCCTTTTGCGGCATTAGGTATTTTTCTGACATGTTTATAAAGTATCGGCCCATCATCATGGATCTTTTCCGGCGGCAAGACATCGTTCAGAAGAAGGATGCTATTGAGGCTACTCGAGTGGCTTTAGGGAAAGAGGTTCCTCTAACCACCTACATGAAAATTATGCACGAGCTTGCAACTGTAAAAACAAGTACTGGCCGATGGGTAAGGCAAAGATCATTTTCTTTATCCTTACCCTTACATACTAATGAGCGTCGTAATGTAGCAACTGAAGGAGTCTCCTGTCTGGAAAGGGTAACTGATGTCTATATTGGTTTAATACGTTGCGGGATGGATGGTAGAAATCACTTCGGTTGCAAGTGCCCTACTGGGTCCGAACACTAGCTTCGATCATTTGTAATATACGCATGTCCAATTTTAAGTAGTTGAACTGAGTCGTGTTCATCGGCTCTCAGCCGCTACTGGTGAAGAGCAGTTGGTTCCGCAACTGTCGCAGCAGCGGGAGGTGTTGCACAACACATGGTATTGATCCAGTTCATAAGGAGCTTTTAGAAGCTGAATCGCGCATTATATTTGTTACCTCTATTGACATATGATGATCATGTAGAAGGCCATTTGGCGGCAGTATATCTTAGGAATGAACAGTTATTGCCCACCGAATTGCGTCTGGCATGTAGGACATTGTTTGGAAACACTACAAAAAACTAAGATCGACTGGTCATTGATCACACGTTGGCTGATAGTGGTACATCGCAATCCTTACTTGATAAACATACGGAGCATACATAGCCGACATCGACCACAGTCTTATGACAGAAGCAAGCAGCCCGAAAATCGACTTGATCTTTTTCCGGTAGACAAAGGACGGATCGCATATACGGGTCAGGTAGAAAAGCATACTGCAAGAGATCTGTTACGAATGGAGACAGATAGCGTAATTCCCCATTTGGGCACTTACCAGCAAGTATTGAAGCAAGTTTTCAGCTTCTGGTATTTCCATGTAAAGTCCACCTGTGAGATGACATGCTTGAGGAAGGAACACCGATTCCTCCCCATAGTGCTTCCCACGAAAGCGACAAACGTCTATTCGTGTACCCTGCATTTCATGAAGTTACTGTCGTGTCGGGCAGTTATTGGAAAGACCTTCACTTACCACTCTCTGAGCAGCAAATATGCAGTTCATAGTTGCGACGTACTGAGACGGTAGGTCAGGAGAGACGGATAGTATCAAGATTCGGGATTGTAATGGCGTTGGATCATTTGCTCGCCGTATTCGATTGATATCTTAGAATGGTTTGTTTGCATATGTGGTTCACGCTCGGCATACAAGACAAATGATAGACATACATGTTTGTGCTAGGGAGAGGGAACCAGCAAGCATCGATTTATCTATGTGCATGCAACTGTGAGCATTCACGAATGATAATAATAATATCAAGCAAACCATACCATCAACGTCTTCGGGCGATTTGCTTTCGGTAATTAAATCCTTCAAGGTTTTAATGACTGCTTGATTGACATCGAAAAATTGCTTATATGTATTGGCCGGTTTGGAAGAAGCATCTGGTGGTTGGTCTGTATCAGACAGTTGTGGAGGGTAAAGAAAGAGACTGTGTGGGAGCCAAAAGTGAGCAACGAAAGACGAGATTTCGGCAAACTGCTCAACGAACCTCTGGTTTGTATGACTGGCGATTACCACCAACTCGTTGTCGAACCGCAAGGCGAGGTGGGCGTTGATGAAAATAAGCAATTGCTCTAGGACTCGACCAAAGTCTAGCGGGCACCGAGAGTCTTGCGCCGCGGTTGCCCATGCTATTGGGTTTGTGTCAATGACGACGGCAAGAAGGTTTATGCTCTCTATAGAGGGACAGTTAAGGAGTTGACCTTTGACAAATAGGCAACAGGGATCTAACCTTCGGATGTCATGGCGGCATGTGGATTGGTTGTGAAATTTCAAGAGATCACCTCCTAGCTGGTTTTGTGAACCTCGCGTTTGCTGATCTCAGAGACCTCATTTGCTTCTCTTTTGTGAACTAGCTCATGTATTATTGATATCTAGTAGGTCGCCATACATCACAAACGGATTGACTACGTCTATCTTCTAGGAATAACAGCCCCAAACCAATGGTGGACTAATCAGCTTTGTTGCCACAAATTGCTCTCTAGGCTGATCAATACCCCATTCTTGCTGTGTCGCATAGCGGATGAATCGTCTTCAACATCGAAGTTTTACCTTCTTACCTGTCCTTGCATTGACTGGTACATGCGTCTCTCTGCGTCAACTGAGTTCTAAAACTGGTACTTGTAGGCCTCTGTAGCAAGAAAATTGAAAGAAAACGACGGAAAGATGTCAGCTCTAGACCCATTTCATTCGCTAATCCCTATTTCAATCCAAATCGACGTTGTGAAAACATGCTCAGTTCCCCTGCGCGCCCCTCATCGACTAGCCGCGTAACTGAGTACCTGTCCCGAAGGACAGGGTGCGGAAAGCCTCGGATGACACGCCAAGTAATTCATCACAGCACATCTCAGTACAGCTCGACAACTTGGACCTCGCACGACTCACCATTAGCATCGTTGTGGAAGGAATGGATGGGAAGGAATGCGGCCTCGACCCCAAGATCATGATCATCAGATCGCCATGGCAACAGCACGGCCAAATTGATGTGTCAACGTGTGGAAGGCATCTGCAAACCCGTCCGGATCGTGGCCTACAAAGTGAGAAAATGGCAGCGAAACCGACCGACAACGTAGACGACCTTGATTCGTATCTGGACGGTAAGATTCTGCGATTTACATGGGCAAATTAGGCAGCCTCTAGGAGGCACCTGACTCTGTTTACAACAAAGATGTCCTGGACGATTTCACCGCTCCTCCACCACCCGTCCAGCCTGCAGTGTCCTCAACCTCAGTCAGTTCCAGTGCTATCGCGGATACGGGATTCGATGACGACTTTGCGCGACAGCTTGCTTCAAATATGGAGCAGCTTTTTAAGGAGAGCTTTGGGGAAGAAGGAGAGGCCGCAAATCCCGAAATAAACAATGCCATGTCCAAACTGCTAGATACCTTCAAGGAGCTACAGGTGGCCTCTGAGCCAGGGCAAAGCAGTCAACAACAACCATCGTCATCGCGAGATGCACTAAACCCCGAAAGAACGCCAGCACCAAAACCAACCCAACAAAAATCCTTCCAAGAGACAATTGCACAAACTATGCACAAACTACGAGATAGTTCCGATAAGGTTGAGCAACAGGTCGCAGAAGATGCAAAGCTGGCATCGCTTACCGGAGGCATGAGTGAGGAGGCAATGGAGCAGATGATGAAAGAATTAGAAGGGATGATGAGCTCAGGCGACTTTGATGGCATGTTTGGCGGATTAATGGACCAGCTCATGTCTAAGGAGCTTTTGTATGAACCAATGAAGGATTTGGCAACGAAGGTGAGCTGAAAAGGGGTCGTCGAGAAGGTTTCTGGAATTAAGCTAATTGTGTCGTTGCAGTATCCCCAATGGTTGGCAGCAAACGAATCGAAGCTTTCACAGGAGGAAATGGAGAAATATAGAAGGCAGCACGAATATATCGTGGAAATTGTTCATATTTACGATGCCTCAACAACGGCAGAGACGAGTGAAGAGGATGGGAAGAGAGTTGCCGATCTGATGCAAAAGGTGGGTGATAGGAAGCTTGGCAATCAGTCAGCATTGAAACTTACTTCTTTGGCAGATGCAAGAGTGCGGCAACCCACCAGATGAAATACTCCAGGAACTTGCCCCTGGTCTCGAAATTGGAGCGGATGGGATGCCCAAGCTTCCTGGGGGGCCTGGAGGTCAGGAATGCAATATCATGTAGTAACCCATTTTTCGGGGCGTAGTTTGCAGTGTTATTAATTGATGCGAATAATTTACTGTGCTTGTGCACGACTTTATATGTTTATTGGATGGACCGATGCATCGCGGCCATATTTTCTATTTGGTATACTGATAAACCAAGATTGAGTTCACCATCCAGATGAAACTAGATCTACTATTTACAAAAGATGAACAATCACTAGAAGAGTCGAAAGGTCGCCTTTTCCTTCCTTGTACTATTGGTTCCCGCTTGCCATAGTTCCAATCGCTTCCTTTTTGGTTGCCGTTTGTCATCTGAAGCCTCATCCAACGCCAGCCCCATCAGCTTGGTCTTGCGGTATACAGGGGTTACGGGAGCAGTTATGCTGGATGGATTCCCAGGGCAATTTGGACGGGCAGGGGAGAGTGGCGCACGTCTGACAAAGTCCTCACACAATCCTGATTTGCCTTTTGGGGGATCGGGTTTCTTCGTCGCGACGGGGCTAGCCGCGGGATTTTTGATCAATCGCTGGAGAAGGGGATTTCGCATCTTTGTTGGAAACGCTATGGTCGCATTTACAGAGGTACACTTGATCATCGTCTGTGGCATGGCAGATCGTGTTTCGGACCTCTGCTTTAACGACTGGCCTGCTTTTGGGCTTTTTGCGGAGGGCACTTCATGTGCGCGTTCCCCTTCGGAAGGTATTGATGAACGTGTTGGAATTGCATTATGAGATAATCTTGATTGCTTGTACAGATTGATCCCATTTTGTGGACTTGATGATGAACCCTGAAGGTTTGCACGGGTGACAGTATCAGTCGAAGTCGTCTTCGTCGCCAGCCGGAACATAGGTAAGTGTAAAGAAGTCGAGGATCGACTTGGTGACGGTTGACCTTGGCTAAGAAGATGCGGCAGTAGTGGCGGTGGTAGTGGCGGAGGACTGTCCTTGTCAACTTCAGCTGGGGGCTTTGGCCTTTGTGTGAATGTTCTGCGTTCGCATGCGCGCACTCGTCCGCTTGAGAGTTTCCGTCTTTGGACAGTACGCCGCCGTTCCGGACAAGGTTCTTTTATGCCTTTTCCTACATTATCAGCACTATCTTGGTATTGAGTCTGAGGGATGCTTTCATCTATGACTGTCACATCTTCCATCTTTGTCGAAGGGCGGGCAGTAGGTTGGACAATGATCGTCGTTGTCCAGCCATTTCACGTGCTGGACGATGACCTAAGCGGAACTCAACACAGATGCCGCATCACTGGTCAACAGCGGTTAAAGCCTAGGCCACATTATGGGCATCTGTTTCCTACAAAGTTGAGAGTCATGACGTGAACAGTAAAAGGGCAGTTAAGGATATAATGCGGGTATGCCCCCAATGCCCGTTCGACCCAGTAGCACTTCTGAAACTCCCCGCGTTTTGTCCCGGCTCAGGCTTCTGGAAACCGCAGAATATGGAATCGGCTCTGATGACTGGCGACTTTCTGCTGTGTTCCATAGGCCAGGTGAAATGGCCTCGCATAGACTGCTGGTAGTTTTCCGAGGACTGACGGTGTGTCTAGCGCATCCACAATGTTCAAAAGAATCCAATTTGTGGGCAGCGTTGTTGGGAATTGCTGAGCGCCTGGCGTTGGTGAAGCAGGGAGAGAGTTGGAAGTCTTCCATTCCTAGAAATTCCAATTGTGATAGCCTGAGACAAGATAAGCACAGCGGCAAACAAAGTGGGGTGGTTCCCCCCTCCAAGAGTCCACGAAGCCCGGTCTTGCCACCCGAACTCCTTCCCCACATATTCAAGTTCTTACCTGAGCAGAGTGACATTCATACGTGCGCCCTTGTCTGCCGTTTATGGCACCGCTGTGCTATCCCGATCCTGTACCGCACTCCCAATCTACTCTCCGTCGAATCCACTCGTTGTTTCCTATCATTGATAAATCAAGGCGCCAACAGAACGCTATGGCCCTACGCTGAGTTTGTTCGTCGCATCCATTTCCCACTGCCAATCAACGGATCGCTTCGTGGTGACAATAATAACGGATGCGAGATGCTGCGCACGGCATATACTTCACTCTTCCGGCTTGTAGTACTAGACCGTGAACGTAGCGAAGGAGCAGCTGCACACCAGCTCTTCTTTGATTTGAGCGCCCGGTGTTCAAATCTTGAAGCGATTGAGGAGTCCTTTGGTATGAACAATTCAGCAGGCCTTTTGACGCAAACTGTACTTCAAAACCTCCTCCGCTCTTGTCGGAATGTAGCTACGCTGACTTATCAGGTCGGCATTCCTCCTGCACAGCTGACAGGGGCCTGTACGCTCTTATTGGAATTTTTTGAGGGAGAAGGGCAACCTATATGGCGTGGAATCAGTTCAGACGTTATTAGAGGAGCTAGATCCAGGGTATTGGAGAAATGCCGTATGACGTTGAATCGTTTATCGACATGCATGTTCCTCGAAGCCCAATATTTGGCTCTATCGGCGCAGCGGTTACTGGATCAATATGCCCTGATGTACTATCGCGGATTTGCAGGAGCAACAGACTTAAACTTGGATTTTGTGGTCCGGGCAGCTGAAAAGGAAGCTAAGCATCCTTCTATTGGCGTAGAGTCGAAAGCTCCTGCCGACGCCGATTCGATAGCACTAGTACTCCAAGCAGTCCGCTTACTTTTTCATCAACCCATGTCACACTCGATGCCGGAACAACCTATTATTGTGACCTCTTTTCCAACTCGGGCTTTTCTAGAAACGGCTTTGGGCATCTTTCCTCCATCAGGAATCAATTCAGAAACGGTCGAACTCATTTCAGAAATAATAGAGCAATACGAAAGATTAGACGCAGACCAGCCTGAGGTTGACCTATGGTTTCGATGGTTTCGTGACATTGTTGTATGGCAGCGTGCGGGCATCGAAATGGAAGGGGTGAAAGAATTATTGCGGAAGAGCATGGCGAGAATGGAAGTGTTCCGGGGTATGCAGGTGAGGCTTTGTCATTGGCAACTGCAATCTAACCGCTATTGAGCGATTTTCACCTGTCACAGAGACGTTTCGGAATGGTTTTCATTGACTGACGGGTGCTTTAGGTAGGAATAGGATTGTCCATAGATGTAGGGTTAGATGTTGACGTAGTATAGCTGGCTTCGCTTCTGTTTGCATTCGACTATTCAGTGTCATTCGAGAACCTGCCATTTATCTCAGTAGTCACTACTAGAACTCATATGACCATATGCATCACACCGTAACGGGCTACTCTATCTTTGCTCTTGATTGGATCACATACACTGCCAATCTATCGATATGCGCAGGATACGATCTTTTGTTTACGCTCTTTGAATATATAGGAGTCATTCTTTGATAATCTATGGCTGACAACGGCCCATGAAACGGGGGTACAAGCACACCTGCCATTGAAGAGGTCAATTGTATGCCAAATGCTTAGTGTACGGGGTTCAACTCACCTCACGGACGGTGTATCGGTTAAGCAGCCATGCAAGGAACCGCTCTATACCCAAGCCAAATCCGCCATGCTCGCAGGTACCATATTTGCGCTGATCGGTATACCAGTAGTACGGGGTGGGGTCAATGCCTTCCCGCTTGTACCCTTCAGCGAGTTCTTCAAAGTTCGTAATCCTCATACTCCCGCCTACAATTTCTCCGACGTTAGGCATCAGAACATCAACACTTTCTGTCAATTGGCGATTCTCCGGGCACCGTTTCATATAGAAACTTTTGATCTCAGTCGGGAATCTGCAGAGAAGGATAGGTTCCCCAATTGTGTCAGTCATACGACGTTCAGGGGCCTCCGGAATGTCCTCTCCAAATTCGTAGTCGGCCTCGCCAATTTTATTGCCTTGCTCATCAAGTACGTCCTTCTTGATGCCATGCTCGTTCAGCCATTTGATGGCATCTGCGTAGTTCATCCGTCGGAAAGGTTTCTTCGGTGCTTTGAAATCTGGGTTAAGCTCCTTCAGGATTTGGCTACCCAGTGGATCATTTGTCACACGCTCCATAACAGAGACAATCTGTAAAAACAGGAATTGAGCGCCACGACTGATAATATGACCGGAGCGTTGCCACAGCTGACATACCATATCTTCAATGAAGTTCAGTAGATCCTCGAAGTTGATGAAAGACAGTTCAGCTTCGCAATGTGTGTATCTAGCGCAGGAGAAAAGTCAACTGACATGCCAGTGATAGGGCAAACATTCATATGACTTACTCTGACAAGTGACGGCGAGTGTGCGATTTTTCGGCGCGGAAGGATTCTGCCATACAGTAAACGTCACCTAAAGATGCCAGGCATGTTTCCAAGTACAGCTGAGATGATTGCGTGAGATATGCCTAGAATAGATAGATGATCGGTAAATGCTGCGTAGTAACCATACAACGCGCGTCAAGGTCTGTTACCGTTTCTCCATAGTACTGGAAGTCAAAAAGTGTGCTGCCACCTTCAACCTGCGTTTGCACCATGAGGGGTGGTGTTACCTCAACAACGTTCCGGGAGTCAAAGTAGTCACGGAATGCCTTGAGAACGAGAGAGCGCATTTTCAAAACGCTCGACGCAGTTTCTCCACGAATGACCAGGTGTCGTTGATCCAATAGAATATCGGGACTCGATTCCTGCGAAACAAACAAACATCAGTACTGGCTAGCCCCGTACAAGGTTGATCAAATATAACACTTTAGACAAACACCTTACCGTGTTGAGTCTGTTACCAAATGCTTCATCGCCACCGGGCGCCTTGCCCAGAACTTCCCAATAGTCTGCTTGAAGTTCATGCCCACCAGGCGCCTGAATAAACAAACTTGAGAACATGTACGATAAAGAGAGGACCACTTGTGCGATCTTACGGTTTTGCCTTCAGGGACAACTTGGAGAACACCATAAATCGCCACCGTAGATTCGATGGTCAGAGTGATTGCATCGTATGTGTGACACTAACGCAAGGAGCTAGATTAGACTATGGGTCTGACTTGCCCCACCAGCCACAATTTACCTGTTTGCCTGTTAGGACACACTGCAAAAATCCAGTCCCATCGCGAAGAACAATAAAGGCTATATCTTTCCCTTGAACACGGTGTCGGTGGACCCAACCGGAGACCTTGATACGTTTCCCACGGTGCTCCGTCGCGTCTCGTATTTTGATCTAATACGCGGAATGGATAGAATCTTGCGTCAACGGAAACCATAATATACCTCATGATCTCAGAAATTCGGAATACCAGCCTTTTGTGCTTCTGGCAAGGACTTATCCTCTTCTAATACTACTTTCTGTGCTGCTTCCAAACGCGCCGCTTCAGCGGCTGCGTTCTTCTCAGCGTTGGCTGCATCCTGAGCGGCACGTTCCGCCGCTTTTTGTGCCTTCTTCTGATTGGTCTCGTATAGCTTCTGCGTCTTCTTCAAAGCTGTCTTGCCCAAAGGCTGATACCCCTCCTCTAGCGATTTGCGAAGTATGATCTCCCCGTTCCCGCTCACGCTCTCGAAGGCCCGCAACGCGGAGCGAAATGGCATTTTTTCCGTACCATTACCCTCCACGTCGTGCCCTTGCACCTCACAAACATAGACTACTCGACCGTTCTCTTTCAGTGTCATTTTAGCTGCCGCATCTGCTAATGACATTGTCAAAGATCCCCAGCAAAGCAACGAAGATTGGGCTGGAATCGTCCTTGAAAGCTTGAGTGACTCATCCTTGACCAATCACAAACAGTCCTGATCATGAGGGCGCAGTGACTTGCTGACAGTGCCAGTCGACAGCAGCTGAACGGATGCTCAGATTGACTGATGCGAGGTTTAATATCTTTTAAGATAGTGAGTTGAAGATATCTAGGATAACCAGCGATACAAAGGTCTAGATGTCATCTATCATTGTGAAATGCTTGCTCGAAATCCATGTTTGTTTATATTGCTATGGGGTACGAAAGCTACTAGAATGGCAATTTCGCAACACCAACTCGGGTTTAGATGTAATCTTTTTGCATTTCCTTATTTCCTCGTTGCGAATTCCCATTTTATACTCGATATCCTCCATATGCTCCATTGAAGAGTGCAATCAAAGACCAAAGTCAAACAATCGATGCCATACGGGTTACTATAGCAACTAAGGATGATGTCACGGGGATTATCGGATGGGACCGTTCAGAAGGTACCCTCCGTGTTCGCCTGCCTTCTATTTTGGTTTCCGACCGTTTGCATCTTTTCACATCCCGCTCAACACATCTCAGTACTCTTCGTCCTTTGACAATGGCAATCCACAAGGTAATACGGCCAGGCTCCTGATGTTTTAGGTATTAATGGAGCTGCAACGCGTTGCTCATCACAAAGCATCGCAGGTTCACGCTCGTCAAATCTTTGACTCTCGTGGCAACCCAACCGTCGAAGTTGAAGTCACCACCGACAAGGGTGAGTTATAGCTAAGCCTAAGCTGTTCAGAAGCTTCTATACCAGATATGGATTGTGGTGTGTTTACTCGTTTTCGCTCATCTCCGTCTCCAGGTCTTTTCCGGGCCGCCGTTCCCTCAGGTGCGTCCACTGGAATTCACGAGGCCCTTGAGCTTCGTGATGCCGATGGAAAGAACTACATGGGCAAGGGTAAGCATTCGGTAAAAGACATATTATTAGTATAATCTAGTATTTCGCAGTACTTACCGTTGCTCTTAGGTGTTTTGAAGGCGGTCGGTCACGTCAACAACGAGATTGCCGCTGCTCTCACCAAGGCTGATCTCGACATCACCAACCAAAAAGCTGTCGATGACTTCCTCTTGAAGCTCGACGGTACTGAGAACAAATGTGAGTGTATTATACGAGTGACTCATCAGGGCACGTGTCCAGTCCTAACAAGTAATTATGCCCGTATCAGCCAAGCTCGGTGCCAATGCTCTCCTCGGCGTGTCTCTTGCAGTTGCTCGTGCTGGTGCAGCGCAGAAGGGGGTACCTCTCTACCAGCACATTGCTGACATTGCCGGCAAAAAGGGACCTTTTGTACTTCCCGTTCCCACGTTCAATGTCATCAATGGTGGCTCCCACGCCGGCAACAAGCTTGCCATGCAGGAGTTCATGATCATGCCCACTGGCGCTTCCTCCTTTTCCGAAGCCATGAAGATGGGCAGTGAAGTGTACCACAACTTGAAGTCGGTTATCAAGAAGAAGTACGGACAAGATGGTAGGACTGGCTGTGGGTGATGGAAACAACTGTCGTCGCAAGTGCTGACCTTTTTACACTTACACTTAAAAGCCACAAATGTTGGTGATGAGGGCGGTTTCGCTCCCAACATTCAAGACAACCACGAGGGCCTTGAGCTGTTGAAGGTCGCTATCGAACAGGCTGGTTACACGGGCAAGATCAAGATTGCCATGGATGTGGCTGCTTCCGGTAATGACCTATATACAGAACAATGGGCCGCTGATGGAGTGATTGAACATGTTCGTGTATGCAGAGTTCTACAAGGACGGCAAGTACGACCTGGACTTCAAGAATCCTGATTCCGACAAGTCCAAGTGGTTGTCAGGAGAGCAACTGGCTGACCTGTACAAGTCCTTTATTAAGGAATTCCCAAGTACGTATGTGGTCAGCTGCATGAGTTGGAGATTTCGCGGACTTATTCTCCCCGCATAGTTGTATCTATGAGATCCTTTCGACCAGGATGACTGGGAGTCGTACAGCAAGCTCACCAGCGAAGTTCAGATCCAAATGTCGGTGACGATCTTCTGGTTACCAACCCTAAGCGTATCAAGACCGCTATCGAGAAGAAGGCTTGCAACGCCCTTCTCTTGAAGGTTAACCAAATCGGTACCGTCACCGAGAGTATTCAGGCGTAAGTTCCACATTCTCCTCTCCCCGTGGCCTCGTCGCTAACGCAGGAAATTCAGTGCCCTCGATTCTCAAGCCGCCGGATGGGGCGTGATGGTGTCCCATCGGTCTGGAGAGACCGAGGACACCTTCATTGCGGACCTCGTTGTTGGTCTTAACGCCGGCCAAATCAAGACCGGTGCTCCCTGCAGGTCTGAACGATTGGCCAAGTACAACCAGCTTCTCAGGTACATCTATTCAATGCCCGTCCACTGTTGACATGTTCTGACCATACTGTGATGCCTTCCAGGATCGAGGAGGAACTTGGGTCCCGCGCCGTCTATGCGGGAGAGAACTTTCGCAAGCCCAAGGCGTAAACTACCAACGTGATAATCCAACCAACCACCCTATAATCCCATTCGTTTGTACATTGATAATATCACAACTGCCTTCCGAACCGTTCGGTTAGACGTTCAAGTGTAGCTGACATTCATCAATTCCATATTTCATCGACTACCAAACCATCTACATCGCTGCTTAATGGGGAATGTTGCCTTAACTTTACTCCCGCCTCTTTCAGTAATCTAGCCGTCATATCATCCATACCATACGCCAGAGAATATACAACTTCCTTTACTCCGACTTGCACAATCTTTTTTGCGCATCCTAAGCACTAAAACGACACAAATTAGACAAAAGGCAAGGGAACGTCATTCTACGTGGAAGAGAAACCCACCGGACAAGTATTGCAGTAGAGTATGGAATCACCGCCATTGTCAACCCGTTCCCTACCTGCCTCCAAAAGCGCGTTCTTTGCATGTACACAATTAGTCTTCAATAGCGAGGATTTCTTTCCAATTTTGCCACGTTACCTCCTCAGCATGCAAGCACAAACACACATCTAGACCGGACCCACACGGGGCGTTATCGTTACAGCGCGGACATCCTCCCTCATTGCAGTTTTTCACTCCTCGGGGCGTACCATTGTATCCAGTGGCAATAATCCGTCGATCTTTCACCAGAATGCAACCCACACGGCGCTTCATGCAATTACTTCTCCGAGCAGCCAGATTGCACAGCTGCATAAAATAGGAATCCCAGCTAGGTCGCAGCCTTTCGGGATCAATCAACTTTGCGGCGCGAAGAACAGCATGGAGTTCTGCAAGGGTACTGAAATGATTGACGATTCTTACGTCTGCTTTTGACATGAGGAAATAGAGAGAAGAAGACCGCGGTGATGCAGATGGAGCCGGTGACTCTGCTCGTGCTTGTCCATGTGGCTCCAATTGCAATGCATCCAAGTTTCCGATAAGCCCACCAATCTTAGCCGTCGGTCCATTGACATGCTGTGACCTTGGAGTGGGACTTGATTTGGGAAGAGCGTATAAACGATTCTCGTCCTGTTGCACAAAATCTTCAAAACAAGGTGGTGTGTGTCCCAACGCGGCTTTAGCTGCAACACATCGTTTAAATCGGACGGAGAGCGGGGCATCTACTGTCACCAATAGCGCAAATGGGCGCTTTCCAATGAGATTCCAATCGTCGGGATTCTCTAGAGGGTAGAGAACAAAGTGGGTTGACCAGTTGGATGTAACATGGTGGATGAGATCAGACGCGGTTTCAAACAGTTGCGGCCTTGGACCATTCGAGCTGCAGGTACGGTTAGTGATGTGGCGAGAGCAGGATCGTAGTGAGATAGGTTGAAAGTGGTAAGTTTTCGTCAGAAAATCCGCGACAACAGTCTTGCCGGCGCAGGTAGGACCTGCGATTGCAATCAACATTTGCAACTAAATAGTGCTGGACAAAAGCAATGGAGCCCCTCCGATCTCAGCGCGGCACGTGATGTCGAGCCAAGTCCCGTGATAAGCAATTAATATTCGCTTAGTCATCAATTTGTTTGATTGGGTGGTTCTTGAAGATGCAAGGATTTTGGGGGGTGGACTTTCCTTGGTGTCTTCCTTTGGCATTATCGATTGTCGTAGGACTCCTCTCCTCGTGCGAGGTTAGAGACCGAGTCGCAGTGGTTCCCACTAGCACAGCAGAGTAGCGATGGTCCGTGGAGCAGCCAAGCAGCAAGCGAGGTCAGAGCTTCTTGTGTTCTCCGACCTCCATATAGTATAGGCCATTGGCCGATGATTACTGATCTTGCTGTTTCGCACTGCTTGACGTTCATCGGCATCAGGGAGCGGAACCAGAAGCAGGCGGCTTCGCACTCTAAGGGAGGTTCGCAGCTTAAGGCTCGGGCTGAGGGCTTGAAGATTACATGCCCAAGCTGTAAGGTACGAAAAAATACATTCTCGATATTACAATAGCAGTTATTGGGCATACCGTGCAACTGTGAGCTGAACTACATGCTATTAGGGACCGATGCCTAGTTACAAGATCTTAGTTCAGCATATGGAGTCGAAGCATCCAGGCATATCGGTACCGGCTGAAAGCTCCTTTGTTAAGTAGATAGACGCGACGAGGTCAACAAACAGCCGAGTAGAGGGGGAGGCCCATAAAATTCTTAAAAAAAGACTGGTGGAATAGATTCCTGACTGAGGGAGGACTCAACATCATAATCCAAGCATTTGGAGATCTTTCCGCTAACCTGAGGACAATTTATCCATTCCCCTCGGAGCAGCCGGGGCTGTTAGTATCCAATGTACAATCATAATCATGTTGCGGATGCTGGGCTGTGGACTGGACATCTACACCATCAAACCATCGGGTTTTAGGAATCATGGATGCTTTCCCATTCTATTAACACCAGTGTGTGCCACCCGCCGCATACAATATTGCTGATTCTCTGTCCATCTGCAAGTCTTGGCAGATCTATCTGTCGTAGTTGCTGAACGTCTTCTCCGACATCTACCGGCCCAAGCTGACCATATTTGTTCCAACCGCATCCGTAGAGTGTAGTCCCGTCGGATATAACAGTATGATTTGAACCGCAAGACACCATAAGCCCCGCCGACGAGAAGTCCATGTCAACTGGATTAGGGAGAGCATCGTTTGTTGCTATGTTATTTGGATAGTCTGTGGCATCGGTGACCGACTGGTCTTGATCGGTCAGTCCCAATTGTCGGTGTTCAGACGATCCACTGTAAACAATCGCAATGTGCTCCTAGGTGAGCCCATCCATGGGCAAAGCAAGAGAACCAACGGGCACTTACAATGTGTAAAGATCACCATCTTTGGTCGTAGCGGCGGAGTGCCACCCTCCACCTGCGACAGTAGTGACTCGCAACCCTTGGAGTGCCTCTACCGCTGTAGGTAGTTCACGTTCGCGGACCTCAGAATTACCGTGGCCCAGTTGTCCTTTCAACCCATATCCCCAGGTGTAAAGATCGTTGGTAGTAGAAATTGCTAAAAAATGGGTTCCCCCAGCAGCAAGGCTGCGAAAGTTGACTTGCGGGGTGTCGGGATTGATACGTCTATATGCAGTAGATCCTAGAGCCCAAGTAAGGATATCACCGGAGGACGTAATAGCGCAAGCTTGTAAATAGGTCACAGCAACGTCGTGACATTGAAATGGGAAGATATGTTCTCTGATACGGAATGTTTGGTTGTCTGCCCTATCATCGTTCGTATTTTCTATTTCAAACAAAGGTCCACTCTCCATATCATCCAATTTTCGTTTCAGCTGCCCAGTCTGGGGGGTCTCCTTAGTTCGCTCTTCAAAACTCAATAAGCGTAAGTTCTCCACCGTAAGAACATAGATCGTGCTCTCATGCCGGTCTCGAGCGTCCTGGCGCGCTGGAACAATCTTTTTCACCTCTAGTTCTTTTTCGGAACTGAGTCGGATCTTGGCGTGAGACAGACCCTTAACACCAACAAAAGGCTCTGTGAAGCCCCAAATACTTATGCAACCATCTTCACAGCACGAGAAGGACGCTGACCATGTTGCAGCTAACCCAACAATAGAAGGTTGACCTTGAGTAGATGCTAGTATTGCAGGGCACTCTTGACGAACACTCCCATCTGTGGACGTGGAAATTTGGTCGCCGCATTGTTGAAAAGCATTGAAGCCAAAGGTAAACAGCGTTTGGTTAGGCATGACCCACAGAGATGGAGACGCGTACTTGCACGCGTCCTCGTCCGCGAGCTCTCTGTTGCTGGAGCATTATCCCACAAAAACTTGAGAATGGAACGACCACCAGGGTTAACAAAATCCGATACAGCTTTTCCTACTGAGGTACGCTTCGCCCATTATCATCCCTATTTTCGGTAGGTATTTGATAACCAGAGAGCATCATCTCGACACCAACTAATGCTCATCGCAAAAGGAACGTGGCCTTTAGCTATGCCGAGAGTCTACTGGGTGCCCTACGATATAAGAACACGATAGTTCCCAAGGTAGCTCCAGTTATATCTGTACTGTCTCTTTGGGCGGCCTTTGTTGTGGTTGTCCACAACATGGGCTTGAAACTTGCTATGGACGACAAGTAAGCGAAATACCTCAGCCGGAAATCGCCAGGACTTGCCTCACCCCTTATGTGGTACGCATGGGCAGATTGATAGCGATTCTTGGTGTATCACTGGCTATGCTGTTAGCTTTTCGTATCAATCGCGGGTTTGAACGTTATTGGCAGGGCGCTCAGCTATGGACCGCATTATCCATCCAAATCAGAACCCTAAGCCGCCTGCTTTGGAACGGTGTTCGTACACCCTCACCAGAAGCTTATCAAGAGAAGCTCCAAATAATGAAGCTCCTCTTAGCTGTTGCAATTGCTACAAAATATGCGTTACGAGGCGAAAATGCCCTTGAACAGCAAGAGTTGATCCGATTGCTTCCCCATGGCTACGGGAGTCAGTCTTATCGATCCAGTCTCGTAGATTTTGGTCCTGAGGCCAATGCAGCTCTGAATGAGGAAAGGACGTCGGAGCAAGCGACTGGCGGTAGCACTGGTGGCGCGACCTCAGGCAGTAGGGATGGGTATGAGGGCAAAGATATTGGGCTGCGTACCCACCCTCCACTAGTATTGCTCCGACATCGATCTAGTTATAGCAAGGGATCTGCAATATCTAGTGTAGCGCCGTCGCCACCCCCATATTCACGTCCTTATCCCGTGTACCGAAGACCTTTCGGGCCGCAACCAGAAACGAATGTACTGGTAATAAATGCGCCATTAGATATTATTCACAGAATCAGCGCATACGTCCGTCGCCAACGGCAGCAGAGCACAGTGGATTTAGAGGACACTCCTTCAATATCAAACGCCATCAATGCGATGATAGATGCCGTATCAAAATTCGAGCAGGTTAGAGGCTCGCATGGGATGTAGTGGTAACAGTATTCGCTAAACTTTGGATTGCTGTCAGATTCTATATATACCTATGCCTAAATCGTACGACATTCATCTGAAGCAGGCACGCTGTGGAACGCGTTCAATATATGTCTAGGGAAGTCACAAACTAACTCTCCACAACACAGATACTGCTGGTATATTTCCTAGCTCTACCCTTTCAACTTGTCCGCCAACTAGGATGGCTACTGATACCCGTCACTATAATCACCTCCCTAGCCTTCTTTGGGGCAGATGCAATAGGTACGGTACGTCCGATCTGTGACGGAACGTCACAATATTGCTAACTACGCGCGCTTGTATAGCGGGAGAAATTGAAGAACCATTTGGGACGGACGAAGTTCGTGACAGCATCCATCATTTACTACCATCTCGATTAAAGCCAGTGGCTGACTTTTGTCCCTTTTTCGCAGAACGATCTTCCTATCGACTATTTCTGCGGCAAATTGCGCGGCGATATAGAGTATATCATGGAAATGGTTTTGGATGTAGAAGACGAAGACGAGATAGAGGAGGTGGCGACTGAACCTAAGAAAGAGTCATAATGGTATTAGATGCACAGGACTTTATCCAACATTGTAAATAGTCGGGACAACACATGATATTATGTGCATTTACCATGGTTTCAATCTTATGGAATTCTCTGCGATGTCAGTATCTTTCCTCTCTCCCGTTCCGCTTCTGAATTCCATCCTACCCCTGATGTGCGCGTTATCAGACGGTGCCGGTTATTCAGGACACGAACGCGGCCATACCTGTAACTGCTACGACTTGATATTGTGTATGTTTCGCAAGCTGCTCTAATCCCACACGATAAGATCGAAGGAGCCGTTGGGTGGTGCCAAAAGGAATAGGTGTCCCGCTCAAAGAATTTGTTTCCTTTTTCGGCAGTCCTTTCGCATTGCACGAAGACGTTGACATTGGCGAACTCGAAAGAGGAGACCGCAGGTCCTCCGCGACGCTGTTACTGGGATCGTAAACGAGTAGATTCCGTACCCCAGATCGCAAAGTCTCAATGCCGACGATCGTCCGGCTGTGTCCTTGATGTTGGAAGTAGAGACTAAGAGTGATCTCCATTAGAAAGCCAGGTAGAACTGAGCTCAACTCCCCGTGCTTACGGTGGCTTTTCGCTGGAGGTAATTATGGCTCGCTCACTTGTTGAAGTAAATCCAAACCGCTTTAATCCTTCAGATTGCTGTGCGACAGCTTCTTGGGCTGCTTCCCTAAAGTATTGCTCAACCGTGTCCAGAACCGCATGGTGTTTGCCATCTGAACCCGAGGGCCGATGGAAGTCATATACTGTCACTCTGATATCAAACGTTGGTATGACCCAAATGGTAGCATCATCTTTGTTGCGCTTATACCTTATCCCCATCCACAGAAGAGTGGCCGCGATTTCTGTGGCGCCAATCCATTTCCGTGATCCTACTAAACGGCCAGAGAAGTGGCTGGCACCCATCTGGCGCAAATCAGCACCAGCTACCTGCCAGTAAGTCTCACAGGAACAAGGTACCTGGTCAAACCCGGCCCTCCAAGCACTCTCGGCCATGCTTTGTAACGTGGCAATTTCAGGGACCCGCAAGCATTCACTGCGTGGATCACAGTCTTGCTGCAGCGATGCAATCACAAGATCCCGATAAGGTGGCATTTGGAGTAGGCTTGATAGTAACATTTGAAAATTGCGGTAGCCACATCCCCAACCTCTATCCATAATACTTCCTTCATAATGTATTACAGAGGAATGACAGGTATACGCTAATTTCGTTTGATTCAGGGAATTTTTGGATTGTACTTTCGCATGTGCATTATCCTTTAATAGGGATGTGAGCTTAGGGATAATACCTGCAGAGATGTTACTCAGGATCTACATGCGTATATACGTTTCAGAACATAGTTGGATGGAGAGATCGAAATACCTGGCGTCATACGGCCATCAGATGCGGACTTTGCTGGTTCTTCTCCTCCCTTCCGCAAATCCTTCGTTTGTCGCTTTGGCAGAGGTTGCTTCCCTGCGAAAGATCGATCCGGTCGCTTCATTGGATTATGAAAAACTGGAGACTTTGAAAAAAAAGTTCAATATGCATACAATATGCAGAAAGTTCTCTATATAGGAGACGCTGGATGTGTACACTTGGTGTTGGAGAAGGCAAAGTTGTCTGAGGACCTTGACGTTGCTATACACCCAACGAGCGACACAATGTGTATAGACAAGCTCTCAGCAGGTCGCGAACGCAGGGAAGACGTGACAACGTACATCTAAGTTTGTATGTGAGCTTGTTGCATTTCCATTCCAGTTGGGGCGGGTCGCTCTCAGAGTAGAGTCTTCAGCAGGTACATCAGATGCACTGGAGACGTTTGTTACAAGATGTTGAGCAGCGACGACTTGGTTAGTCTCCTCCGCTTCATAGTGCCCGTTTACGTGGACTTCAAACTGTGGATCTCCAATCTCGAACGGAAAATCGCACACTGGACAAGGCTCCCACTGTCCCATGGCAAAAAGCAGATTGTTAAAAAAAGCAGATCGTTAAAAAGGAAAGTCAAAAGCTGAAGGTCGCTGGTGGAAGCTTAGGCAATCATTTATAACCTTGGATGTTATTTATCACAGGTGACCAACAAGGCGCCAAGCATCTTGGCATCCCATTTGGCAACTTGAATCTGCATCTTTAACAGCATCGTTGAAAGCTCGGGAAAGTTTCTGCTGGAGCCTCTGATTTTCACTTGACTGGCGTCTTTTACATTGTCCAACTATGCCAGGAACATTACTTCCTGAAGACAATAGAAGTATACGCACGGCTGCTCGTGGATTGGAGGTGCGCCTCAAGTTATGGTTCGGCGGATTTGGTGCTTTTGGCTTATTCCTGCGCTATATGCATGTTGCCTAGGTCCTTGCATCCACAGCCGCGCGACTTTACACCTCGCAGCAGAATGAATGGTCGTACACTGGGAATGTCGGCGCTATAGTATTGGGCCGTAAACAAAACGCCGGATTTGCTCTACAGCTGATTGAAGTACCGGTACGCTCTATGCTCCGCGCTAATCCAGTTCATATTGAGTTTCTGAGCTGCTTCTGTTGAAAGGCTGGTCGTATTCTTTGGGAGTATGATGTCACGGATGATGTGAAATATCAGAAAGATCGGCCATTTTTTCATAGTTTCGTGGGACCGGTAGGTATATCTTTTGATCTTGAGCATTGCTGAGCATATTAAACTGATCGCCCCATGTCAGGATTCTATGATAGGCATTTCATTTGCCGATGAGAGTGAAGCAAGCGATTTCTATGATACCTTCAACAGAAAGGAATCACATGCACCACCAGCTACTGCTACTGCAACCCCCCCACAACCTCCTTTTAGGCCACAGCCGGCTCCTCCACAGGGTATTACATTTTTGGATTCCAGTTTACCTTCACGTTACTAAGATTCGCCAAATTTAGTGCCGTCGACATCCCCTACTCCCAGTGGAATAGTTCCTAGTCCTAGTGCAGATTCAATTCGAAGCATGAAAACCGATTCTGCCAGATCAAGTAGGATTTTCTCCGGTAGTCTTCGCAAAACTAAATCGGACAAAAAGCGCGGCAAACTCGACGCTTCACAGATTTCTGCACCTTCGAATTTCCAGTGAGTGATCTAGCTAAAACTCCGCAGAACACAAGCCTAAGAATGGTCGACTAATCTATGTAATTTCTCAGGCACATTACTCATGTTGGCTATAATCCGAAGTCCGGATTCACGGTATGATGCCCTTTTTTCACATTGGGAATAAATGACACTGATGCATGTGTTTTACAGGCACACAATATTCCTAAAGAATGGCAAGCAATCTTTGCAAAGGCCGGCATTACGGAGGTATGCAATTAGTCGGGAAGATGGGCATTGAGTAGATAGTAAAAAATGACTCCTGGCCAATTTGTAGGAACAACTTCAAGATAAGAAGACGGCGAAATTCGTGAAGAATTTCATGAAGCAATATACTGCAGAGGGCGGAGTGGGAGCGAAACCGTCACTACCAGCTCGAGATACTTCGCCTGCGATTTCGGCTCCCCCTGCTATTCCGAACGCGGGTGGCGCAACTGGTGGTATGTGAGCTGGCATGGACATTAAGAAAGCCTAAATCTTACCAATGACTTCGGAAATAGGACGACGTGCGCCACCACCTCCGCCGCCGACTCGCCGCAATCCTCCACCTCCTCCACCTTCCCGTGCAGCCGCGCCTCCTCCAGAGCCGCCACGCCGTGCAACTCCTGCCGTTCCCACTCCTGCACCGCCCCCGCCTGCTCGACATGTTCCTGCACCTCCACCTCCTGTGGCGTCGTATCAGGAAGTATCGCCCAGCAGTGGAGGTCCGCCACCTCCACCACCGCCGCCGGCATTTGGAGCACCACCTCCTCCTCCACCGCCTCGCTCTGATGGTCCGAGTGCACCGGCTGCGCCGCCTCGTACTCCGGCGGCACCATCTGGCGGCCTTGACCGGGGCGATCTACTTGCGTCTATCCGTGCTGCGGGAGGTATTGGGGCTCTCAAAACTGTGCAAAAGGACGAATCAACAACCCCGCCGGAACCAGTTGATAGAGGCGATAGTATTGCCGAAGCCCTGAGAAGAGCTCTAGAGGACCGTCGTCCGGCGCTAGCAGGTAAATGCAATACGGCTCTCCTATGAGCTGAACTCCTTTAAACTTACCATAATAATGTTTTGAACACAGACTCTGACGACGATGACGATGACGATGACGATGATGGCGATTGGTGATCCCCCGCTATTGATTGATGAGCTAGCATACTAGGTGTACCTCACGGTTTTTTTATATTATATTGCATTCATATCGGTCTGTACTACAGAAAAAACCATGATCTGACAATGCATTTGAACACCAAACGCAGGTGTATTCATGATGTTTTATGCGTGGGGTTACCCATGCCATATTCCTTCTCTTTTCTTGCTACAATAACTATCTACTCATATCGAATGCCCGATTGACGAACCTTCTCAAGGAAAGCCTCCAGCTTGCACGCCCTTTTGAAATGCTCATGCAGATCGGAAGTTTGATCCTCCACCTGCCACACTAACTTCATGGTCTCTTGCAGATTGCTAGGATAAGCTCATGCGTCAGCCGCCATGTCTGGGGTAATATATTCCAAACACTTACGCTGGAATCAACTTCCTCGTTTCCGAAAGCACTTGATAGTAGTAGTTCACTATGAGAGGAATATAAATATCTCCTAAGCTCGCAAGTTCTCGCAGTCGTTGCCGGTCTCCTACAGCGACACCATGAGCATAAATAGATCATCCGTCATATCTGCATCAGCCACCAAACGTACCCGTCTTCAACCCTGCCGATTGAAGCTCGTTGTTGCTCTCACGGACAGTTTGTTCCAATTCAAGTTTCTCCCAGTCTTCTCCCTCGGTTTCTGTTACTTCAAGCTCTTCTGTTCTCGCTCCTTCCGACGCGCTTGCTTCTTCGTGTTCCGGTACCAACCAGCCCAAGTCCAGAAAGTTTCTAAAAGACTCCTGTACTGTAGCTGTAATGGCCTATATCAAGAAATTAGACGATCAAATCTGAACATCGCGCTCAGACATCTCGTGAATGAACCTCACCTTCATATCGTGCATCCATTTTCGGTACGGCACCGATGAGTATCCTTCAATGTCATGCCTATGAGTCAAGAAGGCGTTAGATGATTATGATGTGCCTAGATAGCCGTAAATTGAGAGCTTACATTTGGGATGGAGGCTTGGAGTACCACAACGACAACCACTGGGCATGCAGTTGTATCGCGTCAAAAAATGAACTGTAATGCAGATGCTCCCGAGCTGCCTCTTCCACTTCGGTGGGGTGATCGTAAGGCGATCCGCCCGGCAAAGTGCCATAAAGCCATTCAATCCGCACGAGCTGGTCGGAATACTTGGGTGTACCAAACCATCTTTGCAGAAACTCACGGACTCGGATTGCGGAATTGATACGGCCCAGTGCTGGAGTACATTCATCAGATGATCAGGCCAGTCAATGTCAGTCGATTCAGGGACGAACCTAAAAACCTTCGAATGAGCAGATTGCTGCAAAACAACGCATGTTCCTTCATGGCGGGTTCCCATAGAAGCCATCCCAGAGCCATGATCTGTCTCTCTTCCGCTTTAGTGGGACCGTCGTTTAACTCTGCAATGGCTAAGTCAGCCGGGGACGATGTGACTACAGGTTCCTAATGAACAGCGTGTGTGAGCGAGAGTATTCAAGCAAGCCTAATGAATCGCAATCCCAGATTACTTTGAGAACGCCCTGCAGCAGTGCACGGTGGAATGCAGCTTGCGCAACGCGCTGGCAGTCGAGGCCATTGCTTGCTGCCAATTCAAGGTACTTGAGCGGCTCGGGATCTTCAAGTACATCTATAAGGTATCAAAAATTAGATGACGATCCCGAGCAAGACTGGGGGCGACAAATTCAGTCTCCTTACTCTGCAAGAACAATGCATAGCGATCGACTTGAGTTCCACTAGGAAGATATGATGCATACTGGGCAATGAGGTCATTCTGTGATCGGATGGTTAGAAATTTTATACTGCATAGACGATGAAGCAGAATCTCACCTTGTGCGCCTCCGTGAGCATTTCCACGTACTTCTCTATTATGAAATCTGCATCTTCTGATGGAACCGGCTCCGAAAGGTCTCGCAGGAGAATTATGAAATGTGTCACAAATCGCAAAAAGTGCGGAGACAGTGCCGCACTTGAATCATTGGGTGAGTTGAAACTATCCGTAAATTGTCACATAAAACCGAGAAGATAAATACCTTATGGTGTCGGCACCCTTCGGATTGCTTAGCTGAGACCGGAAATGTGAAAGGAACTTATTCAGAGTGTTTAAAATAATGCTCTTTTGCACGACGTGAAATGGTTCCTGTGCGGCTCTTCTGCTAACAGAGATCAGTAACGTCCATCAAATTATGGTATAGACCCAACTGATACCTCAAATGTTGATTGTCGCTCTTCTCCAAGTGCTCGAAAATTGCACTAGGCTCTAGCGGCTCCATCGGACCATCTATCTGCACCTTATCTGTCGGCTCATTTGGCAAAGGGACAGATCGAAGTCGCTGGTGGGTAAAAAAGCGGGTTGAGTGGCAGTTGCAGCGGAGACATTTGGAAAGACCTTTATCCACCTCGTCAACCATTCCGTCTTGGAGAGCACGGTAATGCATCCACAAGTGATCTTCCCAGTGCTTGCACACTTGAGCAGCCTATAACGCGAGCGACGATGAGCAATTCAAGCGAACCTCATCGCAGAATGCTCCATTCATCCTTACATTTTGCACATCGCCTGCAAGAATCGCATAAGTTGCTCTCTCATAGGGATCGAACGATTCCTGTATGACTCGTTTCAGTCTGCGCTATAACTTATGTTACTCATATTGACCGAATTGCTCTCTCACGTTTGAAGCAATTTGAAAGCAGACCGCTTTCCATAGATCGCGATTCTGATTGCCCAATTTTTTCTCGGCGCCTTCTGTATAGGGATCGACGTTAACTCTAGCGTCACAGGCTCATGCATTAAGAACTTGAGAATTACCCCTTTCTGGATCATTCCATAGAAATCCGCCCTGTAGAGAGGCAGCTCGCCAAGGCTGGTCGCACTGCTGGTACAGATCCATCGCATCTTCAATTTGCCCGCGTCTAATGTACTCGAACGCTGTACGATGCAATGTCGACTCATAATCCTTTACATCCATTTGTGAGTCTAATGGTTATCACAAGTCTCAACATTGATACTGACCGCATCTTCTGCCTTCAATCGCTTATGTTGGCGGATTGGTGCATCTGGATCCGCTTCAGTCACCGTGTCATCGTTTGGTGGACGCCTTCCGGCTCTCCTTGTATCGTTGATGTGCTTCACAGTATGCATCCAATACCCTCGTCGGACCTCCACAGGATGAAACTCGCCCGGTGTGGTTTCCTCCAACCATGACAGAACGGCCTAGTACAGGTTAACAGAGATAGAAATATTTACTAGGTGATCGTGGCCAAAGGACCTTCGGCAGTCTCTTTTACCGTCACCTCCCCAAATGCTCTATCGTTGAAGTTTTCAACTAGAGCGCTATCACTGGCATTCTCATCGGCGGTTGGGAGATCTTCCATCAAGTCGTCAGCTTGAAATCGCTGTCTGGCAACCTCGTCGGTTAGGGATAGGGCAAAATGGATTGAGGAACTCGTCAAATTGATACGAACTCGAGCAATAATTTTATCAGCTGCCACGTGTTTGCCTCCATTTTCCACCATCGCAGTTCCATTGCCTCCTTAGTGACGTTAAAAATCGGATCAGACGTCTCCACCTCGTGTAGCTCTTTCACTCTACCATGAATGTACAGTATCAGTCTTTTAAAATCAAGCAAGAACCTTCCAAGCGATATGACGCACTTATTGAGGCAATATGCTTGGTATTGGTCAACCAGTCCGTTTTCAAAAAGAAGATCCTTCACATTGCTGTCCTTGAGCATCGTCGCAAAATTTACATAATCTTCTCCGATAATGTATTCTTCGCCTGTTATAAGTGTTGGAAAGATTGGCCAGGCCGTAAGGATCGCAGCTCATCAATCTCGCGCCATTACCTTGCGCGGTCTTTATGACATTCTGCATTGAGTCAAGAAATCCTCCACGTAAGGCTCCTATCACCAAAAGCAACGAGAAAGATGAAAGGTACTCACATCAGCTCGCTGAAGAAGAGATGTATACAGTGAATTCGGATCCTAAAATTGGAGCATTTTTCAGTCGGAGGTACAGATGGGTCTTTCAGTTCAAGTACCTACCCTAACACTTTCTACTTGTGGCCGAGAGTGCCTACGGACTTCTGCAAAAGACCCATACTTTTACAGCCGCATCATGAATGAAGGAGCCATATCTAGGTACTCACTTCGGCGGTTAGAGGAAACCGGCAAGGAACTGTTCCCTAGATGGTCATTGGGGTGGGAGGATTGTGCAGATGAACCGATGGATGAAGCCCATGGCTGCGAAGTGCTGGATCCCCGTGCTATCAAGTATAAACTTTAAGATGGGGCCTCCAGAAGATCGCTCTTCAAACAGGTTACCAACCCTGCGAATGTAGGAATGGTCGTCCTGGCGTTGCAAATGCTCTTTCCATTTGTTAGACAAAGGCGGTGAAGTGAGAGCAGAGGGCTATACGGTAGGAAAGCTGCCAAGCGCTTCGTTACAACTGATATAAAAAAACAGTTCCCATTAAGGTCGCTCACATGGTAAGTTCAGTGATAACAAGCAGGGTACCTCGCGCCAGAAAATGCTACCCCCACAGGCTGTTGCAAGAGCCTTTTCGCCTGAGCCCCTGTATACGTCTCGGAGCAACGATGATTTACAGTGATCTACTGAACAATGACAGCTTCAGTGCGCGCTGTTCCATAGTGCGGAGCCGATGGGTATTGGCACTAGTACATAGATTCCAACCAATTTAATCATAATTTTACTCGATTTAGGCAAATGAACTATGCCCACAGAGATGCTCCACCATTGAAAAACCGGCAATGAACGGATTGCAATTACTATCCCTTTGCAGCCATCTATGAGAGGAATATTCTGCAGTTGCCACAGGGGTCCAATGTGCGCATTGTCATATTTCTATATAAACCCGCCTTCTCTTCCCATTTCCCAGGTTTTCATCTTTTCCCACAGATATCATCATGCCACCAAAGAAAAAGCAAAAGCTTGAAAAACTCGACAAACTGTGAAAGGGACGTCTAGTAGAAGAACTTAGCGTGTAGATGATTGTATTGCACGTGACAGGATAACCTAGTACGGTCAGGTGACCTAGTAGATCAGGCCATGCTGGACTACAAGCCGTAAAAAGGTTTTTCAGACTAGTTGTAGGTCTTAGGACAGATATAAATACGGGAGCCCCAGGCCCCCGGGAGAAAGATAAGCTGAACTGTAGATGACAATACAGTACGGATTAACTCAGATATATAAGACGGACAGTTAGTTCTTAGTACGGCGTAAAGCCGTATACTAATCCCAACACGGGATCCCATTACTAGCACCCGTCCTACTGAGGTACAGACGGACTAGGCCATAGGTACTGCCGTATCACCTAAGTCACTGGATAGAGTTACCTTCTACTACAGCACTCCAGCTCTTGCCCAGTAGTTAGGATAGTTACAGTACGGTAGATTCCATGGCCCGAACCTACGAGAGGACGGTGTACTTGTGTCGACATCTTGTCACGCATTGAGCCATGCACCACCACCCTTTCACACAACCCTAACTGTTTGCAGCAAGCCTGGACATTGGGAATGCGTTACTGGAATCGAGATACACTGAGCACCTGCAATATGGTAACGATCGTGCAATCAATGTTGGATGGACACGGTAGACCAGAGGTGTTCAGCCGCAGGAGTGTTCCAGCCGTAGCGTAGATTAGCTAGTTAGCTTTTCCGAATCGGTTGTCGCCGGTTCAATCCCTGGTGCGGGTGCTAGTGCCAATACCCATTGGCTCCGCACTAAATGGGCAGATTATATCACCACGTGACAAATATCAAAGTCTCCGTTCAACAATGGCCGTTAGTAAATAAAATAAAAATAATGCAGGAAAAACAACAAAATGTAAAGATGGTGGTGATGCGATGTCTATCCTGATGCCGGCTGCCTTGTTACGTCCTTTGTCCACCCTTCCAAGCGCTCCAGCGCGTGTTGAACATCCTCGATCCCTTCCTCCGCACTACGCCCATCTATCCACGACTCTAAAGCACCAAGAGCCCGTGAGACATCCTCGCCGCTCCTGACGCTAGCTGCCGCATCGGCGACCCCGTGTGCCGCAGCTCTGACAACCGCCGTGCGAGCTGCTTCAATCTGACGTTCGGGTCTGGGACCCTGCGCACGCAAATTCCAAGCACCAATCTTGTCCAGCCCTTCAGCAGAACTGAATGCCATGGCATTGTACTCGGGCTTTCGGGCCCGTTCGATAACTTGTGCAAACGCTTTGCCGAGGCCATCGGTAGTTAGGGGCGCACCACGAGTTACGGCAACTCCAAGCAAATCATTCAATATGCGTGGGGCCTGCCGCCGGTCACGGACACTTCGTAGTAAGTCGAGGGCTGATCTCTCGTCATTCGAACCCGCCGCAAACACGGCCGCTGCAGACTTGGGATCCGACGCAAGGCGCGACCCGAAGGCGCGTACGAATGCACGATTGAGCCGAGTGTCGTTCGGATCTATTCGAGCTAGCAGGGCAGCTTCAGGCGTCTCGTCTTCGACTGTCTTACGGACAACTGGTACGTCTTTGCCCTCCGCCTTTGACTTCATCAATCGGTACAGATACCATAGACCTCGGATATCGCCAGCCCTTCCCATGGCATCAATAAGCTCCACAAATGTCCGTATAGTTGGCGCTTGTGACCTCTCCTTTAAACCATTCCATATGCGCCACGCTACTTCCTCCTCCCGACGATCAACGCCTCCTTGTTCTGCATCGCGACCAACAGATCGGAGCAGACCCAGTAAAGTGTCTTCGTGAGGCTGAATTGTGAACCGCGATAATCGTTCGGCGAAATCCAAACCTCCCCTTGCAGAACCAGAGTCGGTGTACGCCTGAAGAACTACTCTGGCGGACTCGGGATATAAGGGTACTCCAAGACCAGCATATCGATTGGCCCAATCCAAGCATTGCGAGAGGGCGTTCGTCGGCCCAGCAATTTGTGAAGCAGTACGGAGTACCTTCGCTTGAATGCGAGACGACCGAACTAGCGACCATTTCTGAACGTCGCGGAAGACCAACTCGATATCTGCCTCTGACCGACATTGCTTAAGCAGTATGCAGGCAGTGGTTGAATTTGGGCCAGTGCGACACCCAGGTTTGATGGGATAGATTTGTTGGAGCAATTGAAACACTTTTGACGCTTCCTGGCGATATTTTCCCCCTGCAGTGAAACAAAGGTCAAGTACCTTATTCAGAGTTGCCAGCCGTGGTCGCATATTTGGTGTGTTGGCGATCATTTGGAGGATTTGCAGTGCTGTTTCGACCTCTTCAGGCTCACATGCTCGGATTAGGATGCTATAAGTTCGCGAGTTGGGACTGATGCCCGTGTTGTGCATCTCCTGTAAAACTGCACATCGAAGGTATTTAGAAATCTTGTCGATGTTCCCACGCCAATGCCTATTGCACTTACGCGTCTGACCCATCTCCCGGTTTCCAGCTCGATAATAAGCCTCAATTAGTGCGTTGAACGGTCCTGCCAATAGTCTCTCAGAGTCTTCCAATCTCTCAATGCCCTGTAAGTCTTGCATATATTGTGCCACGACCGTCTGTGCCAAATCCAGCCTGCCTAATCTACAGCAATCTTTTGTGATTTTGGTAATCGCTCCCGGTAGCACAGCATTGTGATGTCGAAGGTTTCCCGAAGATTGTTGAAATCGTTTGATTGTTTTAAGATATAACTGGTATATGGAGTCGTTTTGTTCATCAATCGATTTTCCCCGCAAGTCAGCAATGGCACATGAAATTGCTGAAAGAACCTATTGCACACAATGATATCGATGAGTACAGGCTCGGCGACACTGGGTATACTGTCAAGGATATGACAAACCTCCTCCGGACCCAGATATCCAGCATTTTCTCGTCGTCTCGCCCGTCGCAATGTCCTTTCTTTTGCGGCCACAACTGCGTCGACAGACGGTTGATTGGATTCCAGAGTTTGAAAAATGACTTCCCATCCTGGTAATCTTTGCAGCTCAGAGGCCGTTGCTTTTCTACGTTGGAAATTAGCCTCCTGTTCTTCAAGACGCGCTGGGTCAGCGGGGAATATCGTACGCTCGACGGTTTGGTGCCGCCAGAGTGGAAAGGTGCGGCGATTTAAAGGAACTCGGATGACATCACGGTAAAAGACCGGTTGAAAGGCGGTGGAGGAACATACAGACCGAGACTCAGAAACGGGCCCTTGCTCCTTCGATTTGGGAAAGAGTCTGGTACCTCGTCTTAATGAGGCCGGAAGACGGTGTGCTTTGGGAAGAGACATCACGGCCAAATTGTGGGTAAGGTTCTCGATTCAAGCGCCCCGACGACCCTGTATGTTAAATATCGCCCTTGCCCTCACAGCGATCCGGTTGTCATTCCGCTCGTCGAGTGTGATCTCGTCGTCGGCTCGCCGATCGCAAAACCTTCCAATGATCACGTGACTTTTATCCCCAACTGTCAGTGAAACCGACGGCCTGAACGACGCGGCCACGAACGGCACGTCGGTGATTTTGGCACGACGAACATTTCCTGCCATCCCACCGCCTTCCCCAGCATTTCATATTCGCAGAGTTCAATATGGCGAGCCCTGTTCCTCCGTCTGCAGTTGATGCTCCAAAGAAGGTAACGCTTCGCGCTGGATTGTTGGGGCTCGTGTAGCCGCGGCTCAACATGTATGCTGTGGATGAACTCACGCGACGTTCTACGGATTTGCTTGTTTGCAGGTTACCTTGACCGGATATGTTGGTTTTGACACGATTACACAACAAATCGAACGCAAGCTGCTTAAGCGGGGCTTTGCCTTCAATGTGATGGTTGTTGGTATGAATTGGGAGATCTCTGTCGCTTCCAGTAAGGGTTGTGCTGACACGCTATACAGGACGTAGTGGGATGGGAAAGAGTACCCTCGTGAACACCCTTTTCGCGGCTCATCTCAAGGATTCGAACGCACCCAAACGTGCTGATACATTCCGTCAGACTGTCGACATCCAGAGCATATCGCATGGTGAGCAGTGTGCCTGAAGGATAGTCATGCTCTCTGATAACTGATATTCTGATTTGCGGTGTCCATTAGTCATCGAAGAAAATGGCGTGAAGCTGAAGCTAACCATTACAGACACACCTGGCTACGGTGATCAAGTGAACAACGACAACTGGTAGGATGACGAGTGCCGCGAATTGCCAGCAGGAAAGAAGCTCATTCGTCGAGGTGCTCGTTCCTTTATTTACAGCTGGGATCCCATCATCAAGTATATTAAAGAGCAGTATTCAGCCTACCTGCGCAAAGAACTCACGCCGGCACGTGAGAAGCGTATTCCGGACACCCGCATTCACGCTGTCTTGTTTTTCATTGCCCCCACTGGCCATGCGTACGTCTTATCCTGTCAATTCTCGGTCGAAAGATCGCTGTTCTAACCTGTATCTTCAGCCTTACTCCACTTGACATCACAGTTATGAAAAAGATCTCCGAAGTGGCGAATGTCATCCCTGTAATTGCCAAAGCTGATTCATTGACGATGGAAGAGCGTACTGCTTTCAAGCGAAGGATAAAGGAAGAGATTGAGTTTCACGGCATCAGGTGCTATCCCTACATAGACATTGAGGAGGATGTGATCCTGAGTGACACGGATCGTGTGGAGCGGCAAACTGTACAGATGATTAGAGTAGGTGGCTTGTTCCTTGATTATGCCAGTTCTACTTGTGCTGACCATGTTTCACGCATAGGATATGATTCCATTCGCTATCGTGGGATCTGAGAGGAATGTGGTCATTGATGGCAAGGCTGTGCGTGGGCGGAGGACACGTTGGGGAATCATCGACGGTGAGTTCAGGACAAGACACTGACAGTACTTTTATGGACAATTACTCATTTGCCTCTTTTTTTTATAGTGGAAAATGAAAGTCACTGCGAATTCGTCCATCTCCGCAACTTCCTCACTCGTAGCCACCTCCAAGACATGATCGAAACGACCGCCTCTGTGCATTACGAAGCGTTCCGAACCAAACAATTGGTCGCGTTGAAGGAAAGCACGTCGCAGATGGGAAGCTATAGATCTGGGCCGGACACCAGTTCCATGACCGCAAGTCAGGTATCTGCGGCATAGATCTGAGCCGCATTTCCTTTGGGGATGATGATATTGGGAATTGTAGTGTGTGTGTGTGTGCGTGTGTGGAGGAATGTGTAGCTGGCCTTCATAGAATCGTTGAGGATGTATCCTTCCTAATCTAAAAATCTCATATGTATAGATTGGTACAACGTATCGCTCTTGGAAGCAAAACTGACAACCACAGGGTGTAATGGAACAACCAGGAAATCTGGCCTACTCTATGGTAGATTGTAATTTCAGCATGTGTAGATACAGGCTTGCTAAACAACGAAAGAGTGGAAGTTTATACTATCACTATCAAAACACCTACGCTACTCCTCGTGCAAATTCTACTTCGTCAGCATGTATCCCAGTTCACCCCAGAAACCAAAATCCTGCTTCTGAAATCCCTATGAGGAGCACTGCTACGGTTTTCAGGGACTAGTCACCAGGCAGGGTACTCTACATTAAGAGCGTCACAAGCCTTCATAGGGAAAGCATCCCAAACGACAACATTTGGATAATCCATTGCAAGATCCAGGACGGTATCAGAGTAACCCGTCCTAGGCACCCAACTCAGAATCAATTTTTGCAAAGTCATCCTCGTCTGTAAAATGGTTCGTAAGCTCGCGATCCATTCTGCGGGAAGTGGCACCTGAACAATGCTCGTCACCGTTTCATCCGGTCCCTTGTGCCGGAGATCGAGGACAACCAGGTTTGTGCAGCGCCGTGCTATTTCATTTAGGATGTAGTGATTGGGGAATGTCAGAATGGAGAGTAAGGATAGCATTCGGAGCTGTGCCCCGCGCTTTTGGACGAATTGGATAATGGAGGGTTGCGGTATAGCGTCAATGTCCATCAAAAGAGTGTCAAGTGTCCTCGGGGCATGCTTGCAGAGTTTGCGGAGTAATTTGTCGGTGGGTTGCAAGCCTTGTAGATCGAGCTCTGTGAGATGTCGAAAGGCGCTGAATATCCTTGGTAGGGATTTATGGAGTTGGGCAAGGCACATTTTGGCGCGATGTTCGGTATTGACATCTTCGGATTCTTCCCGGAGATTATGTCGGATGGATAGAGAGTGGATACGCGAGCCAGATTTCGAGAGGGCGGTGAGAGCGGTGCTCATGCTTGAGTAGTCCTCCAGGGACGTGCTCGGGCGGATGGGGACCTGGAGAACTTGGAGGTTGGTGCAGGACATTGCAATGTGGTTGAGGAATTTTGCACAGTGGTCCAGAGTTATGTGGGCCTGGTCTGCTTCGAGGCCTCCGAGATGGCATCTTGTTAGGTTTGGTCCGAGACCTTCTTGGACGACGTTGAGAAAGTTGAGGGTTGCGTCACGACTGGTACTTGTTATTCCTGCGAGATCGCAAATCTGGAGTCTTGCGAAACCAGCTTGGAGGGTCTCGCGGACGTCCAGAGGATACACTCCAGATACGGGTACGTCTGCACAGTCTAGTTCAGTTGGAATCTCTGGGATCGTACACGCAGCCGGTATATGCCCATCGGTTTTATCTCCGATGTGACCATTTCCATCGTTGCCTCTCTGCTCGTGGTCGCTATCGTCATCAGGCCAGTCATCACCTTCATCCTCCTCATGGTGCATCACGATAAGCTCTCTGGAGCCGAGAATCATGTGAAATTTCAGTGCTGTGAGCTTGGCACATGCCTTGAATATCGCCTTGAGCGAATGGACTTCAATCCCGCCACTCGTCTTGTCCAATTTCAATGTTACCAACTTCGGACATGAAGTTCCTAGTGAGGTCAACAGTTTCGACATCAACGGGAGACCACCGACGCTCCAGCATGGTATGGCAGGTATATCCAGTCGTCTGACCCAATCACCCATCGCCTGTCCTTCCCGGTTGAAACTACGGCTGAGCTGCAATGCCAGTGTAAAGTTCAAAAGACTGGGAAAGCCGTTCAACATTGGATTGCGCCATAACAGGACCGAAGCTGTGGCGTTCCACGCACGGTTTGCCAGACTTGCTTCAAGAAGGTACATTTGGCCCTTTATATAAGCACTCTTGTCCTCGGTGTGCCTGTTCCCCACGTACTGGAAAATCATGTAAAGAATATCTGGACTGAGGACTGTGATACCCGTCGGCGATTGCATTGCGGGAGATGGACCCGATCTGAGATGTGATGGTCGGCGATGCAAGTGTTTGTATCGATGCAAGCCTTTTTTTGAGCAAAAAGTGATTGGGATTGCAGGATTCGTCGAACCATTTGTGTGTGGTATCTCGCTCTCAAGATGATCATTAACTTGACCATAAAACGCATTCTGAGCCTCAAAGCTTTCATTAAACTGTTTCAGTCTCTCGGCGAGAGTAGGCTGACAAAGAGGCAAGCTCAAAGCAAACTTGCAGGATTCCATAGCGGTAGCTACCCTTCTCTTTGTCAAGTCCTCGCCCGAGTTGATGGATTCGAGGACTGCATGACACAGCTCGATGACGGGCCGTGCGACACGGTCCAGAACGATCTCTGCTCCAGAGACCGTATTCATGCATGAAAGAGCCGTCGCATTAACGAGGGCAAATGTTCTGCAAAAGGGCTGTCAGAAAGGGTGCAGAGAGGCTCCACTATCCAACTTTTTGACGCGTCCTACAGCCCAATCCTGAATAAGGAGCTTCCCCCCCCCCCCCCCCCCAATACGCACAGCACCCTTATCGCATGGCTTACCTTGAGTGTCACGATATCTTTCAAAGGAAGGTAGTGCACTTTCCTCTCGGCCATGTCATCTGGCAGTGTCAGCCGCGAGCTGTCAAAAGCTTCCAGTTAAGCCAGATGTTTAAGTGATCACTAGCTAAGCCACACGTGCTTACGCAGGACGCCTCTCGATTTGGGGGATGACGCAGTCCACTTGTTGAACACTTTCGAGATCCTTGAACACTCCCAATCTGCACACTATGCGTTTCTCTCGTGCCCTTCTAGTCGTCGCTATCCTTGCAGTACTTGCTCTTGTGGTGGTGCCTTCGTACGCTGCAGCTCAGAATGAATACCAAGAGGTTATTTTGGATGCGGGAAAGAGGACAACTGCAGGTAGGTGGTCACTGAGAGGGCAAGGATGAGTGACGCTTTTGCAAGTTTGAAAGTGCGATTTGCAAGAATTTTATTTGGGTACTTGGATGTGGGTAGCCAGAAAGGATTGGCACTAACGCTCTGGCCTCATTTTGTACTTTCAGAAATGAAGCGCTACATCATTTCTTTCAAGGAAAACGCCAACAAAAAGACTCTGGACGACCTCATAAAGAAAGTGACTGACGTTGGTGGAAAAGTAATCAACAGGTATAAATTTGCCATGTCCTCGGATTCAGCAGATGCAGAGTAGTTAAATATTGGATGTTAGGTTCTCTGTTATTCCGGCCATTTCAGTTGAAATCCCTGCGAATGTCGTTACTTCCTTTTCCTCCTTCTCCGGTGTTGACTATATTGAAGAGGACAAGCCTGTTCAAGCTTATGGTGGGGTTGGAATTTAATGCGGTTCTATGAAGCGCTGCTGCTATATCAGTTTGGATGCCATAGTTGCATCGCCAGTGATTGTTTTAGGTTTTTATGTTTTTTTTTGTAAAGTTTTTCGTCTTACTCGTAATGTTGAGTAAGTATGCCAGTGTGCTAGTGTTTTAATGGATATGGAATACTTTTGAATATTGATACATTTTCTGATGGTCTGGGCAAACAAAGCAAGTGTCCAGTGTTGTTATGCACGAATTTATGCTAATGAATTGCCAGCCCACTCAGTCAACTGTACCATCGAACGCTCATTCCCATCAAGGCCATATCTCCGCCTACATGATATATTCATGTTCTCCCGTCTATGCCGGCGATCATTACTTGAAATTGAACGTTCCCCAACTTGAGCAAGAGCAAAAAAGCTGTGAGATTTCCCTGCATCTTTTTGCTGATGCTCCGTTTCCAGTGCTTTTAATTCTCGCATGATCAACGGCCTGCATCCAACTTGTAAATTTCAACTCCAGAAAGTTTCCTTTTGTTCTCCCATGACTGGTTGGTTGGAATGCCAATTGGAATGTCCCCTAATCACATGAACGGATCGGATGCCATCCCCTTCAAGAGCTCCAAGGACTGCAATCGTTTCTCTCTGCCGACCGCCGAAAATCTGTCGTTTCTGATCTCGATCCCTCACCACGGCCTCACCGTCGCCGCGTCCACAACAGCCGGAAAATCTGTTGTTTGATCTGCATTCCCTCCGTCCACAACAATATACAGCGCTGACATCCTTTTTTGTTGACCCTGATCATCGTATATTGTCTAGAGTTTCGGATGCAGCATGAAATATCTTTACTCAATTGCTGACTTGATCAACGACAGCAATGCTTTGGTGATTTCCAAATATCCGATGTGTTGCTATGGAATCGTGTCTCCATTATTATGCAAAGACCCGCATGTCAGCCAGCACAGCAAACAGCCTTTTGATAACAATCACTTCCCAGGACATGGTCCATGGTCAGATGTCAATCCCTGGTTCCAAGTCTCGCTTCCGCACGCCTGGATCGCATCCAACCTAACCAGAGGTATGGCATGGCTGCTGAAAAGTATCAAATTTTTACTGCGTGATCTGCATCTTTTTGAGGAAATGTAACAGAAATTTGGGAGTCACGGGTTCTCTTACCTAAAAAGGAAAGTCAAATGTTCCTGGACAGACGCGCGCCTAATTTTAGGACCCAGATCCGCCCAAAAAAAAATAGACAAAAAAAGGGGGAAATGGACCCAAAAAGAAAAAAGAAGTTTTGGGCGGCCAGAATCCGAGGCGAGATTTTTTGGAGAGGAATTTGGATAATGTGGGGGTTTGTTGTCGGAGAGGGTCCTTTAGAACGAGTGCAAGAGGGAAGAGAACAAGGGGGGGGGGGGGGGGGGGGATTTAAGAACGAGTTTCTGAACGACGGGAGCAGCTTTGGGGGTTATAAAAAAGCAATGGGCTTGCTCGCCATCTTCGCCATCTCTGCAACGACCAACACTCTATAAAAGAACTTAACTGTTACTACACAATCATGATACGTCCGTGCTGCCGCAACGAACTCTTGCGAGTTACTTGCACACAACCGATCAACGCTGCTCTCATAAGTGTGTATTTTTTAATTGAACGTTATTTTTTTTCCGGGTGCTGATACTAATGTGTGTGTGACTTTCAGATCTCGTTGTTGACACTGCCAGTCAAGTTATCCCTTGCGCTCCTCCAACACCTGGTTCAGTTCATGTCCCACCCCTCCACAAATTCGTAAATGACTTTGCACGACGGATGCGCGTGTCGAGTTCCACGCTCATTACAGCCATCTGCTACCTCTCACGTTTGCAACGTAAGCTCCCATCCACTGCCCGCGGTCTCGCCTGCACACTGCATCGCATCGTCCTTGCCTCCATGCTGGTCGCAACAAAGTACTTGTACGATGCTCCCGTCAAGAACCGTGTATGGGCAGCACATTCCGCCGTGTTTTCCTTGGCAGAAGTCAATCTTATGGAACGACAGCTCCTCTTTCTGCTCGACTTCAAGGTCGGAGCATGTAAAGAAGAAATGGAAGAAATTATCCTCCGATTGAGACTGCCTGATCAATTAGACAAGGGCTGCAACATTTGCAATAAAACAGCGATTCCCGACATTTGCCCCACCGTCCGGGAAGAAGGCGTTCTCTCTTGTGTACCCGTACCTTCTCCTATCCTCCCTTTGCTGGCACAGCAACTCGAAACACAACCATTACCGTCCCGTCTTCCTTTGGCCGTTGCCTGTCGCGACCAAGAACATCGGACAGTCTTGCTTAGACGGCCCAGTGCAGGCTCTATACTCGACATTCCATCAGAGAAGCATGTAGCACCAAAGCGCGGCTGCAAAACAATAGATACGCCTAGTGGCGTTCCTGTGATGAACATACCTCGGAGCACTGCTCCTGCAAGCCTGGCTGTGGCGGCAGCAGCGGCTGCCGTTGCTGCTTCGGCGACGGTAGTGACGGCAGCATTGGATGTATCGAGTACCTGTTATGCACAGACTGTATTTTAATCATCCCGGCGGCTATTTTATAGAAGTCTGCTTCTACTGCACGCTAGTATTCCCATCATCTTGTAATATACTTTCTTTGAACATGATCTATTTTTTTTCAAAAACTTGTAATCATGTCTATTCCATAGTGGATATTTTTCGCAGTCTGGGCACTCTCTACGGCTTCGTGATTTCGCGAGTCTCGTTGACAAGTGGGAGGTTGCATTTGGCCCATCAATAGGACGGCCAGAGCATATCTGCAACTGCAGGCGTTACGTGGCTTTTTCTCTCCCGTTGCGACATTGTTTATTTTCGCGCTTCTCTGGTTCGGGCGGACAGGGTCTGATTGTCGCATGCTGCGGGAGGAAATCCCTTGTTTTCAAACACGGCCAATAATCTTGACGCAGCATGAGTCACCTCGCTGACTCATTACGACATATCGTATCTCCACGCTCAGGCCCGCATCTCTCCCTACCTTATCAAAATAAACAATAGACAACAACCAATAATATACAGTCGGTGAGCATCAAACTATCCTTTGGCATGCCACCAACATGTATTTAAAAGAAGCAGCAGACTAAAGAATAGTATGACCTCATAGACCACATCATCTTAAGTTTTAACCGAGTCAGACGGGGCCCACCATCCTTCCTACCGGGTTGGAATATCCCAGAGGAGAAATCTTCAACGGGAGGGAGACGACCAAAAGGCACATCTCAAACGCTCCCCACTTCTTGTTGGATAGAGGCCCTTCGTCTCATCATCCTACGGTGATATGTGCGACTTTGTTAGAAAACAAAGCGAGGTACGACAGACTCCACATATGATCCTGAAGAGTTGGTCGATAAAGAAAAATGGCGGGAGGCCGGAAAGGCGACGCTTTTATATTTGAAAATGGGTCATGTGCGTGGCGCATGGAAAAACTGAAAAAATCGAGCGCAGTCCTTGATCGAATTGGTTGGAACCCAACATATGGATTTTTGGATACTATTGCAAGCGCGCATCCCCAGTTCAACAAAAGGATATTCCAGAGCTGACGATTTCTGCTCACGCAAGTTTAAAGTCATTCGTATCAGGTTCTACTATTTAAAATATCCATGTTATATACAGTATAAAATCTATCCCAAAACCAATCTTACAACCTAGACCTTAGAGGTTCTAGTCTATACCGCATCTCCTTCAACTGTCGCGTATTAGGTTCCCACATTTCAAACATTTTCAAAAGACCATCCAACTCTGTTTTAAGCGTCTCATGATTTTGGATATTCCGATCATCCACTAGGCGCGCCATTATCCAGGGCAAATAGTATGGGTTAAGACGTAGGGGAGCACTAAGACTGCGCGAGACCATCATATTGCTCCTCCACGGTGCGTTGGGGACAGCAGGGATGCTCCATGGTGGTTTACCGCCCATTGTCCACGCAACAGCCACCCTGCAACGAATAGCAAGCACCGCGGTTCAATTGTATGACAGAGGATGCGCATTTACGGTAAAAATGGACTCACATGTATGTGTTGATTTCCTCATAAATCGCCGAATGCCCTTGTGTACCGAATCCGTACAGATTCCCGGCAAGAATATCAGAAAGATGAACGACCAAGTCATGATCTGATAGCCCCGCATTCCGCAAGGCGAGCCCGAAGACGACGAGATGGCTTAGGAAATCAGGAGTGTAATCGGCACCGTCAATGTACAGGGCACGATAAATGTTTGGGTGATGGAAACCATGCATGACTGCAGAATACAACTGCAAAAATACTCTTTAGCAAAGGATAAACCATCAAGATGTAGGCTACCACACATACCGGAACGACCTGATCGTACCAGCTCCCAACGGCAACAACCCTCACACCGGAAGCAAGGATGTGTCGCATGGCTATGTAATACTTTTTTGCAATTTCCGAGTTCGGATCATTAAACTCAAACAGCTCCCTGGCTGCATCTGCCTCGAAGTATTTGACAATCATGCTTGATTTCAACGAAGGGAAGGGACCTGCGGTGCCACGCAACTTTTCAACAAACAGCCGTTATTGAGACACATCGCCAATGTCATCCCTACCATGAGTGATCCCAGCCATGGCCAGTAGAGAAACTTTTTGTCGCGATGTATCGATTAATCCTTCCCGAACAAGCCGCGCCAACAGCATCGCAGATACAGGCGTCCCCTGACTATGTGCGGCAACAAAGACCATGTCCGCGTCCCACAGTTTCTTTCGCCACCCCTGATCGGACTCGATGAGTTGGCGGTACAGCATCGCGACCCGTCGCTCCACCTTTCCCTCCCCTTCCAATGGTATCAAGGTGATTGCTTCATCGTCTAGCATAATGTTATACCGCTCTGAAAAGAAGGACCGCACGGCCATGGCCATCTTTTCCGCAAATCTGGCGGACGTACCAGTGGGCTCACCCACAACTTTGACGTGGAAAAGGCAGACTTAGGATCTATTAAGCAAAAGCAAATAATGGCACAAACTTACCCCGCTGTAGGAACCTTCCAGGGAACCATCCATGAACGCCTTAAAAAGAAAGAAGTATCAGTTTCGTTGCCGCCATACGTGTTGGTAACAGTTAAAAATCCAACAATAACGCAGATTACCTGATGCTCACCTATAATGGCGATACGTCGTATAATGTGCGGTGTCCTAACAAGTCGCTCAAGTATGGTAATACGTCGCGGTTCTTCGGGCTTGTTTGGACGCCGGAAAATCCAACTGGTCGCGCTATGCAACATGCGTTGAAAGAACTGCTTTTGTGGACTCTCGGGTACGACTGTATTGTCTGGGAATAATTCGGGTTCATAGGACGGTAATACGACATTGTGCCGGCGGTATTTTGCGGGTTCCGGTGGAACGGTCGGAGTTGGCTGTTTGAGTGGAGATGATGAGGCATCAGAGATAGTTGATTTTGACAATGGCTGTGGTGGGGGTGGTGGTGGTTGTGTAGCGAATTGCGGAGGAGATGGAGGACTCGTTTCTTTCAGTTCTCCTCCCCCTTTCCCATCCGGATTGGTATGAGACGCTATTGCTGCGATCGGATTTTGTGGGCCGTTTAGCGGAGGAGCCACATCACTGTTACCTTCCTGCTTAGTCTGATTCTCGAGAACGGGACTCGTTTTCCCCTTTACTGTGTCGTCCCTTCCATCCGCAGGCCCATTCCCACTCCCGTGTATCGAAACGTCTGTCAACACGTCCTCCGCTCCCAGATGAACATCCTCCTTCTCTGATCCCCGATGTGCTGCATTTTCATTTTTGGCACGCGGCTCCGGAACTGCTGGCGATTGCGCCTTTGTATCCAATGTTTCGCTTCCGTTATCGGTCAGCTTTGTGAATGGCAATATTACAGTTTTCCAAAGGTCTGTCCCAAAAGGTGCCATATTACCGGGTTTCTTGTTGGAATGGTCACTAAAGGCACACCTCGCAACAACAATGTTCACAGAATGAGCAGGATAGCACGGAAGCCGTCGACAGCAGCTGATAAAACTGGAACAGGGCCAGATAGCGGTTGCGAATGCAGGTGAAATGCGGAGGCCAAGTCCTCCCATGACTTGAGACCCTACTCAGACGTTGATTGAAGTTTATCCGGTGACATCAACCAATGACACACGTGACACGACGGAATGACTCATCAGCTATCGGAAAACTTGCCGTCCTGCTTGCTCTTATTTGTGCGAAATCGTCTCAATCCTCAACGACCATCATGGCATCCCTTTTGCAGTTTGTGACGAGCCGAATAGACCCGTTACAATTCTTTTCAGCATCGTCTTCGAATTCTTCTATTACGCCGTACTCCATTCCTTCATCCTCTTCGACGTTTTCCGAGTTTGGGGACGGGGATAACTCGGATCTCGCGTCTTTCGCTCTTCGAAATTATGTTTTGGCTGTGTTAACAAGCCCTCTTCAAGTTGTTGAGACTCTTTCTGAGGTACAATATCAGAAGAGGGAGGAATCGACTGAACAGACCCCGGCGCCAACAGTAGCACAGGACGCTGTGCCGACTACTACTGAGGATCACCTTCCTCCGCTGCAAGATGGTGTCTGGGAAAACATTCGCGAAATTGTAGAAAGCGATGGAGAGGGATGGACCTCGTTATTGAAAGGTTGGTAGTACCTCCTACGTTTGGCCAGGTTGGTATGGGCTTGGTGGGATGGACTTTCAATATTTCGGTAGCGCAAGGCTTATCATCTCGTACTCTTTACCCTTGTAGGACATTTCACCAACTTTGCGTTTCATGCATCTTATGCGATATTGCAGCCCGCATTAGAAGAGGCCATCAATGACGCTTTTGATGTCTATGAAGACACGCACCCGGCCACTCTGGTTTTGAGCCATGTTGCGGTCGGCAGTTTGCTAAGTCCTTTAGAGTTGGTTCGTACCCGGTACGTCGCTGGACTAGGGTGATTTCTCCGTCTTGCCGCAATCTCATTGTTCTCTTTACATTTAGCCTCATCGTGCAACCGTCACAGTCACATCGGAAAAAGTATTATGGTCCCCTACACGGTCTTCATGCCATCGCGACCGAAGAAGGCAAAGGCTTTGGCAGTCTCTACTCAGCAAGGCATCTAGTGCCATCCATAATTTTCCATGGCTTGTCCCCCGTCCTCCGAATCATCTCCAAAACCATCATCACTGAAGAACTAGGACTCGACCCAACCTTCACCCCTGTCCTCCACCATCTTGCTACATTGGCGTTCATGGCGATAGAAGTGGGCATCATGACCCCAATCGATATGGCCAGAAAGCGGATTCAACTTCAACGACTTTCGCCATCTCCTGCTCGTTCAGGGCCGGGTGAAGCCCCTCAGGCGTGTGAAACGAGTGTTGAAGTCTCCCCCAAGTACTACAGCGGACTATGGCATTGCATTCGATCAATTGTTGCCGAGGAGGGAGGTAAAAGTAAACGAAGACGAAGGCGAAGGAGGCATCAGTCCACTGGTTTAGCCAGCGAGTGGCACCAGGTTCATGACCATGAAGCAGAGTACGGTTCATACGATATTCCAGCCCATCGACGATCAAATACCGGGTTCGTTGCTTCTGTGGGACGATTTGCTTCTGGAGTTCGCACGTTATATAGAGGCTTCTGGGCACGGTATGTTTCCCGAGTGGTAGTGTATGCTTTCGATGAAATTAGTCAAAGTGAAGAAAACTGGTAAAGGGTTCATTGTTGATGGGAGATATATAGCATCGTCGTTAGCTGTATTTTTATATATCAAGATTTGTATGCAAATAGACGTGGTGTGGTTATCCTGCACCTTGCTGTGGGGATAATGGCATGTTTTAATTGATGAATAGATAAGATCGCCATTGCATTGACCCGCCAAAAAAAAAAGCTGTACAAGAGTTGCCATATGGCCCCTCCACATTCGGCTTGCAATGCGTGGCAAGTTTAAATGCTTGACTTGATATCCGTCCCCGTGTCCAAGAACACCGTACCTCTCTACTCTGCTCTACCACTCTACTCCTACCCTAACATGCTTGTTTTTACGCTGTATGCTCCGTCAAATGATCCAAATGCTTAAATGTCTAACTGAACACGAGCCTCACTCGTTTCGTCTCTACTCTGCTTCAGGAAGGGGATAAGATCCGTACCCCCTGTTCCCCGTGCCTGCAACGACTAAAACCATATCGATTCTTAAATTATTTTTACTAACCCAATTATAGGCAGAGGTCACGAAGACATACCTGTTGTACCCGCAAACTCTGCGACGCTTGTGGAACGTCCAAATGTCCAACTTCCTTCTTCTTCCGCGCCTGAACAACAATGTACGTCGCGACAACTTGGAGATGTCGATCGCGGAACGCTCGCATTCCTTCCACGCATCGGTTGTACATCCGACTTACTTCATCAGACAAGGCTGGATCGTAGCTGGGGGTGTTGACGAGTTCATTGACGAAATCTCGTATAGACGGAGCGCGCTCCAATGCGTAGATGAACTCTCGGTGGGGACCTGGCATGTACTTGCGCATTTCGTGAATATGGTTGATGGGAGGTTTGCTGCTTTTGCCGTTCGCATGCGGCTCAGTCGGCGAGAGTGGCGGCGAAGTCTTTGTGCTCTTTGTTGGATGGTGCAAGATGCCCAGCGCCACGTCCAGAGAGTGGATCAATGAACTTTGCCCCGCGCTGGCGCCCGCGTATTTCCGGTACGTTCCCTCAATTTTTATCCCAGCAAAGACAGTTGCCAAGTTTTCAACTGAGTCTTGTACCGGGTACGGGCAGTCGAATTTATTGGCATAAACCCCCTTCACTCCATAAATAGGGCAATGCTCGGATGGGCTTTTCAGTGTTTCTCTGGCCGGAAGTACTCCCTCGTAAAATAATCCATCGGGCAGTTCGCTAGAGTGTTCCCAACCTGCCAAATACGGCCGTACGCGGTGATAGAAAATGTGTGGATCGTTCTATAGGCGCCAGCTTGGTCAGATGGATTGCAAGAATAACTCAGCGGATGTAGAATTGTTACCTTTTCGTACATTCTGACCATAACCTTCGTTATATCCTCAATAGCTTCGGCGACTATCTTGAGATTCGCCACAAGGGCGGGGAGGTCCTGTTTCACAACAGCATGAAGGCAGGCGACGATCGCTGGCAGCGCAGGAGCGCCAGCTGACTCGGTTGCAATACTGATCAAGTAGAACCATGCTTCATCAGGACCTGTGAAGGTGTTCATGACTGCAAAATTACTGAAGACCAGTTCGTCAAAATGGTAATGATATGGATCCACTATGAACGTCCCCACCGAATTACCTTAAATCCCACGGCCCGTTTGTATCAAGTAGCCGATAGTTATATAGTTCCACAGCGGCGTACGTTATTACCGGTTTGAGTCCGAGATACTGTGCTACATCGTACCATGGTCTGGCGAGGGCTACAGGAAGCACCTAGCAACCAGATTACCAACCGCGCGATCTATCGTAAAAGAGCATCTCGAATCTTCAATATACCTCTGCAACATCTTCATTTTTCCCCCACACATATCCTTGACCAATGAATGAGAGTACCAAGTACGCTCTTTGCCATTCACGTTTCGTCGAAAGGACGTCCGTCGCTAATACAGGTAACTGAAAACCAAGCCAAAATCAGCACAACTCTCCTTTGTCAACAGCACCTCAACTCCCGACAATATGTTGACCGCACCTGCTTGACTGCTTTCCGCAAAGCACCTGCAATCAACAGTGGGCTCAGATCGTCCAAGATTTTCTCCCAAGGTTCAAAGTACTCTGGCAAACGCTGCAGTGGTGGTGGATCAGCCGGCAAGAAGCCATGTACTGGGTGAATATCGTAATCCTCTAGCGCGGGTATGACCGGGTCATCAGTATGGGATAGGGAAAGCTTTGCTAATGGTGATGAGGGTAGTCGTGACTGTTTGCGTAGGCTCTCTGGTGTCATGATGTCTGGCATGCAGGTATTGGATGTACGGGATCGAGTCCGGAAATGAATGCGTATCCTGTATCTCAAAGTTACTAGTGGCGATTTGGCATGGAAAAAAAAGGAGGGGTCGTAAAAACAAGCTGTCAGGCCAAGATCCTCGACAACGACTTTGTAAAACAAATCCAAAGGTTTGATATCATGCCTCACAGTCACGTTGTTTGAGATTGGTAAGCAGAACATCCCGCGGATTGCGCGCTTTTGGACACTTTTGTTTGTTATTTTTTGTATTATCAGATACCCCTACATTCCTTCCATGGAGCTCGACGGGACGTCCATACTCGCTTTGGCGGACATGCTCCGCTCTCCCAATGGGGAGGTGAGATCATGTCTCTGCGTATACAGAGAAGGATGTCGTTAACACATTAGCCCCGAACACACGCCAGGCAGAGTCTGGATCCGCCGCAACATACACACCCTATTCCCAAACATCTGATATTTCTCCAGGATCCATTGGACTGACAAAAGTTGCAGAGCGTTCATTAGTGGAAAAGGAATCAAGACCAGATACCTACTCAAATGAGATCTGGACCGAGGACGAAGTGGAGGTTGATGTGGAGGTCGAGGCAGATCCCAGACCACTGCCAGAGTTAGTGACGATGCATCGCCATTTCAAATCAATGCATAAAAATGAAACGCGCTCATTCATTTTAGATACACCCTTCGCTATCGCCAACGCGTGTCTGCCAATGATCTCTACTTGGGAGGACTGAGCGGCAAAACACCATCAATACACGACGCAGATGATCTTGTTGTCTCGATTTCCATGCCCCACGCAAAAATGAAGGATGTCGACTTGGACTGCACAGAGTCGACATTGGAAATCCGCTCTCCACAATATCGGCTGAAGCTCCCTTTGCCAGATTTGGTAGACTCTGATAATGGTGAAGCAAAATGGGATAAAGGAAAGAGTTTACTTGTGGTCACCTTACCAATCAAGCGTGAAAACCGCTTTTAGCGTAAATGGCGTATGGTTAAAGCGATATGAGATTCCGTAAATGTACCATAAAGTTTTTCAAAATGCGTTCCAAGACCAGCTTCAATAACACACATACGTAGTACTTCTACTGTGTCCAACTAATGGTCCAAAATTCGCAAATTGCCAGATACTACCTTGTCGTTCAAAATAGAGCCGGATGGTACATCAATCCTTGATCCATGGTTCGCCACAATGATGACGGTGCCTCGAGTCAAAAGGATGTCAATACATCTTGCGCAAGCGTCAGAGCTGAGGAGAACATCACAGGGTAGTTACCTTCAAGTACAACATCATGCCCGAAGGTGACGTCGCCCGTTACTGTTAAATGATCCAACCCAAGGATATGTGGTGTTCCTTGAAACCGCGACAAGAAATGAGCCACCTGAAAATATATATGTTAGCATCATAGAGGCAGTAACATAAAGGGTTAGACAGCTATTACCTTTTTGAAGTGATCACCCAGCTTTACAAGTGGAACGGAATTAAATTGCCTTAACGGATTCATGGTAAGCTCGCCGTGTTCGAGTTTGTAGAGATCTGACATGACCAAGAAGAGATCCGATGTGCTTTTCACAGGCAAGAAACGATTTCTGGGGACATTGACCCCGTGAGCCCCCTCAAAATGCTTGATCGCTGCTCCGACGGCTGTTTCCAATTGGATGACCTTTTCGCCGCTGGCGTCTGTCTTGTGATTTACGATGATTTCCATGCTTAGCTCGTCATTGTCGATGATTCGCTTGATAGCTTTCAAGGAGATCCAAAGGTTGTTCGTGTTAAAGATCTAGAATGTGATCAGATAATGGTTGCGACAGCAAAATAGAAATGCATACAAAATATCAACCTTGAACTTTTTGATAGATTTGAAGTCGTCTACCTGTGCGTCATTGACAGGAATGATTAGCGTCCATCCAAGAGGAACTCCAAAGCTGCCCACTGGCTGCCTATATAATACGTACATATGCCGATGGAACCTGAGCAATCTCCAGGAGCCGTACCGTCCCCTCATATTCAATGAGAGTACCACCTTTAACATCCGCCTTCGTTTTGTCGGTCACTTCCATGATGAATTCTGCGCCGGACTTTGCGAGATGGTTCAAAATAGCTGAGACATGCAAATAATGCATTGGTCAGAGACAACAGACAGCTACGGACTAAGTCGTAGTGAACATACTGGTATCAACTGTGGCGCCCAAATTGTCAACATTAGAGACAAATAAATATTCTTTTCCTTGTTCAAGTAGCTGATCCAAGAGCCCAGAGTTTGCGAGTGCTTCGAACAGATCACCGTGTCCAGGCGGATACCTGCCCCAGCATATGAGAAGAATATTCACACAGAATTTTTGCGTATGTCCAAGGCTGCTTACCAGTCTCCAGGTTTACCATCGGGGGTCTTTGGCATTGGTAGAAGCGAATCTTTAGAGATACGGGGGAATCGGCTCTGGTTAAACGTCAGGAGCTTGATTTGGTGGCCGCGGTACTTTTGGATTATGCGGTGGGTATCACTGTCGGTGTTGAAGGAATTCATTAGGATGAGCGGCACGTCCACATTGTTCTGGCTGTTAAGGTACTGCAGGTATGTTGTGAAAAGTCTATCGTGAGGGACTGAAGACAAGAAAGAAAGAGTGTGCATACCTCGATTTGGCGAACCGTGAGATCGAGAAAGGTCATCCCGTCTCTGACTTCGATGGCGCTATTACAGTAGTGCGTGAGAAAGGCAAAGCTTAGATCTCTTCAGCGGAACGGCACGGCGATCCTTACCTCTTGGGTCCCACACAACCCATTGTGGTACCTAGCCCACCATTCAGCTTCAGAACTGCTAGTTTATTCAAGACGCCAGATTTTTCCGTGGGTGCCACTTTCGGAAGGTCTTTGTACAACTTGATCTGCCATAAGAATGATCATCTTGTCATGATGCCATTCACTTGAACCTGGCTGATCGATAAGCCCATGGTCTTACCACGCCTGGCCCCGGCGACTTGACTTCGTTCCAATTTCTGTTCAGCAAACTTAGCAGAATCATTAGATAAATAAGATTGGACAAACGCCCTTACAGAGTTTGGCTTTTGGCTTTCTGAGCCAAATATCGTACAAAGAGTGCGTAGAATCCGTCCATTTCCAGAGTGAAAGCCTGGCAACCACGAGTTGGCTTAGTTAATGGAGGAACATTATGAATGCGGCCACCACGTACGTACTTCCCGCTGAGGCCCTTCTGGGACCATGTCAACAAGCTTGTTAAGCTCATTCCGCATAGTCTAAACAATCTGTTAGTATAAAGTTTTATACACGTTGCCCAATCACGACGCGTATAAGCATCCATCGTTAGGTGACTTACAGACGCTGCGATAGTTGACGTTGTTTCTTGGAAACCCTGGAAAGAGACGGTATTACCAACTGTATAATATATCGCGTGCGACGATTCCTAGCGCATCAACAGGCCACGAACCAGCAACGATAGTGCTCGACTGTGTTCTCGAGCCCTTGCCCGCAAGTCGGTTGGGCTACCGGGTATTTCCTCGCCATTAAGGGCTAGGAGTGTTCTTCCGTTTGCCATGTTTACAAAACGTTTGAAAGTTGAGCAATAAGTGTTGGTGAGGCAAACAGCTGCAAGTCGAGGAAGCATGACGAAGGCTGATGACGCGCTTCAAACCCTGGTTCGAGCTGGTTCGGATGCGGGGAACAACGTCCACCATTTCCCTCTGACACTTGGGCCTGCGATCATCTGCCAAACATTGGCCATCCGTACTATGGAAGACCAAGACCTCACCCAGATTAGCTGGAGAGACCCAGCCTTCCTGCAGCATGTTAGTTTTTTGGGCCATCTGATTGGCGTCGTCATGTTGCTGACACTCGTCATTTCTCAGTTTGGCCTTGGCGAACACAATGTCATGGATTACTTTGCATTGAGTGAATTCTACGACAAGTCTTCAATTAACGAGCAACTGCGAATGCAGGCGAGATTTAACGAACTGCAAACTAGTCAATTGGATAAGCGGTCTGCATACTTTATGGAATTCACGATTTCAGTCTGGTGTGCTCGCTATAACCCTTGTTTCTATTGCGGAAAAGACAGATGACGGGAATCGACTATGAGCTTTTATACGCGATTGTGAATGTGCAACCAAGCTTGTTTGTCATAACCAAGGGAATGCGCAGGAGTCCTAATAATGGTACGCTTTGCAATACCGTCACCGACCTCTCCCAAAATATCTCGCTGAAGAATAGACAAATCGTTGGTAGTTGACCTGTTGGCCGCATACTACATTCTGGACGGCACCGTATACCAGACTCCAGATCTCCACACTCTTGTATCTAACAGAATAGTGAGTACGAGCACTAATATGATCTGCATCCTGCTCGTACTGATTCGGCCATCCGTCTAGCTGACATCCCTTCACCACGTTCAAAAACTCTTCGATGGTGCGCTAGCCGATTCACGATATCATCCCGCATTGGGACATTACTGGAAGGAAGATGAAGCTCTCTACGTTACAGATAAAGAAGCATCAGCTCATGACAGGAAGCGGAAACAGCAGTTTGCTACGGGTTTAGACGCACTTATAGCGGATTCCGTGCAGAGCAGCCTGGATGTGGTTGCGTCCTGGGAGGAGGACAATAATCAGGGAGTGTCCACGGTGGAGACAGGCGAGAAGGTGGAGCCGGCTGTATCTACAGGGTAGCGTCACAGCAAAAGGTACCAGTCGCCACTAGAACCTGTGGATATTTGATCATCTTGCAATAAATTATATATTTCCGCCTCAAGTAGCTAAGTAAAATAGTGACGAGTTACATGGATAACAACTTAAATATTCCCTGTAATGAGACCTCATCGTTCTCCCCCTCCCCACTGTCTACGCTTTTGTGAATCATGAGAAGGGCTAGGATCACGGGAAGGTGGACTAAACTACCAAAGAACAACGTTCGTGCAGTCTTATCCGAGGGATTTCTCCAAAATTTCCATGCCCCTGCAGCCATAACGGCATTGATGATGGACGAATCCAAGGCAAACCACCACGTCGTCAGTCCCAGATACGGCGCGGCCCATGCGAGGGGAAATAGCAGCAAGCTGTATCGTAACGATACGCGCGCGTTTAGCGCCGGATCTGTTACAGACATCATCCGGTAGCCTGCCTTAGAGTAATCGGCTCTCAGATTCCAGCTTAGAGAATTAAAATGTGGGAATTGCCAAGCGTACAATACTGCTGCCAGCAACCAAGCTCCGGCGTCCAGACTACCAGTACACGCTGCCCATCCCATCATGGGTGGTATCGCCCCTACAATCGCACCTGCCCACGTATTTGCAATCGAGGTCCGCTTCAGAGGAGTATATACACATGTATAGAGGATAATATTGCTAGCCCCGAGCGCGGCAGTGAGAGGGTTGACAAAATGTGCTAGAATCGCAACACCGGCTGCTCCGCCAGCGATACCGGCACTGAAGGCGTGCAGCGGGCTGATAGCATGGCGAACGAGAGCTCGGTTGCGTGTTCGAGACATTTGCGCGTCATAGGGTGCTTCGATCCATTGGTTGATCGCATTTGCGGCTCCAGAGCAGAGAGCAGTTCCCGCCGTTGTCCATAGCAAAGTTGACACGGAAACCGCTCCTGGCGCCAATGCATATCCGGCCATAGCCGTCAGGACGACAAAAGCAGACAATTTTGCCTTTGAAAGCTCTTTGTAGACGGCAGGGGTATACTCTGGGGCGGCTTTCCACCGCAACTTGACCATAGCATCATTGTTGTCTGAAGCTCCAACAGGCGGTATCGTCTCGCTCTTCGATGGTGCTTCAGGTGATGTTGGCGCCTGTACAGGAGCAAGATTTTTGATATTATGACTGGCAGGTGTGTTTGCCGTGGAGTTGGGACGCACGCCGCGGTTTGCAAAAAAGTGGGTTTGGAATGTTGCTCGTGATGAAGGTGCTGTTGAGGTGGAAGGCCATGTACGCACCGAGGTAATATACACTCGATGGACGCTATTGATAAGTGGTGATATGTGTGATTTTGGTCTTGGCGGCCTCACCGTGCAAGCCGCTCGCTGGCCAAGGAACGACCACATTGCTTCTCGTTTGCAGGTCTTTTGCCGGATCCCGCACTCTTGTTGATCTTGGCTTCCACGTCTTGTTGCCATGACATCTCAAAACACGTGATATCAGCAACTGATTTTTAATGGAAAAAAAATTTTACCCCGTGGATTGGGGGACCCCCAAGAATATAAAAAGGAGGCCCAGCGCGTCCTCCCCCCAAGCTTCACCTTTCTCCCATTCTCACCATCAAATTACAGTAAACGTTTTTGCCCGTCATGGCCGCCTCCGCTTAATCTCTCGAACGTCTCTTCGTTCTCCTCTTCGTGTCGTACATAACGAACACGCTCTCTCGCGTCTTGCTTTCGTCCCATATCCCCTTTCCCTCACCTTCCGGACGCCAAAATGGCTCCCACTCAGTCTAACCAAAATGGCCCATGCCAACTGAAGGAACAACAACCACCACCACTACAACGACAATAATCGTTTGCCGTCACTGAAAATCTGTTTTTTGACTCTTGAAGTCTCTACGTCGTTTGATATCGTCACCTTTTTGAACATCAATCATGTCACCTGCCATGACCGAAGCCACCATTTTTGATTTTGACCAGTTGTTGGGTGGTATGTGTGGTGCATTGGGCATAATTGCATTTTTCCTGTCTTTAGCTTATTCTCTCTGTCAGGTACCCCAATTGTGCCTGGTCTGTCGACCGCATCTCCACAGAGCACGGATTCTCCTGAATTTGATGGCCGTGATCTATTTGGTGATCTCCCGAGCTCCTGCTCCCCTACCAATGACTGGCTGTTAGATGATCAGGCCTTGGATCAGCTGTTGGCCGAGTCTGCATCTTCTACTCCTCTCGTCGGGTCCCCCGCGTCAACTGGATTGGAAGATATGCCATTGGCCGACTTATTCGGCGACGAAAAGCTGTTCATGGACCTACCTGTGCAGCAGCCAGTCGCTATATGCCCAAGTCCGATTCCATCTGCACCTGTTAGCCCAGCGTCCACTGTCGATGTTTCTTCGCCAGAATTTGCGCTGTCCGGAATGTTCGAGTCCAACCAAGGTTGGGCTGTTCCGAACAATGCTGGCAACGACTTGTTTCCCAAGCTTACTCCGACCTGGGAACAAGGCCGTACCGCTGCGGTGAAGCCTCCTGTACCTGCCAAGGGTATTGAGCCCGTAAAGCCGTTGGCTGCGAAGCCGGTTGTTTCGGCCTCGCCTCAGGCGCCTGCCATCGCACCTCTCTCGGCCGCGTTGTTGCCGCTCCTCGGAAACATTGGCCAGGTGGCTGCGACGCTTGCTGTTAACCCATCAGGTCTTGCGGCAGCGGCAGCTGCTGGTGTCCAAGTGCAGCAATTGCAGCAACATTTGCAGGCTCTGGCTGCCATGCAGTCACGCCAGACACCTACTGTCGTGAAGGCGTCTGTCGATCTAACGCCTCCATACACTGTCGGTCGGAAGAGGAAGGAGCGGTCGTCGGACCCTTCGGAGATTATTGCTGAAATGGACATGAAACGGCAGAAGAATACAGAAGCAGCCCGTCGTTCTCGTGCGAGGAAACTCGAGCGAATGGCTGATCTTGAAAGTCAGGTGAAAGTTCTTGAGCAAGAACGTGACGATTTAAAGGCGAAGGTTGTTGACCTTGAGAGTACAAAGGACAGATACGCCGCTCGCGAAGTTGAATATCTGGCTCAGATTATTCAGTTGCAGCAGCGTTTGAAGGTGTATGAGGCATAGTGTGGAGTGGGGAACATTGTGTATCAGTTTTTGTTTTATCGTGACGTGTGGTGGAAATACATTCAGTTTTCAAGTATTGCGTGCATTCGAGAGTGAGGTTTTGCCTCGTTGCAGTTTGTGATGACACAGCCAACGTATCCATACAAAAGATATTTATGTCGCAAATTCAAAGTACATGCAAAAACTTTCCCAAAAACCTCAATTCGTCACAGTTTGCATTAGACAGCATCTCCCCATTTGCTCATCTCGCGATTTGGACCCCAGTCGGGCGGAGGGCCCTCAGCATCAGCGCGTTCTTCTCTCGCTCTCTCCTGCCAACCAGAAGAGCTCTCCAGATTCATGTCCCGTTCATGTCGCTCATGACCACCACTACGGCGGTCCATGTGTCGCCGATTCCCACCGCGTCCTCGACCTCCGCGGTGGCTCTCGCGTGGACGTCCCCATCCATTGTCGCGACGACGGTCTGGGTCTTGCTTTACTTCCTCCTTATCAAGATCCCATTCACGTGTTCCCCGCAATTGTGCTTTACGTGCAGCATTTTCTTCACGTTCCCTCCTACAACGTAGATGTGATGAGTCCCGCACACTTACCAGATGGCCGAAAAGGGCAAAGCTTTACCTCAAAGTCTGTTGAATAGCGTCCGCCTCCTCTCGCCTTTGTTTCGCCACCTGCCGAGCGGCTCTTGTCTCTGCGAATTGCCTTTCTCTCTCCTCATCTTCCTTCTTGCGTCGTTCGGTTTCCGCAGCCCTCCACGCCTGTTCGTCAGCCTCCACCGCCTACAATCGCGTTAGATCATGGATTCTTCATAATGACACAAGTTGCTATCGTACTGACCTGTTGCTTCTTTATAATTTCGGCATTCTTTCGTTTCATTTCTTGCATCTTTTTCTCTAGTTCCTCGCCTGTTAGACGCTAGGACGACGTCAACCCATTAGCATCAGAATCAGTGCACCCATGTTGCCTTTCAAGCAATACCTTCTTATCGGCGCCACCGGTCTCATGTCTCTTACGATTTACGTAAGGTTTCGTCGGTTTCTGCACGTCACAAGGGAATGAGGTATGTCCGGAGTCAGATTCAAATGTACCATAAACGTACCTGTTTGTCATCAGGACCGGCGTCACCTTCTGGCTGTTCGTCAGCTTGGGTTGGCTCAGTAGTACTTGCTTCAGTGGGTTCAGCTTTTGGCATTTTGTCATCCGCGGCTTTGCGCGGACGTGGAGTAGATCTCCTTCGGTTTGACGACGTATGTCCTTCCTTTGTAGCGGCCGATGAAGCGGCGGGAGTCTAATGTGGCAAGCGTACTCAGACCCAAGTCATCATGGCCGATCAACTAGCGATCAACCACGCGATATCACTCATAAACTCACTGTTGTTACAGGCTCCTTCCTTGGCGTCTTCCGCCCAGCAGCTACCGTAGCCTGCTCCTTCTCTTCCGGTAATCCCTCTCTAGCTTCCTCCTTCAGAGGTTCACCATGAACCTCTTCTGAAGGTTTATCGGCAGATTTATCGTTTGCTTCTGCCGTTTCATCAACAGGTGGCTCGTTGGCGCCACCAGCCGTGATCGTCTCGGTCAGCTGGTCCTCAGATGTCGGGCCCGTCTCGCCCCCATGACTATCAGCCTCTTCACTTTGCTTCACTTGTTCTTCCGGTATGGTATACTCCAGTGTATCGTCCGCTCCGCCCGTCCGCGAGTCTCCATCTGGCTCAGTTGCCGAGAATGTCGAAGGCGCTGTTTGGAATGACTCGACCGAAGCGTTCTCTTCCTTGGAGGGAAGAGACGCCGCTACTCGGACAAGTTGGGGATTTGTCACCTGCCCTTCGGTTGGAGGGCTCACCTCCGTTGTCAACATTCTCACTGCACAAGTCAATGGTGGCGGATCTGCTGGTAGGACATCATCACAAGAGGGCGGACATCACATAACCACGTGAATGTGGTTGGAACCACATTTGCCTCTCTGCTTTGTCGTTGCCTACATCGTACGAGTGCTGCCAGTTCTCCATTACGCTCGCAACATGCATAAAAAGCACTACGAAATACATCGTTTATCAAAGATCTGCATGTTAACTTGTCGTATATCTGCTCCCGACACAGCGCTTTGCTTGTCGTTTGGGATGAAGATGACGTTCGTTCGTCAATGTATTGAGTCACATCCCGAATATTTCCAAATATGGTTTTATCAACTTGTTACAAATGTCAAAAAGTTCGAAGATTCGGACCACCTTAAAGACTCCGCTTCGTCTCGTCTCTTCCCCTTCACTTGCCCCCGGCGTCTTCAGATTTCCTGCAGGTTTTCCTGAAGTCAACTCCATAGCTGCTACTTACGCCTACATTATTGCTCTCGGGCATACTTGCACTTATTTATTGCTACTCTCATCTATCGATCGAAACAACCTGCATTCAACTCGTACCTTAGCAAATGACTGCCCACGAAATGGTTGAAGCTACGACTACCGTGACAAACGGTGCATCTGTAAAGGCTGTCAAAGCGCAGCAAGTGATAGAGGATGAGCCTATCTTGAGACCAAATCCAAACCGCTTTGTTCTTTTCCCAATTCAATACCAAGAGGTACACTGCTGTTTATGGTAGAATCTAGCCTGCCTGTCCATTAACGTGTCTTTTTGATAAAGGTATGGCATATGTACAAGAAAGCCGAAGCGTCCTTCTGGACAGCCGAAGAGGTGGATCTATCAAAAGACAATGTCGACTGGGAGAACCGACTCACCGATAACGAGCGGTACTTTGTCTCACGAGTGCTGGCGTTCTTTGCTGCTTCTGATGGCATAGTCAATGAAAACTTGGTTGAGCGCTTCTCCAATGACGTTCAAATACCCGAAGCAAGATGTTTCTACGGCTTCCAGATTATGATTGAAAACATCCATTCGGAGATGTATTCCCTACTCATCGACACCTACATCAAGGATCCAGCAGAAAGGACCTTTTTATTCGATGCACTAGAAACTGGTAAGCGTATACGCATTGCATATTAGCATCGGATTGCAGGCTGATACTTAGTCGTCTTGTCTTGTTTCAGTCCCCTGCATCCGCAAGAAGGCCGATTGGGCTCTGCGATGGATCTCCGATAAGAAGTCGTCGTTCGCTATCAGGTTGATCGCTTTCGCTGCCGTTGAGGGTATCTTCTTCTCGGGTTCTTTTGCTGCTATTTTCTGGCTCAAGAAGCGTGGTCTCATGCCGGGATTAACCTTCTCCAATGAACTCATCTCTCGAGACGAGGGCCTGCATACGGACTTTGCATGCCTGCTGTACTCTCTCATCCGTAACAAACCTTCCTTGGATACCGTCCTACAGCTCATCACGGAAGCTGTAAAGATCGAGCAAGAGTTCCTGACAGACGCTTTACCTGTTGCCTTGATTGGCATGAACGCAAAGCTTATGCAGCAGTACATTGAGTTTGTTGCTGACCGATTATTGGTTGCCCTCGGCTACGAGAAACATTACAACGCTGAAAACCCTTTCGATTTCATGGAACTGATTTCACTTCAAGGGAAGACAAATTTCTTTGAGAAGAAAGTTGGCGAGTATCAGATGGCTGGGGTGATGCAGAAGAGGGAAAACCAGGAATTCACATTGGACGCGGACTTCTGAGGTACATTGGTTACGTATAAATGTAGATTATTAACACACTTGAAAGTACGGTCCTGTGCTCCGTATGTTTGAAAGTTTTGTTTGTAGTATAAGCTCGAGTTTGGAATACCATACATATAATTACAATTGGAGTGTTTCCTCTATATGACACGATGATTGACCCTGTGATTTAAATAATGCCTGTAATTTCCTGCAGCACCTTCAACCTTTCTTCCGCCGTCAGTGGCGCCTTTGGTGGTCTCCCGTCCAGTTTAATGTTCTCGTAAATCACCCGACTCTTTTCTGGTGGTTCTGATGACGTATCTTGAGGCAATCGGTCCCCTAGTGGCGAGTTTGCAAGTGCGTTTCTAGCCTCCTCCGGGGAGAGTCTGCTTAGTGTTTTGCCCTCGGCATCACGGATTTCCACATCCCACGTTTTGCTATCGTTCAGGGAGAGGAAACCCTGATTCTGCAGCTGCTGAGGAGTTGGGGGCACTAGGTCGATCTGTTGACAGAATGGTGAATAGTTAGTGTTCGGCTGTTCTCTGATTTTGTGACCATGCAGGATCCTTTCCTCTCACTCCTGACCACAAACCTTTGAAAGCAACCATGCAACCCGTTCCGTAGGCTGAGCACCCACACCCAACCAATACTTTATCCTCTCGACATTCAGTTCAATACGCTTAATCCCTCGCTCGTCGGGGATGACATTATAGGTTCCGACTCGTTCGAGGTGTTTACCATCGCGGGGGGCTCTGTGGTTCGCTACGACAATACCGTAGAAGGGATTATGACTGGCTCCCCAGCGAGCGAGGCGGATGCGGACGACCATGGTTAATGTACAAACAAAATGCTTGGCTGCCTCGATCTCGCGCTTTTGCATTTACTGCTGTGCCATCATACCAATCACTATGGTGACTGAAACGTGCAAGTTTTGCTAGTGAGTAAATTGTGATTAAATAGGTCACTGGAAAGCACCATGTCTATCTAGCTACACGATGGTATTCTAATTATTCAGGCGTTCAAAACTTGAAAACCTGTCTATCTTGATATCCCAGCTTTTTCAGCAGCCCACCTAACGGCCCTTGCTCGTCGTCGCTGGCCTTTGGACCCGCGACGTGATTTATCAATCTGCATAGGTACACATAGCTATGAGGCAGAGCCTTACGTTGCGACATCTGGATACTGTCACTTACCCATCCGGACCACACACCAATATAGCTGCCTTCATTCCCTTGTCTGGATTTGGAAGATGCTTCGTTATCATATCCTGGCTAACCAGTCCAACACCTTGTGCCCACGGACGGCCTTCCTGCGCTGGCGGGTTCTCCACAATGTAGTAGATCTGGAGTTGGTCGGGACGCGATGAGCTGAGAATTTCCAGTTCGTTCCGAAGGAGAATGTCCTCTTCAGAACGGTTGGCGTAGATGAGGGAGATGCGTGTTTTGTCGGTTGGATCTTTGAGGATACGTTTAATCAATTGATATATGGGCGTTATACCGGTTCCACCCGCAATCTGAAAAAGAAATCAGAGTTTTGTGCCTTTGGGATAATGACAAGATTTGCAATGTTACATACCATTCCAATCTCATCAACAGCGTTCGCCTCGTATGGCAAAGTAATAATAGGACCTCTGATCTCTACCTTATCACCAAGTTTGACTCCATGCAAAAACCGGCTAACACTTCCATTTTCATACTCCTTAACTAGCAGATCAAAATGTCCTCTCACATAAGTTACAGGAGTGTATGCGCGCGCAATCTGGCATGTGTCATCCTTGACAATCACATGAGATGGAACGGGGATACCAGCTGGAGAATCCGCTTGAGGAAGGTGGGCTGCAAACCGCAAAAGGGACGTGTCGTGGGTGAGCGGAACTTTCTCAACAAGTTTGAACGGACGAAAATCTTCAGGCGTTAAGGTCGAGGGTGTGGGCTCATGCACATAGGCGAAATAATAGATATCGAAGCCAATAACGACCGTGCCCACCACAACTACGATAAAAATCAGTTTTTGATGGTGTGGTTCCAACTTTGCCGGTTTGAGAGTGGTAGCTTGAAAGAATCGTTTTGAGATAATGCGCGGGAATGAAGAGCTTCTGAGTGGTGAAGCCGCTGCTGATCGTGTCTGTGGAATACGACAGTACGTTTTGGGTAGCTTAGACTCTAGCAGTTTTGTTGACAATGGTCGATATGCAGTTGAGCGAGCATTGGACTTCCAACCGGACTTCTCTGCCTTCAGAACATTGGCGCAGGTGGGCCACAGCTTCCTGGACCATGAGGCGAGCATGTTGGTAGACAGGAAGAAGGAACCGACGAAACCCAAAGGTCATCCTTCAAACGCGATCTGCCGCCACCATGGCAACAGTGATTCACACGAGTGTTGGTCATCATTCATGATCTGCGTGAAGTGCGAAGCCTGCAGTTTGGTTGATCACTGTCGAACTTGACAAAATGGCATCCTTGCCAGTGATAGATGCGGATACCTGCCCGGTTTGTAAATCGGACAGGTATCTCAACCCGACCATGAAGCTGCTGGTCAGTCCATGCTTCCATAAAATGTGAGTGCTTGTCGTCCGTTCAGTGGTCTTTCCCATCTGACGGCTCTGACACACTCGGCCAAGCGCAGGTGCGAAACGTGCATTAATCGACTATTCCTTCAAGGCCCAGCCCCATGTCCAATATGTAAAGTCATTCTGCGGAAGAGCAACTTCGTTGCGCAAACATTTGAGGATCTCTATGTAGAGAAGGAAGTGCAGACACGGAAGAGGATTGGCCGAGTGTATGTGTACTTTGGATCGAAAGTCGCTGATTTGAAGATGTTGATCTCTTTATTGATAGATATAACAAACGGCTGGAAGATTTCAAAGGGAACCTGAGAGCATATAATGATTATTTAGAAGATGTGGAAGAAATAAGTATGTTACTCCCTTGTGAGGCAGCACAGTGCACCCCTTAGATTACTCAACTGCCGTGGTGTAGTGTTTAATCTTATCAACGACGTGGACGTAAAGGAAACGAATGAGAGAATCAAGAAATATGAACAGGAAAACAAGGATCTGATAAATGCGAATTTACAGAAGCAGGTTCGTTTCTTCACATGATGCCGATCGACGTTTTCATAACTGACGTATGATTCTCTTAGTTGATTGAAGAAAAAGCCGTGCATAATCGTCTTGACCGGGAAAAGAAGGAGAAGCAAATACGGAAGGAGGCGTACGAGCAAGCCATAATAGAGGAGGCAAAGGTTAAGCTGCAGGCCAGGGAAGAAATTATAAAAAGATTGGTAGGTTACGAGCTTCAATTGGACCGTCTTAGTGGTTTCATTTTCGCTTACACTGCGGACACAGGCGTCGGAAGAAGATGCCTCGGCACAGTCCATCATAGCAGATGCAGTTGCCAAACGATCGAAAGCACCAGATATTACCAAGTTCCTTCAAGAACGCCTACCCACCGCAGATGACACATCGATAGAGGCTGAGCCGGAGGATACGACACCATTTGATCCGATGGATTACACATACCAGACTACTACATATACGGCAGTGCGCGACAGCTATATTGACCCGTACGTTAAGCTGTATACTGACGTGATCCACACATTACCTATGTTAATCGGATTTTTGTTGTAGATGGCTTGCCCACTTGCGCTTGAACGAACCACCAAGAGCAGAAGCCGCCAAAGCGAGTGGTTTTGCTCCTCGATTTACTTATGAAAGAGCCATTGGTGCGGCTTTCTCAGGGGTCTTTGCAGGGCTATAAACTTAATACAAGTTGCTCTTATTTAATATTGTTTTCTTTGTACAGAATTTGAAATGCGTGTACTATGGTTATCGTGATTATTTGACAATGCGGAAGCAGCGAATAAGCTAACATGTTGATGGATCTTTCAATCGAAATCTTCATCTCTACCTCTCCCCTTCCCACCCTCTCCGTCCTTTCGAAGCACTGCAAAATACAAAGGTCCCCAGCCTCCTTCTTTATCAGGCAGGACCATCCAACCGCATCGAGTTTTCTCCCCTATTCCCCAACCCCCATTTTTCTCTTCCACTACAATCTCGGCGCCATTGAATTTATCTCTCGCCCACTCTACCACGCAGTCATTTTCGGCATCAGAAAGCGAGCACGTTGCATATACAACTTTCCCGCCGACTTTGCATGCTCGCAGAGCTTCAGCGAGGATTAATCTCTGTTTCTTTGACATCGTTTTCGTGTGTGTGGGGGTCCATTGTGACAAGTCATTCGGTGAGTGTAGAAGATGCCGTTCGCTTGAGCTAAATGGATAATGAATACATGAGGATATCTCCGCCAAGCTCCTATTCAAAGAATATTCTCTCACTCACCAAGGCGCATCCACAAGAACTCTGTCAAAGCTCCCCATACCACCAGGAAATTCCTCGCTTGCTCCACGTCTGCTCACATCTACCCCGCTAACACTCACACGCCCTGGCTGCATCGCATCACCAACCATTCCCTTGGGACAATACTCATCCAAGACTCTCCGTAAATGTTTCCTCCGCTCCCCGTTAGGTTCATTCACGTGCAAGCGTCCTTTTTCGCCAAGTCGTTGCAAAATAGCCAGGGACTTCCCGCCCGGTGCCGAACAGGTATCCAGAACACGGTGGTCGGGTGCAATGTCTAGCGCCTGTGTGGCAAGCAGGGACGACAAATCCAATAAGTAATAGGTTGAAAGGTTCTTGAGGTCGCGGGCAGGTGGCGGAAACGGTCCTGGGCGATTTATGGGGGCGGTGGAAGGATCAGCGGCTACGGAAGGGTCAGTAGTAAAGCAGCGAAGAGAGAGGGATGCATCATAAGGGTTCGGAAAGTAAGGCGAGAGGACCAGGCGCTCTGCTACTGGTAGTAATGCCTGTACAACGTCTTGCGGGTCCGCGAAACGGTTCACCAGGCAACAGTAGCGTTGCTCTCCTTCAAGGGCTTGTAATAAATGTTGCCATCTCTCCTCTCCGTACTGTGTCGCAAAGAATGTGGAGAACGTTTTACGGACGGCATCCCGTCTAGCGATTTCTTTTGCGAGCTTTTTACTACCAGCCTTCGAGGCCTTTGGTGGCATGTTGCACTTCCTCCGCTGGATCTGGGATGAGGACGACGACGATCCATTTGCTGCGCGTTGACATGGCAACAAGCTAGCTCGCCTGTGAGCCTTCACTTGGACTGTTGGGTTTCACTCATCTGCTCATTCAAACCATGACCTCCCTAGTTACGTCCTTGGGAAAACCGTCCGTCTACAAAGACAACAAATATCTTGTGTGTTCCATGCATCGCCGAAAAGCACTCGCGGGATTTTAACTAACTGACTTGCGTTTTGCGTTGATATAGGGTACCGACGACGACTGGGAACGCGAAATAGCAGCTTCGAGTACGCTGTACATTGGTAACCTTTCATTCTATACAACCGAAGAGCAAATTTATGAGCTCTTCTCGAAATGCGGCGAGATCAAGCGTATTATTATGGGTCTGGACCGATTTAAGAAAACCCCGTGCGGTTTCTGTTTTGTCGAGTAAGTTCAAAGCTGAAGAAGGACCCGCTTGTGTTTTTCTATTAAGTTCTCTTGCTGCATGCACTTCTTGATTATATCATTAGATATTACAACCGACAAGATGCTATGGACTGCATGAAGTTTATCAACGGAACAAAGCTTGACGAACGAATTATCCGCACAGATCTTGATCCAGGATACAAAGAAGGTCGGAACTTTGGCCGTGGAAGGAGCGGTGGACAGGTAGGGTTTGGTGGGCCAACGGAAGTAGACGATATGCCGTGCTCATCATTTCATGTAGGTGCGTGACGAACATCGAGAAGACTACGATGAGGGGCGCGGGGGCTGGGGAGCGCGACAACGGGAAATGGAAGCCCGAGAAAACAGGCAGCGGGACACATACGACAGTTTCACTACTGTACCGAAAGGAGCAGCCTCCTCATACTACGCTGGAGATTCAAGTTGTAAGTCCATTCAATGAGCGTTCAAAGCGCGGATCTACGACAGACGCCATTCATTATATGTATTTTGATATAGATAAACCAAAGAGAGCAAGAGACGATGAGGATGAAGGCCCACGCAGAGGAAAGAGGGGACGGGACGATGACAGAAATGTACGTGTTTGAACATGGTAACAAAGTATGGTCATGTCGCCCGCTAACTCGTAATCATGCAGAATCCTCGATTCCGCGAAAGAAGCGCAACCCCAGAGGACGAGTGAAGTAGAGATCTTACCATTAATAGGAGAATGGTGCTTGTGCTTGTTCAAGTGTACATATTACAGAGCTTTGAGCTCCAGATCAGACACAACATCAAGCCGTCCCGTTGCGGTCACTTTTTAAGCAGCTTGCATTCACTGTACCCTGTCTATCATCTTCTCTGATTGTTTACAACTAAATTTATAGCTACAATGGGGTATATAGGATGTCTTTGTAACAACTTCGACACATAGCATCTGTAACCAGCAGGGCTTTCAGCAAAACTGATTCACAAAGGGGGGAGATGAACATCGCGACACAGTAGATATAGATTCGACATCTACAAAAAGACATGCAGGATTAAGCATTCTTGGAGGAGTGAAGTACTGCCGTTATTTGAATAGCTATGGACCTACCCCAGGTCGATGACTGGCGGCTTTTCAGTTCTGCTTCGAAGCGCATGCATTCATACAATAGCCGATCTAAATCTTCTCGACTTATCGGCTAAAAATTAAAATCTGTGAGGCCAGTAGTAAGTATGACCTGACATGGTAATCGGCGTAGATACCCTTGCCTCTCCCTCCCTTAGCGCCTCAAGCTTTTCATCGATCTCTTTCAATTGCTTCTGCTCATCTTTGAGCAAAACCTCTGCCGGTTTTGCATTATCTGCGTCGTGCATCACCGCGGTTATGTCTACTCACATCGTTATATTAATCTCTGGAAGACAGAACAATCTCCCAGCGTACGGGACATACCACGTATGCTAACACTGCATGAGGAAAAGCTTTGACGGGAAAACCGACCAGGCATTGGTGTTTGGGCCCCCGATGCATTTGTCGAAGCGGGTGTTGACCAAACTATTGATTTTGTTTCCCATTCGGGCTCGGGAATGATGAGCTGTAATTTTCTGGTAGTAAGAGAGTCGTCATCAGCTCTGAAGCTACCACTTCCCTAAAGAAGGCTATGTACCTGTCAATTTCTACCAACTGCTCGAACTCGTCTGTGTCGGGAAAGAAGGCGGTGTTTGCGGTAGCGGGTCGCGTAAAGTGGAAAACACTGGGCTATTCGGCTATTAGTTACTGCAAAGCCAAAGGACCTCGTAAGGCTATCCTACCTTGGAATGATCAGTAAGAACTGATACATTATCCGGGGCGTCTTCCTCTGTATCCTCCGTGTTGAGGATCTTCTCAACCCGGTCCTTTTCCTCTTCTGTCATTGCGCTGTAATACCGTGCTTCGGGTCCTAGCTGAAAGAATGTTCTAAGAGTCTGGGCGTAGGGATTTCATTTTTCAGAACACCTACCACAATATTACGTTGGATAAAGTCGCCCTGCTTGTATCCCTTTTTCTTCGGTGGAACTGGACCCTGGGGTTCTTCACATAACGTTAAGTTTATGGTCAACCTCAATCCCTCGTTGGGTTTCCTACCTTCGGCGCTCCCAGCAGCCTCATTGGCCCCACCATCTCGTAACGCTTGGATCCCAATTTTGGCTCGCGCACCAAGTTTGGGTTCCGTTATGAACGTTCTGGTTTCCATCGAGTGGACACTTTTAAGCTCAAGCTCCTCATCGTCATCATCAGAGGAATCTGCAGCTGGAGTATTTTCTTGTGGTCCGGATTTTGTCCGCGGTGCCGCGCTGGATTCGCGGGACAAACGTTCTTTCGTCAACGCTCGTGCCAGCTACGTATTTGATTGGTGAGAAATGGACAATCACCCACATCAACATGTTACAAGTACCATATTCTTTTGTCGTAGCAAGGCGTCGAGCTCGCGAATACGTTGAAGGCCTTGCTGAATTTTTGCGTCGGTGTCGCTCAGTGGGAATGCTGACTGTAATTGTATAATTGTTCGTTACGTCTTTTGTAGAGTTACCCAGTTAACGGCTTGTTGCTTACCTCTTCTTCCGGTGAAGATTCGGGAACTGCGCCCTCAGGCTGCTGCATATCTTGGAAGTCCGTGCAAGCTTCATGGAAACTCTTTGTATATGCCTGGCCCTCTTCCTATTTCGAAATAACTTTTTAGACCGGCGTGACTACATGGCTCTAACATTCGGAATCTTACGTCGAAATTTGATTGCAGCAAGAGAGCGGTTGGAGTTCGATTAAAACTCGACGGTACAGGAGACGTTGGACTAGACGAGCGTATTATAGTTGGAGCATCTATTGATACAAGGATGTCACCAGTTGCGCCGAATAACATCTTATCATGACGTTGTTACCGTCATCATCTGGTAGCGGTGTAAGACCCCCATCTGATCGCACACTGTTCGGGCGTACATTCTAGTTTCAAAATTTGGTTAGGTCTACCGCAAGTTAACAATATTAGTTACAAAGGCTTTTACTTTGACAGGTGTGCCAGTCCTCGTTCGCACAGCATTGGCAGATCCCTCGTCATGACGGCTAGATAGATACATCAGTTTAGAGGTTTAGTAGAAGTAAATCGACAAGCAAATGCACCTTCTGTCACTATTGGTACTGCTAGAGTGATCCTCTTCCATAGATATGTTTTGAGGCAACTGAAGGTAGAGGAAGAAAGATCGTCACAGTCCAAAAGTGATAACGTAACCAACCTCTGCTTAGCATCGCGTCTGCACGTGATGTGATGAGAGTCGAGACGAGTTTTTGCAACTTGACTTTGCCCAAATTCCTTCTACAAGCCATGCCGGGTCACCATATTGAACTGCCTCCTGGATATGGCTCAGTTCGTGACTATATTGACGGTCTCGTAGCATTTTTGCAGTCGTATCAGCATTTGTGGCAGGTAGATCTTAGTCACCAAGTACAGATCTGGCTTTCTAGCTGATGTCGGGCAATATTAGTTTCATGCTGTTGACTTCTTCACAAACGATTATTGGTCTTCGGGCCATTTTCCGAAAGAATGGCATTTGTTGAAGGAAGATGCTAGTGTAACCTATGACCATCTACTAGCTCTAGCCGCCAACGGCACAGTGAAGGTAACTGCAGACGAGCGTAGTTGACTGGTTATTGCAGTCATAAACCTAATTCTTGCAGCTTGCATAGGAAGACTGGCCAGAGTCTTTAAAGGAATTTGTTGCGTTGTCGAAATCAATAGCGCTACCTCGAGATCCGAGCCGTGAGCCTATCGCCAAGGAATTGGAGCGAACAGGTGAGTCTTTCTGACAAAAAACGGGACCTGACAACTGCAAATGTATGCTTACGATCAGGTTACAGTGGCATACTTAGACAATAAGGTTACTTACGGCATGACACCAAAAAAGAAACACGAGGTGCAGCTCCTCGCCCATCTCATTAATAACCTGGCTGTTGAATCGAAATCATCGTGTATAATGGATCTTGGCGCTGGACAAGGATACCTTGATGCAGTACTAGCATATACTTATTGCCATACTGTCATCGGTGTCGACGATGATGAAATACAAACATGCGGAGCAAAACGGCGATCTGGAATGATAGAGAAGATCTTCTCAAAGCCCAAGAACAAAGATAAAGCTATCGGCAAGGTTTATCATGTGAATCGAAGGGTAACGGCTGAGGAGAAGTTCAATGAACTACTAAGCGAGGTCAAAAGTCAAGCGGGGGTAGCAGAAGAGGAAAGAGTAATAGAGGAAGAATCTAAAAGATGGCTACTCTGCGGTTTACATGCTTGTGGAGACCTCTCAGCCGCTCTGGTACGACACTTCTTGATGAGCGACGCGAGAGTTCTTGTTTCGGTAGGGTGCTGTTACAACCATCTTACCGAAGAAGGGCCCGATCCTTGTATTCCCCCAAAATATCAACTGCCGGACAGCCCACCGCCTCGGCGGAGGCCAGCCCCACCCTCACCACTCTGCGAAACGGGTGAAAGAGGACTAATTGTAACGCACAGTGCTGGATTTCCGTTAAGCAAGTACGTTTGGTCACAGGGCGTCTCACTAGGATTCACCGCACGGATGTTGGCATGTCAGGCAACTTGTCGATGGACTCAGCAGGGAGACGCAGCAAAAGAAAGTTTTTCAAGACATTTTTATCGCGCACTTTTACAGCTGATCATCCTAGAGAAGGAGCTCATTCCAGATCTCGACGACTCGCGAAACATTGTGATCGGACGGTTGGCCAGAGGAGCTTTCGGAAACGGGTTTATTGGATATGCAAGACATGCTCTACGAAAGCTAGGGATTGATTTGGACAAGGCGGGACTCACTGACGACGTTTTGAGAGAATACGAGGAGAAGTACAGAGATAGGGAGAAAGAAGTTGCAGTTGTATGGACACTTAGGGCTATGGTCGCAGAAGCAATTGAGAGCTTGATACTGGTGGATCGTTTTTTATCCATTGTAGAAATGACGGGTGAGCGCGATGTGTATGTCGATGCAAAATCGAGAAACTTAATGGAGGCTGAGGGCGACGGGCAAAGATACAATGGAGAATATGATAACGCGACATGTCAAAGTCCAATGCACTTAAGTGTCATGTTATTCCCACTCTTCGACCATGTTGACTCCCCACGAAATATGGTACTAGTTGCTAAAAAAATTAGATAGACTATTGTAAATAGAATTATATTACGCCAGATCGGTTCCGAGCAATGAGTGAGTGTGCATCTTCATCTCATCACCTGTTCACACCATCATTGTCGTCCTGGGGGAATAGTGCGCGTAATCCCGGTACTAGGAGGGGCAACCGCCAAAAGCTGCTGAGCTTCGCCCGCATCAGGTCGTACGCGATACCAACTTTGACCTGAGTAAGGTCATCGTCCACGTCATTGGGAAGTATGGGAATTTTCGGGTATCGTTGTGAGAAATGCGTCAAGAGCAAGTTCTGGGCCTCCATGCTGAAGAGAAAGGTCAGATTCGACGGCTGGAGGGATGTAAAAACATGCTCCACTTGGACACACCTTTTGGCCACCTGGATAGCTTCTCCCGTTGTGCAATGTCGCTTTTCCAGCGCTTCTTCCACCTTGTCATCCTCCAAGGTCGCCTCATGAATAACCACACTGGCTCCCCGTCCTGCATTGACCAAGTCCTCAGACGGACGGCAGTCACCGGAAAAGCTGCTCAAAAGCAATAATCTAATTAGACTCAAGTCATCCAAGCCAAGTATTGATACGTACACCACTTTGCCTGCGGCTTCCGTGTCTAATACGAGCGCGTAGGCCCATGGGCAATGGTGTACGCCTACCGTGTGGATGTCCTTGAGGTGTAGTGTCTTTTTCAAGGTGTTTATTCTTAAAGTCGATTCAAGTCAATCTGAGTGCCTTCACAGATGTTCATCATACACTACATACGTGGTCGTCTTCTCGACGTCTTCGTCTCTTCCATCTGTACCGGATGCATTCCATCGCACATCCTCCGCATTAAGGAATAACACATGTTTCAACCCAAATTCCTCGCAGTCAGCATATTCTTCCAACCAGATCTGGTATCTGGCTGGTGCAACAATAATCAGCGGTTGCGGATTGCGTGAATCTCTGACCTAACATGAAAGATATTGTTTAACATGTGTCATGATGTGTAGCTTCCCATAATTGATTCACCTCATCCCAATACTTCAATATGCGTACTACGCCTAAATGGTGATCTGCATGGAGGTGCGATACGAAAATCATCCGCAGATTTCGGAGAGCTTCTTTCATCATATCTGGTCCAAAGTGACGGAAGAGCTGTCCAAGCGTGCCTTCACCCGCATCGAGCAGCACGTTGCCAGAAGATAGCATGAGAAAGGTTGAGCTTACTGGAAGAAGATAATCGCGCATCCTTGAGGATCATCTATCAATAGTGGTTCACGTCGAAACAAAAACTGTACCATTTCGGTATTTGCCTGGGATAGCGGCACCGGTTCCCAAAGGAATGATTGTAACATCTTTCTCTGGGGGAACCACAGACGAGGTGGCATGACGTCTCTCAATGTCCTTCTTGATGCACGAGATTAAATCAGGTTCCGCCAGGCCTGAAACTTCTTCTCTTAAAAACGGTCGCAGTGCCTCCGAATTATCTACTTTCGGCGCAGGCTCTATTATATAATTTGTCAATGGTGTGGCCATTACCGCTCCTTTCGGAAGATCCATTACTGTATGGGTATGTATAAGTTGGTGGCCACAGCGGCACTGTTTCGACAGACTCACTTGTTCTCAAATCCTCCTCAGGGTCATTCGTAAAATACGGGAGAGGAAATACCTCCGCGTCCAAAACATTCAATTTGTGCTGAAGGTTCCCCGCAGCAAGGTAGCTTATTCCCATTGGATTATGACGACGGCTGATAATAAAATGCTACAACGAGAACGACCTGATGTTTCAGCCATGGCCACGTTGCAAGGGGTACATGACAACCACGCACCCGTGTCTGATGCCCAAACTTGTTCATCCATTCCACATAGCGGGGATCTGACAAGACCCCATCCCCGGTTATGTGGACTACGCATCGAACATGATTTCCGTTTGTCGTATCGTAGAAGGGTGCAAATTCAGGTGAGTTTACAAGGGCATTGATATATGCTGGAGAGGGGCAATCGATTATGACGAATATCTGCAATCAAATAGAGTGAAGCCAAATCCGAGTGAATCTCAATCAAAGATAAACTTACCGCCCCTGGCCGAGGCTCCCCCATGCACATATGTGGATATACCACAGTCCCGTCTGCGGTTGTAACAGTTTGTCCCCCGGCAAGGATTCCTATTCTCACCGGTGAGCTAGTGAATCATATAGGCACTGGAACTTCATATTTCTTACATACCAAAATCCTTTCCAGGTTTCACTCCGAGTTTCTGGGCAGCGACCGGGTTAAATTTGCCAGGAACATTTGGCCCACGGCAAATGTAGGACAAGACGACGTGGTCAGGCTCTGTCCGCGGTAATCGAGCAGACCCAAGCCGTCCGATTTCGGTTCTTGGAACAACCACCTCATCCTCATTCGAATCCTTTATGTCTTCCATTGCTACTACCGTAGCCGTTTCCCCTTCGCCAGCAGGTATCGTCACGTCGGTGATCTCCGTTCCAGTGTGATCACTTAGAGGATGATACCCTTGGTCCACCGGAAACATACGTCTGAGAAAGGCTCTCTTGCAAATCAAATGATCATTTTGACTCTCGTTCTTCCGTTTCCTGCTGAAAGTGATCACATCCGGACCGTTCGTTGCGGCGTTCTGTGTTTCTGGTGACACGATTGGTTCAGGTGCAAGATAAACTGGGTGGACTGTGATATTTTCGTCCTGAAATGGCTCTCCTTTGGTTTCGTGGAACTCAAATGTGCTCAGATCCAAAGATTGTCTGGTTATAAGAATCATTAGGCACGGTCTCACTATGGTTCAGAGCGATGACGCGGGGAGCACCTATAGATGAAGTGCCTAGTGGCGGCCATAAAGTGGGTAAGATTATTCGGCCCATTCAGTCGCATTGAGGAACTACCCGCGTCAGCAAGGGTGAGGAGCATGCCTGCAATTTGATTTGAAAAGAATACAGGAGGACGATCATGTTAGCATATTGCACACAGCAAATTCAACAGCAGGTCTCCGCGTATATAAGCCTATCCATCTCTCCTTGCATTCTCGCGAGACATGCATGAACCGTTGAACCACATACCCGGCAAACCACCCACACAATCCCAAGCCACACGCGTGAGGAAGATATTCTTGACTTTGGCCAACCTGACCTTGTGCTCATGACAAAAGCGCTGAGTTCCCTCGCCGCAGTTAAACAAATAACGTTGCGAGTCAAAGTGAAGAAGGACAGCGGGACTACTGTCCACTGTGTTCGTCGATAGGATCTGGAGATAATACCGCATTCTCGCAGTGTGGGACGTGGAAAACGATCGGTGAGGTCGTTGTTTGGGCAGCGAACAGGAGCGATATGCAACCGATAGGAATGCAGCAATGTCGGGAAGCTGAGCGAAACGGGCGACGACACACGGTGCTAATGCTCTTGCCCGCATGCAGGCCGATCTCCAGACCAACTAGCCGTTCCCTCCGCTATGTCGATCGGGGAACCACTTTGCGATGAGCACGTGACGTGAGCAAACACGATTATGTAACGTGCTAGGCCCGGGTCTAAGCCACTCGCACCGACAGTGGTCCTCGGCGACCATCCTTATCGTTTTCGTTCCCTTTCGACAGCCCGAGAGGGCACTACGCAAGGAATCGTTCCTTGTAGTCTTTAAACGCCTTTTTGGTAGCTTTTTGTAAAATATCTGCGATTTTCTTTTGTAGTTAGAAACCGTATGGGGTTTCTTCCTGGACATTCCCTCGGTCGTCCGTCCGCCTTTGGAACAAACACAACAACCAACACAAGCCTTCCGTCAAGACAGCCATCCACTGCTTCCAGTCGTGAAAATGCTCGCTACCAACTGTCTTTTGCCACACCGCGTCTACCTCCCGCCCCACCGCCCCCATCAACTCCGTTACGTCGGCACGGATCGGACCTCAGCATCGCGTATTCGCTCGGCTCACACTATAATACCCCATTAAAAGAAGCCATGGCTTCATGGGAGGAAGACCTGGCCTTGGCTGAGACTCAGACGAATTCTGGAACCTTAAAGTCAGCAATGGCACCGAGTTTGGCTGGCAGTACATTAGTCGAGGAAAGGGTACGAGTTACATCCATCTCAGCCGGGACAAGTGCAACCAGATATCCGAAGACGCTAAGGGATGAAAACCGTGTAGCTGGTTTGGCAAACCGTGCTCCTTCGCGTTCAGCCCGTGACATTGCAGAGAACGTTCGACACTCTCGATTGTCTGTTCCCGAACCAGGTCAATTACCGTTGTTCCCAAGCTGGTCTGGATCTGGATCGTCCGGTACTGTTTTGAATGAAGCAACATCAGCTGCCTTGGGCATCACAAAGCGTGGTCCTTCCATGCAGAAGTCCCCGGACTCTGACATTGAAATAGGTATACCTTCCATCAATCGTCCATCCGAAAGCGTCACGGCCGTCACCACGCAGCTCGACGAGCCTATCCACAATGAGTCTACAGCGGAATTATTGCAAGAAATGTCCGAAGCCAAATCTCGTCGCCGAAAGCGTTGGTGGTTCTGCCCGCTGATGACGATCGGAATCTTGTGTGGGGGGGTTATCGTGACTGGGATAGTCCTGATCATATTAGATCGATTGGGCGTAGTGCCATGGCAGGTGGTTAAGAGCAACATTGTGAGTGCTGCCCAGGCTGTGGGATCGTGGTTTCAGCGTAATTTCTCGCCCAAGCTATCCACTGGTAGGAATTGTGCGACTGTTGTTGAGAATCGTGCTTCAGTACTTATCCGATCATCATTTTCTAGCGGGGGTCGTCATTGTGGCTGTTACTTCAGCGACTGTTGCCATTGCATGTGTTACATACAGCATTGTTCTATTACGCCGTCGACGCAGACGACACCGCAAAGTCTCTGGGCCTCCTGCGATGGGCTCAGGTAAATCAATGTTCAGTTCTCTCACTAACGACTTCTTCCACTGTGACGATTACTGACGCGGATCCATTTCGTCCAGCACGGCGCAAGAAGTCAATCCACCACTTCAATGAATTTCTTGGACATACCCCGTCAAATCATCTTCCCATGGCCCGAAGTCCTTCCTCAGCGTCATTAGGTAGGCTCATTTATTTTAGTATGCTTTCAGACCCACTTACGAGCGTGTACACAGGCATAGTCCACTACAACTGCGACTTTCTCCTTCCATCCACCCTGCCGGCTGACGCTATACCAGACACTGCGACGTTAGCCGCTTCCGCTGCAGAGCCCACACAAACGGACCATGGCAACAACACTGGAGAACAAAGTGTGGATCGGGGCCATGGAAGTCGGGGAGGGAGTGCACATGAAAGATATAAAGGAGGAGGGGGTACTGTGGTCCAGGTGTTGCCCCCTGAGGCAGTCGTCCGCCGTGTGCCGACTTTGACTTATTCTGCTGCTGGGGTGGAAGCAAGTCTAGTGGCGGCAAGGATCGCTGAAGGTCGTCGAAAGGCCTCCTAATTCACACCGTGAATTACTGAATTAGGATTGGAAGGAGTGGCAAAACTTCTATTGGATCTTTTATCTTTTGGAGCCCCGAGGAGTGTGTATTTCTGTTGTACGGCTTATTATATGTCACGCAATACGATGGGGCAGCCAGGTATATAATATTGAGATTAATATGAGGGCATATAGCTCCTTACTTTTCGTCGGATTTTCAATGTATACGCAATTAGAGTACAAGTGCTAGTTGTCAGTCCTTTCAGTATTCTCGTTCATTTCACCCCAATACTTCGGAGCGTCGAACACATGATACCGATGACCCCTTACTCCATCTCCCCAGAATGCCTCAGGGAATCTTTGTCCCTCCGGAATACGAGCATCATCATCCTCATCAACTACAGTCAAAGGCCGCGGCCCACCTTCAGGCGGGAGCACGAATTTCCCAACCTGGATCTCGGTATCGGTTATACCGCCGTGACTTATACGTGCATATCCAACTCGCTCTAAGCCGCGGTAGAAAATATACTGGCACCATCTGCAATTCCGTGCGGGATATAGTGAGCAAAGAGGAGAATACATTAGCGAGCACCGCCTGAAGCCAGGAGGCCCACTCATACCTATCCCAATCCGTTTCATCAATATCCTCGACCCGTCCTTTTCCCACCAAGGTGTGGTACAGTTCGTGTTGATGTCCTGGGTCTGTTACGACGTATCCTAGGAACACGAACGGATTCTGGCTATTGTTCATAATGCCAGCAAGAGTCTGTGTCTGTAGTTGTCTGTCTAACCAGTCTTCTTCTTGTCCATTGTGAGATACGCTCACGTCAACCTCCGTCCCATATACGTCTGTCACAAAACCTGGTCATTTCCTCGGCCACTTGGGAGAAGATAGAATCATACCTACCGAGAGTGGCATGGATGGCACATGCGAGCTCACCGACTGGGGAAGGGAGAAGATGGTGCGTTGATCGAATGATTGGAAATTTGGATAGCATTGAGCAGCCCCATGTGTGTTTGGTCGGTCCGGGGCCGTAATCCGCGTACATGCCAAGTGTCTCGCTCAGATACTGGGTAAGATCTCTATTACCCATAATAATGCGATAGGTATCGGATTCTAGCAGACCTAAAACAAGATTAAAAATTAATCATTCTCATTGACAGTAGGGAACACCCAAGATCCGTACCTATGACATCCAGTTCTAGTTCTCGAATGACCTCGGCCATCCGCTGATGACTACTCCACATTTCGTTATCCAATCCGAAATGAACAGTCCAAATCCCCATAGTTGCTAGTTTCTCCTCCGGATGATAGGGTTTGGGTTCCTTCCGAACAGACATGCGCGCCCCTACTGAAGCAGCTAGGAGCAGATATGATATAGCTAATGTCAAGGCAGCCCGATCGTACTCATGCCTGACGGTCTTGTGTACGCTCACTGGTGCCTCCCGCTTTTCGGCGGACGAAAGAGTTGAGCGAGCCGATCGTAGGCCGACAAAAAGAAGGAATTGCATGACAATAAGAAGATAATGCGTTCGTTCGCGAGCGTAGACTCCGCCAGGAACAAATGCATACGCAACAACCCAAACATGCGCAAGCTAGTCATGAAAGGCTTTGGTCAATAAACTCAGTAGGTTTCAACTTTCTTGACATTACCTGCAATATATCATAGACAAATGTGGCTAGTAGCAGCGTTCGACCAGCGGGGAAATATGGTAATTGATTGATCAAGGAAGGTGCAATGGAGCATATGTAGGTCGCAAAGATCAGGCCTCCACCAAAACCAATGTATCTGCCTTCCGTAGACCATTGTGGTAAGAAGTACAATGCCATTACTCCGGTCGATCCGAGAAGCCACCAGCCCGTATTAGTGGCAACATTGACATTTTTGGATATCAATAATCCGATACCCATTTGTAAAAGAACGATCACACCCCCGAACAATGGATCCATTCCAGGATTTGGATAACCGTCGGTAGCCCATCTGCAGATGATACCTGAATCTGTCAGCATGCTATGAAGAGCAAAAAGTAATGCACCGAAGCCCACGGCCGCAGCTGCCCAGTGTCCCGTGGCGCGCGCTTCTTTGACACCTTGCTTTGCAGCAATTTTCTCTTCCGGCGTTGTGATTGATGCAACTTTGCTCTTTGATTCCAGCAGCGGTCGTAGCAGCACTTGTAGTGAAGCAAGCACTGCTAGTCCAAGACCCAGCTCGTTCAATCCACCGTTTTCCGGGCGCATGATTGACCAAACCGGATTATTCGAAAATCCGTACACTTTCGCGACATTACTCAACAGAAGACCAAGCATGAAAGGAAGGCACTTGCTCCAGCTGCGTGATTGAACTCTTTCGGATGAGATACCGTCGGCATCAACAAAGGAAGATCCCCACACGAGGAACGAGAACCCTACGCCAGTTCCGACGCAAATAAGCCTGTGTAGAGGTTCGGGAAATCGGTACGATAGGAGGCCAACGAGAGAGAGGAGGTGGAAAATGCCGGGCATACAGTGAACTGCGCGGCGAATAAAGGGTACGCCAAGTACTGCGGGGGATAATGTTGTGAAGAGGAATGCTTCAAATCCCGAAATTCCCATGTTCCACAAAGGAAAGTACCTGTTCAATAGCGGAAACTGATAAGCAGAGAATCCTTGACTGAAGCAGCAAAGAAAATTGGCTGAATAACTGAACCAATCATACCATATGGTGAGACCCAGGGAGGTTGTCATTGACCAAAAGACGAATCCTTTTTAATCAGTATATTCAAACGTAAGTGACATAGAGTTCATAATTAACTAATCCTGACGTTGATGCACGCCCGTTCCAACGGCTAACCCACCCAAATAGGTGTCTGCAACATGACTGGACAAAGTTGATAGGGTGCTTTGTTCGATGACGATCTGAGGTCGACTCATGGTTTCCAATGATGGTTCTTGCTTGATTCGAGTGTACCCGGCAGGCCCGCTATTTGAGGATGGCTGGACCAGTTGTATAGATATATCTTTCACATCCAACGCGGTGGCGAAATCGAAGCCCACATCAAATAATATGACGCTCCATTCAAATAAAGCATATATAGAGTAGGCTAGTGCCAACGCATTCAAATCTCTGGATTGTGAATTCTGTTGCTACAAGACAGGTGACTTACCTCCAGGAATACGGTCTACTTTATGTTTAACGAACCAATAAACCAAGAATGGTACCAAACCGAGAAAACCGATAATGCATCCAAGGCGCAGCTTCCATCCCGTTTGCTTGCCAAATTTTGATGATCTCCAGGACAGCCACGTCAATCCAATCATATAGAATAATCCGGCAACTAGGTAAGTGATCATGAAAATGTCATGCCAATCGTGTTGGTCGGTCGAAGTGATATAAACCCAACCACCACAGCTGAGTGTACGAATGAGACCGAAGAGCAAAGTCAGACGGGCAACAAAGCGTGAGCCCGTAGACATGCTCACGTCATGAACCAGGTAATTTATCGCAAGAAGCAGGAATCGCGGACCTGTTGATCCGTTGGATGTTGGATGTTGAGGCCATTTACATTCACGTGCACACTCATGTCTGAACCCACCAGCAGCCATAGCGATGAGAATTTGGAATATGTTTCGAGCAGGGTACCAATCTCCAGTCACCGCCGACACACTCGGAAACCATTCCTAGACCGTCCATCAAAATGTTGCGTTCAACTCAACGCTATTCCGCTCTTGACCATACCTCAGGCCAGCCTGCAACCTCATTTTTCAGAACATTGTGCCACCGAGTGTGAGAGCAAACAGCTAGCGCAGCTGCAAAGGCTGCATAGCCAAGTACCGTATGCAAATATGGCACAACAGTTGCGGGAATCTATACCGGTTTTATTCAAGCTTTGTTCTCTCCACGACGAGCTGCTGCAAAGGCAAAGAAACGTACCGTAACCCCGCCAGGTCGCTGTAGTTTTTTGTGGAGATCTATACCCGAATCGGCAGGAGACTTGGAGTCCGCTGAACCGTTACCCTTGACCCGCTGGCGAAGATCTGGCCCGTTCATCGTGCACGGTCAGGAAAGTAGATGAGATGGAGGCTGTGGAAGAGATGTGCCGAGCAGCTGCGCCACAGACGCGCGCATGGCCGATTCAAAGGCAAGTTGAAGCAACGACGAGCAACTCTTCCGTCAAGAACAGTAATAAGGATTGCAATAAGAATACCCTCTGCACAGATGGATATATCACAGGTTGTGGGGACCATTTCCTTCAATCGCTTGCCATCATTCATCACGGCTGCACAGTTAATGTCCTCTCGATGATATCTCAAACAACAAAAGCAAGGATCTCCGCACAATCTAGCTGCTTAACATTTGGCGTATCTCCCTCATGTGAATCTTTGGGCATTTTGCGCTGGCATCACGCAACCCTGACCTGCATTGCATGTTTGAATTGCTGACCGAGAGTCCGAGACTCGTCAAGATGTAGTATCACGTGATTTGTTGTCACGAAAGCCACTTGCGATCCATGTCGGTCCCAACCCGAGTCGAGACAGTCAACCTGCAAAAGCACTTTGAGAAGATGCCAACGTCACAATCAGAAGCCATTCCGAGCATCTATCCGGCTCCTCGCCGTCTAGCACCCTCACGGGGCGCCCGTCGCGACACCGAAGATCTCGACTCTGCCACAGGAAAACTTGGTGCTGGTCTGTAGTGTTTGCTGCAGCCCATACATCTGAAATAGATGCCTGCCAGCCTTTACAACCACTCTTCCAGTGATATGTCGTCCTCTGCTGACTATTTCAGTCCAGACTTTCAAGGTGTGGACTGTCTGCTGATACCGGAAGTGAAGCTTTTGCTTGATATGCACAAGCGACGGCGAATGCAATCTGGAATAGAACGACCTTCCAACGAGTTCAGTGTCTGCACATTGTGATTTGTCTGAGGCTGCTCTGTGTAGCCTGAAGAGATGTACTGATGCGTGTCTCGGCTTTTTCTATTCATCACGAACAACAGAGTTTTTGAAAAAACCCTCGAGTACTGCTCAAGATTCACAGCGTTTTCTAACCCAAACACGGTGCGCCATATAAAATCGTGAGTTTGATTGCTTGTCCCACACAATCTACGGAATATCATTTAAATCTGGCCCCATTGTTGGATGACCGGACACGCAGAACAATAGATAGTTCACAATACGAACCATTCGAAATTGGGCTTATGGGGAATCTCGGGATAGAGTCAGTGGAGGAAGCAAGGTCGCTTATCCCAAGGTAATGTCTGTTCTTCGCTGAGTGAAAGTACGATCACGAAAAAGTAATGTTGCTATCTTGAAAGTCTGAATCGAGAAACGTTGGACGACAATACAATCCATAGCACTTTGAATGACCTGCAAAATCTAAAGAAATATCAAGCGGCTGGTTGAACCTAGGTAGCGCAGTTCCGTCGATGTACTAATGACTGCCAATGCTACGGAGGTAACGCCTGTATATAATGTATAGAAACAAGGGCGCGTTGAGTATTATCGGAGAAAGTCTTAAATTATAGCATGGTCCGAATCATGCGCGTGGCTACGACGACTCCGAGCGGCACTCTTCTGTCACCGTGAGTAAGTTCATCTTGTTTCACAGGTCGTGAATGTGCATAAAGGTGATCGATGTTCTGTATAAAACGGAAATTTGACATTAAACCAATATTTTTGGGACAACACCCTGCAAAAAGATAGCCAGAAAACTAACCAGCTGCAATCGTCGTCTAAGATCTTCATTAACTGTAGCTATCACAGCTTGTGCTTCCACATCTCGGAATAATGATCGGTATCCAAAATTTGACGAGCCAATAACTGTCACCAACGGTGAGGACTCGCCAGGAGGCGTGCACCAAAGTCCTGTTGCTAATTTGTTAGTTACGAGTTTTTACAATGGGTGCGACTCCACAAATACCTTTAGCGTGAAAGGTCCAACCTTTCCTCTTCCACTCATGCACAATCAAACTCTCACCCCTCCCCAACCGCTGTGCCCGTTCTAAGAGTTTTGTTTCTAGGTACGTGTATGCCGCTGGTAGATATCGAGAGACTCCCTTCGAACCAAAAAACCCGTTTGCCTACCAGTGATGTGACTCAATATAAGCTCAAAATAGACCCGCGTATGCTGTATTTTTGTACCTCTGGGGATGCTGTCAATATACGATAGAGAGCTGAGGATCCTAATATCGGGCGTAGTAGAGTTTCGGGAAAGTTTAAATAGCCAGAGCTCAAGTGCACTGTCCAACGGCCTTCTTTTTCTGTAAGTTTCTGGCAGTCCATGATTTTCAAAAGCCGGTCGAGTACAGATTCTTCCTGATGAACCCCAAGCTGTCCCATTTGAATCATCGGCATTACGATTGTGTCGGTTGTCGCCCGCCGCTCAACCAGCTGTTCCCTCAATTCGCTAGTCTTCTCATGCCATCTTTTGCAGAAAGAGTGCATATCTGATGATGCTACTCGTTTCAATTTGGGACGGTCTACCCTTCCTCCAGTTAAGGATGCTGGTGGAGGAAGAAGATTCACTGCAATGGATGTCGCAGTGGTCACTTTTCCCGGAACGAGGGAATACGAGAAGCGGCTGACTGTTCGGACCAAGTCTGCATAAAAGTCGCTTATGGACGCGGTACTTCGAAATAGGACATAGCGATCCTGACGATCCACAAAATAATCGGTATTGAGATTGGCCCTGATGAGGTGAAGTCAGCCGGATGAAGCAACCTCTCGCGTGTACAGTCTTCGTGGGCCTACCCGCTCAGTAGCACGTCATCATCAAATATATATATCTTCATATGTTGCAAGCCAAAGCCTTCGATGAATCTTGGTGGAACCAAGCGCTTCAAAAGCGATCCAACTGCGGGTGTATGATATAATGATATCTTCACCCGCTCTGGATATGCTTGAACTAAAGGCGACAGTAACGATACGCTACTATCTTTTGGTCCACGTGTACCCCGGAAGTAGTCGAGGAGAATGTGTACTTCTAAGTCTTTATTTTTAGTCAACGCTGTTTTAAGAGCGTCCCTCTTAGGTAGGAGTTAACCATGGTTCTGTAATAGTTCAACCGTGTTATGACATACCACACGACCTTCACCGGCGCCAAGATACAAAGAGGCTAGCACAATACGTCGCTTGGCGGTCGATATTCCGCGCTACAGAGATGCAGATTAGAGGTTCAGATCCATTCTTTGCAAATATTTTTTGAGGACTAATCTGTCGGCAGATTTTCCTACCTTTCCCTACCTCAATCGCTCCATAAAAGTCTTGCGGCTCATCCAAGATAGTGACATTGCCCGGGTTGCACGGGAAAACGGGTGTAATTTCGTAGATGGGTGAAAACCACGCCAATCGCTGAAGGGGTGCTGAAGGGGAGATTGTGCCAGGGCGGAGTTTTTGTCGTGATGCAGTGCATGAATGGACAAACTTCATATGGTGATGCTGCACAAGGCGTGGAGATCTGCTACCGCCAATGTGTCGAATGACATTATCGCATGTTACGTGTGGAAAACGGGGAAAGAATGGAAAGGTCGCATTCTGCATTGGAAACTTGAGACGTTGGCGAGGTGCAGAAAGGACGGTACGTAACGGTACCAGTACCGTCATCGTCGCAATGATCTTTTGTTCTTGAGGTTGGAGGTGGTGGATTGTCAATGACTTGAATGAGTCATATCTCGATGGCACAGCAGGTCTGATCCATCGGAAATCGCTAGTTGGTGTGTGGAGGGATGAAATGACGACCGAGAGCGGAGTGGAAATTCGCCTTTTTGAAGGCGACTTGGGTCGCGCTGCGGTTGCGACAAAGTCGTTCAATGTGGGCGATGTTGTTATGGTGGACTTGCCGGTCTTGGCTGTGGCCGATAGCCCGTTATCAAACCCTTTGAGCCGGCGCATCCGGGACGTCCTTCAATTAGTCGCGGATGAAAATCCCAACGCAGTTATCCCTGTGGATTTACAGGCCAATATATTGGCAGAATACTCCCATATCTCTCAAGACAAAAGAAACATGATCAGCGTATGGATGGGTTGAGCCATAGCGCCAAAGAAAACTGGGATTGATGCAATTTGATTAGACAAATTTCGCTGCTCCGCCAATCGACGCCGGCCATGGGATAGTGGAAATCCTCGGTTCACTGGCATCATCAGCCCAGCAGAATGTCGAGGAGCTAGGGCGTTTCTCCATCAAGGAGCTCCACCACGTGCTATTAGTAATGGCTACCAATGCTCACGAATACATTGAAAATGGTCAACTATATGTCGGGTTATATGACCAAGGTTTGATTCTCGTATTATAAATGGCTTGAATCCGAGCATCGAGCCTTAACATGCTTGAAATCAAAGGGTCCAAACTTGCACATTCGTGCTCTCCCAAGGTAGAAAATATGCTGCAGAATTCTCTGATTCTAAGAATACTTATTTCTCATGGCACAAGACAGTATATATCGGAAATGGATCTGAGTTAAGGCACTATGCTTTGAAAGAGATAAAACCGGGCGACCTTATCACGACAAATTATGCTATTAGCGATGATATTCGGTGCGCGTTTGTTTATCTTTGGTTGGTTTGAAGCTGGGAATAATTTATCAATGTTTGCAGCGTTTGCTGGCCGACGCATTTACGTCAAGCAAAGCTTTTGGCGACCAAGTTCTTTCGCTGCGAGTGCGAGCGATGCATTGCCCCCGACGATTGTAGAAAGTTGGTATGCCCGAAGTGCAAGGTGGCCAGCGTTATCCTTTATCCAGTGTATGAAAAGGGAGGCGATTTCCATCCATGGCGTTGTAGCTCTTGTCAAGCTAGCTTTTCAAATGCTGACATGCCGCTCAAAACGGAAGCCCAACTTGAGAAAGCCGTACTGGAAGCCACGACAATTTTTGATGGATATGAGACCACAATGTTTGACAAGGGGTTCTTAAAGATGGATGTTATCCGTAGGACGGCAACAGAAGCGCTAGGTCCTGCTCATTGGATTTCCAACTGGGTGAAAGGGTTTCTCTGTGTTCAAATGGCGTCCCGTGGAAACCAGAGGAAGGCCGGCCAACTAGCAATGGAATGGCTGGTTTGGTCAGCCGAGCATGTGAGGCCGCATTATCCTCACATTCATGCGAGACATTTGGCCTCCATTGGACCCTATTGTGTGCGAGCGGGACTGGCCAAAGGCTTGTATGAGCTTTATTGCAAAATCGTGCCGTGGGTGCGGGCCGAATTTATGGGAAGTGAGGAAGTTGTCCAGCGATTAAATTCTCTGGTAGCTGGAGCGGATCAAGAAGACCAAAATAGGACCGGTGCGGTTGTGAATGACTGGCTTCCTGCAGAGATCACAACGAAGGCGACTGTTACAAACAAACATGAAGCCACACCGGCAACAAGTGGCAGAAAGAAGAACAAGAGACGGGGTCGCAAATAGAGTTTAGATAATGTACATATGATGCTTATTTAATCCATCGGTATACTTTTCCACAACGCCTGTCGTGCGTTATAATCGATTGCGAAATATGCACTTCCTGAAGAGTTTGTTTATATCTGGTCGCTTACGTGAATCCCGTGATGACACAATCGATCCCGCATTATCCCGTTGTCCTGGCCCAAAGAAGGTCGTCTCCATCCCCACAACCATCTCTGGGCTTCTGCTGACACTACCAGACTCTGCTACCATGACAAAACCTTCCACCAACACTTGTCTCATTGTTATCGATGGTTGGGGTATTTCCCCCGAGGCTGACCCCAAGGGAGACGCTATCCGGAACGCGGACACCCCAGTCATGACAGACTTGCAGAAGAGGTATCCTACGACTGAGCTCGACGCGCACGGTTTGGCAGTTGGGTTGCCCGACGGTTTGATGGGAAACTCTGAGGTCGGTCACCTGAACATTGGCGCAGGTCGAATCGTGTACCAGGTATGTGCGCATTCCTATTCTGTGTGAAAAGTCGGATACTAGGCCGCCCTATTGAAGGATGTTAACTGTGGCTTTCTGATTAGGACATTGTTCGAATTGATCTTTCCATCAAGAATAAAACATTGGCTCAACAGCCTGCACTCGTCGATGCCTTCAAGTCGGCCAAAGAAGGCAATGGGCGCCTTCACCTATTGGGTCTCATTTCTGACGGAGGGGTCCATTCCCATATTAGACATCTTTTCGAGCTCTTGGAGGCAGCGAAGGATTATGGTGTTCCCAAGACTTTCGTCCACTTCTTTGGCGATGGGCGGGATACGGCTCCCCGATCCGCTGACAAGTATCTTCAAGAATTGCTAGACTTTATGAAGAAGATCGGATACGGCTCTGTCGCCACTATTGTTGGACGCTACTATGCCATGGACCGTGATAAGCGATGGGAACGCATCAAGGTTGCTTACGAGGGTCTAGTACAGGGAGTTGGAGAGAAGACGGATGACCCGTTGAAGACTGTCAAAGAACGCTACTCCAAAGACGAGACGGACGAGTTCTTGAAACCCATCATTGTTGAAGAAGATGGACGGGTTCAAGACAATGATACCCTTATCTTCTTCAACTACCGTAGTGACCGTATGCGGGAGATCACCCAAGCATTTGGCATTGAGACACCGTTTGAGACCGCCAAGAAGCCAAAGCACATTGTAAGTGAATTGCATTCAGGTGTTCAGGATGTGGGCTAAAATTAAGTATCCTCGATACTAGTCCATTACCACCATGACCCAATACAAAGCCGATTACCCTTTTCCCGTCATTTTCCCTCCACAAAAGATGACCAATGTTTTGGCGGAATGGTTGGCTCAACATGACATTCCCCAGAGCCACATTGCCGAGACTGAAAAGTATGCCCACGTGACGTTCTTCTTTAACGGAGGCACAGAAGCACAGTACAAGAGAGAAGATCGCGAGATGATTGCGTCTCCAAAGGTGCAAACCTACGACAAAAAGCCGGAGATGAGTGCAATCGAGGTGGCGCAAAAGGTAGCGGAAACGGTCGAAACGAAAAAGTATCCCTTCGTAATGTGCAACTTTGCCCCTCCAGACATGGTGAGCGCTACTGTTTGGTAGCTACATCTGAACAGTCCGCTTACTGGTATGCTACGCAGGTTGGACACACTGGTGTGTACGAAGCTGCCATCAAGGGCGTGGAAGCAACCGACAAGGGAATTGGAATTATATATGAAGCGTGCAAACGCGCTGGATATACACTCTTCATTACAGCTGACCACGGAAATGCCGAAAAGATGTTTGGAGATAATGGACAGCCACACACGGCTCACACTACCGCCCGAGGTCAGTACCATAATTATGAACAGGCGCGATGCAGCAGCTGCTAAAATGGCCCTTTTTCGTTCTAGTTCCATTCATCATGACATCCACCACCCGCAAATTCATTCCGTCTAAAATCGGCGCATTGGCGGATGTTGCTCCGACAATCTTGGAGGTGATGGATCTGCCTATTCCAGAAGAAATGTCGGGGCAGTCTCTGCTAGCCAAGTAGATCATAGTAGAGTAGAGGAGCGGGATATGCAAGCCATCATATGTACAAGTGGGCTGGTAGATCAGGCCATCATTGTAGAGCATTTACATACACTTCATGATTTTTATCATTCACCTTGCAGTGGGAATTTTAAGGAATGTACTATACGTCCATCATCAACCGAAATAGCTCAATGATTGGGTAATCCATCACGGGCGGGACTGTCATTTGTTGCCATGGTTGCGTGCGAAATCCCGATGACATCCTCCTGTTCGCAGGTTTCTTTTTCAGAACACACAGTAACCATGGTTGAGCTCACAGAAGTGCACACCGAAACACATGTACTGGCGACAGAAGACGCTCTGATTGCTACCCTGGAAGAGGACGACAATGACTCTCAATACGAAGATGAAGATGGTGACGAGCTCTTGTCCGAGGACGATATTGAAGACTTGGAGATCGACGACGAAGATGACATCCAAGACGAATCCCTCCTTGAGCGTATATCCGCCTTGGTGGATGTCGTTCCACCCTCAACCAGACGAAGCATTGTTCGCTCCGTAAAGAATGTCACGAGCGCAACGTGGGGTGCTGCTCAGTGGGTTGGTAGCGCCGCATGGGTTCTGGCCACTGCCGCCATGCTTGTGGGGTTACCGGTTGCATTGGAATTGGAGAGGGAACAGTTTGTGTTCCAGCAGGAAGCTCAAGTACGGGCTCAGCAGCAACAGGCTCAGCAGGCAAGTGGAAAAGTGAAACTTTCAAATATCAGGTTCATTGACTGACCAATATTGCTTTGATCTTGAATAGATGGTTCAACCTGGTCTTGGCGTTCCTGGAGTTCCAGGCGCTCCCCAAATTCCCGGATTGCCAGCTCCTAAGGCCTAAAAGCGTACATAGTTGAACGGTTTATTTACAGTTATGTAGCTTGCTAAGTGCCGCCGCGCGGGGAAAGACTCGCTACTGGAGGTTTGACACACACCACAACCATGTCGCAGTACAACAGCAGTGGGTACATGTAGCATGGAATCCCGCGATGCTTCGTTTACCCGTGGGGGGCCATAGTGGGGAGAACAAATGTACATTATTTCAGTTAATTATACCGGCAATTTATCTTTCGTCACTGTTCGCATAAGAAGTTCTATTGCATGAGATCTACAGTGGGGTTCGCATCCGGTCAAAAAAGCACCCCGTTGGCCGTATATCACAATATGAAAATCGTATTGGTCAGAGATCTTTGTTTACAAGAAACGCCGCCAAGGAAGCTGAATCTCTAAATCCCGTTTCCCAGCCTATCTAACTTTTCTTATCAGAGATGTCAACTCATCCTTGCTGGACATCAAATTCGCGGACTTTCGAGGTCATCAGCAGTCCAATGATCAAACCAAAAAGGCCGATGATGGAACCGAAAATCTCAATCACGAGGACTTTGACAAACAGCTGGGGATCGGAGGCGTCTGCAATGGCGCAAGTCGATCCTGTGATTCCAACAGCGATGCCGCAGAAGAGGTTTGCAAAGCCAACTGTGAGACCTGCCCAAAACAAAGCATAACCTGAGTAGAGAGATAAAAGCATCGTTAAATCAAAATGTTTAACTTCGACGGTCAACAGTAATGGCAAGGAAGCACCTGAATAGTAAGCAGATCTCGACCATGTTTCACCAGCAGCCAGTGCGGCATCATTCAATTTAGAGGAAAAGACAATTGCAATGATGAGACCGTAAATAGCAACGACCTCGCAGAAAATGATGCTGTGTACGGGATGATCAATACCTTCGAACAGGGCCAAATGCACATACTTCAACATAGCAAAACACACCTGATAAGATTCTTCGTTCGAATACGAGGAGCTCTGACAGCAGCACCGAGAAGACTGGAGCCCGTGGTGTAAATTCCCCTAACAATCCGAACATTTAGTCAGTGTCCATTCCTTCACCACCTCCTATAGCGGTTGCTCGACGCGTCGCTCCTTTCAACTCACCAGGCAGCACCAACAACACTGAGTCCAGCAGTCAATGACGTGCCCAGTAGCGCCCACATATAAGGTGACGTCTCGGTCAAGAACCTGCCGACGTTAAACTGCTCGCCGTTGCCAGTAAAAATTAAATTTAGGAAGACCACTAGGGCCACCAAGCTCGCACCGTAGGTGATGTAAGCCTGTTTTGAGTAGTACATGTCGAATACGGTGACTTCAGGAGGAGGTGGAGGTATTGGTTCAGGATCTTCTATGGGTGGAGGATCAAAACGGTCTGCGCGATGGCGTCGCGGGAAGGATGGTGCGGACGAAGAGCTAAAACGCGATTGGAACGATGAAGTAGGCAGAAGAGGATATGTGTCGTCGTCGTAATCTTCAGTAGGTGCACTTGTATAAAGTCCCCTTCCTCTCCTCAACATGTGCTAGTGGCAGACAGGATGAAAACTGCCCATTAACCTGCGGTCGCGGACAGTTTTTGCAAAGACGAGGTCAAAACCAAATAGGATGGCCAGTCGGAGGCATGCAAGTTACCAGCCACGTCGCCACCGCCTAAAGTCATGTGATATGTGGCAGAGCATCGGAGATTGCTTTGAAATGAGCGAACAACTTCTTTGCTACATTTACTTTAACGAAGATCACCATTGTATCTTACAAGTATGGCTCCTCGGAATGAAGACGTACCCGAAAATGCTCCCGAGCACTGCCCGGGAACAGGCAGCGATCAGGCCGGCAAAGGTAGGTGTTTTAGCGGCGACACTGATCATCTGTGAACCGGAATTGAATGGGCGTTGTTTTTAAGCTGCCTCATGCGCCGGATGTCCAAATCAGGCAGCTTGCGCTACTGGACCCAAAGGACCTGATCCAGCTATTCCCTTGATTAATGAGCGAATGTCGTCAGTCAAGCACAAGGTGCTGGTTTTGTCGGGAAAGGGCGGAGTGGGCAAAAGTACCTTCACAACAAACTTGGCGTTTGCTCTATCTATGGACGAATCAATTCAGGTGTGTTTGTCACTCACAGTGTTCGTGCTGTTAGGAAGGGCAATATTGACGTAGTTGGTGGTACGCAGGTCGGTATTATGGACATTGATATCACAGGTCCATCCATGCCACGCATGACCGGTCTGGATGGAGAAACGATACACCAAAGCAATTCAGGATGGTCGCCAGTATACGTCAGCGACAATTTGGGTGTTATGTCGGTCGGATTTATGTTAGAAAACCCCGACGATGCTGTCATATGGAGGGGACCAAAAAAGAACGGTACGAATGTTTACTCAAGCAGACTACGACTACGGAATCTTATATCTCAACTGGTATTTGCCCTTAGGCATTATTAAGCAGTTCTTAAAAGATGTCGATTGGGGACAATTGGACTTCCTTGTTGTGGACACCCCGCCTGGGACATCCGATGAGCATCTCTCAGCCGTGCAATATCTCAAAGAAGCGGGTATTGACGGAGCGGTTATCATCACAACACCACAAGAAATGTCTCTTCAGGATGTACGCAAGGAGATCAACTTCTGCAAAAAGACCAAGATTCCAATCATCGGTGTTGTGGAAAATATGAGCGGGTTCGTATGCCCGGGATGTAAGAAGGAGTCGGTCATTTTTGCACCCAACACCGGGGGTGCTAGGCGCATGGCAGAGGAAGTTGGTGTGCCATTTTTGGGCTCGATTCCTTTGGATCCACGAATTGGTATGATTCATGGGACTGTTAAAACATAGGATTGATGACTAATGCTGTGTTATTGCAGGAAAATCTTGCGATTTGGGAGAATCCTTTTTGGATCTATACCCGGACTCCCCTGCCCACACGGCGTATCTCAGCGTAATAGAGAGTAAGTCATTGTAGCTGTGGCTCATGATGAATACACTACTAAAACACTGCACTTTAATAGAAATTAAGGCATATGTAGCAGCGCAGGCATGATTGTAGCTATTTCGCCAGTTACTTGTAGATAGTGATATTGTATAGATTCATTGTTATATGACATGATTTTGCATTTGGATTTGTATGCGGCATTATATGCGTATCTATGCTGGAAAATGTTAATCCTAATCGGAGGACGGCTGTCGATTATGGTTAATGCGTGTTTATGAAGGCAGCCCCATTGAATCATCCATTGAATCATCCGTGAAAACTTCACAGAAGAGACGAGCAGGCGACATCAAAATATTCGGTGATCATATCGGAAGCCCAAGCTCCACCGAGTCGCGTCCAAATTAGTGACGAGATTATATCCATCAACGGAGTGTCAAGTCAGATGCATGGCGCGTGAGAAGTAGCGGGGCCGATTCAAATTCTCCGTATCTCGCGACAGGCGTACACCATATCTTGAACGGAAGGAGAGCTGACCAATTTCCAGGGAGGCCCTAATGCAAACTAGCTGCCCACGTTCCAAGAGAGGAGACCCATTCTTGGCCCACCAACAATTTCAGTAAATCTGCCAAAGTGTCACGTTCCCATCTTTTGATCCAGCGGCAAACATATTCGGCGGCGCCACTTCTTCAGAATTCGTTTCACTTCCAACGTGTGATGATCCCGCTTCCGAAAATGCAAGACATGAGACACCTTGCCGGTGTCCGCGAAGAATTGCGAGCGGCTTAAATTTCTTTGCATTGTATATTCTAATTCTGGGGTAGGGGGGTAAGCAACGGAAGAAGACTGGGCACAGTTGATGACGCGAATATGTCGTACTTTGAGTCCCAGCCTCCAGTTGCTACAATCTTTCCATCTGGCCGTATGCGCACCACTGCTATACCTCGGGTCGGGACAGTGAGATGCCGAGTGGTCTGTTCGGGATCTGATATAGGGAAGAACTGGGAGATTTTGGTTTCGGCTCCACCTGAAAAGCCGATCGAGCCGTCTGGAAGGACATCTAACGAAAGGACTGAGGGAAGCCAAGTTTTGATTCCTGGACCAATAAATGCTCTTCCACATGTATTAAAGTACCTGGCTCTTCGTGTACTTTGTGTCTCCACACCAGGCCTTTGGATTCGATATCCCATATTATTATGGTTCCGCTTTCGTAACCTGCTGCAAGGCAGAGCCCAGTTGGACCCTCAAAGAACTTGAGGCACATGCACAAGCCTAGGATATTCAGACTATACCACAAGACGTTGAAAGACATAAAAACAAACAGCACAACATACCTGTGTCTTTTGATGCATTTGGGACGCTTAGACCCTGGAGTGTGTATGTCTTGGTCGACAAGTTGTAAATGTCAATCTAGGGAGACGCTCTGGTCAATTATACAGATGTGAAGCCATATCAAAGCCAAGCCCGAGCCCACCTCCGCATTTTCTCCCAGACCTGGCAACGCAAGGAGAGTTTGCTCGGCGCCTCCTTCTCTGTCCGCTGGTTGTTTCCAAAGAGAAACCCCACAAAAATTCAGAGAGTTGACCAGGAGGGTGAATTCCGGCTTTTGTGGGCTTGACGAGGCTTTATCTGACGGATCGCACAAGGACCAGATATGAAGCTGATCGTCACGGCCGTGACTTTGGGATTTTCAGCCATAGCGGAAAGCCAGACTTTTCACCAATCACAGAGGAGCTACCTTAGCAAATTGTCGCCGGCTACAGAGTGAATGGCCAAGATCCCTGATGTATGCGCACGCCATCGTCGTATGGGACGCCGAGTAAGTACTGACCAAAGTATTATGTGACCTTCCTGGTCGCTACCACCATCCATAGCATCGGTAAGTGTTCAACCTTCAGCAAACTTATGAAATTGGCTGCTCACCCTGAAGCCAAGATTGTGTTGTTCCTTATGAAAACGACAGCCGTAACGTCCGCTTCATGTGCTCGTAGCACGAATACAGGATCAGGAGGTGCAGCCATTTGGTTGTGACATGCCTATATAGCGTTGTCTAGCCACTAGGAATCTTTTGCAAGACGTCTGGATCGTTGACCAAAAAGAACGCGCTCGGACAACCGGACAAGAACCGATTCAAACCAACACATGAATCAGCTTTGTCACTTGACTCATCGCAACGATCTTCCTTCTGGCTTTTTTGTGACTTTATAAAGTTTACGAAACTTGCCTTGGTTGGAAACACTTGTACTGTGAGTTGAGATATAAAGCTCTCGCAAAATCAACTCTTTTCCGACCGTTTCAGCGAATCAGAACTGGATAACAATCTGCAAGTTCGTCAAAGCTTGGAGACATGCCGGTGTCAACGACCCCACCACAGGACTTTCCTCCGACAACCATTCAACACATCCAAAACTGTTCTTTTTCATCCTGGTATGATACATTTGCGGCCTGTACGTTGAAGAGCCGAATCATACCCCTGGAGGAAGAGTTTATAGAATATTTAAATGCGGACGGAGTATTTTTGCCTCGTGGGGAGGACGCTGCCGAGGAAGACCATTGGGGGGGAAGTGGAGACGAGAGCGGGGGAGAAGAGGAGATTGGGGACGATAGAAGTCCATCATTTCCAGAATTGCAAAGAAGAATTGAACAAGATATTGAAGATTTGGGTGGGGCTGTTTTCCCAAAGCTTAACTGGAGTTCACCAAAGGTGCGACTTCTCCAGCTTCCTCAATCGGACGATATCTCATACTTGTTCTCCAGGACGCAGCGTGGATAACAACAGGCACAACTTTGAAATCCACCACCCCGTCCGAAATCTTCCTTCTTCTGAAATCTAGCGATTTCGTTGCCCACGATCTGGGACATGCATTTGAAAAGTGTGAAAATGGACCCACGCGACCGGAGAAGTTTGAGCTGGTTCTTAAAAAATGGTACGACTTGCTGCCGTCAATGGAGTTCAGATGTTTTGTTAAGGATGGGGAGCTAGTAGGTGGGTTTAAACGTTCGATCTGGAGAAGTACAGGGGACCAGGTATATGTGACAAGATATTGACATGAGGATTCAATAGGAATCAGCCAAAGAGACGTTGTCAACTATTATGATTTTTTGTCGGAAGCGAGGGAGGATCTGGAAGACTCCATTATAGAATTCTTTGAAGAGAAAATCAAAGGACGGTTTCCTGATCCGGACTGTAAGTGGCAGATCCCGTAGGTCCTGACAGTCACACGTCCTAACTGATGCAAAACCATTAGATGTATTTGATGTCTATATCAATCAGCGCAATCGAAAAGTATGGCTATTAGACTTCAATCCTTTCAGCCTCACAACAGATTCACTGCTCTTTCAATGGCAAGAGATCCTTCGGCGTAAGTCAATGTCGTCCATTTCCATGACGCAAGACGTTCCAATACTTAAACTTCTATCCGCCGAACAGATCCAACATCACAGCCCCCTATATTCCGCATCATCGAATCCCAAGCAAACGCAACCCAGAGTCCGTATCCGGCGTATACGACCAGTCGCTTGCCCCGTGAGGCAATAGATTTGTCCAGTGGGGCATCCATTGAGGAATTCGCCGAGAATTTTAGGAGAAGACTTTACGACGCCGTTACAGAAGACTGATGGCCGGTTGAAGTTGAAGAGGATCATCGAACATGATGTCGTGATAATGCAATAAGAACTAAAATAAATACTGTACATGGAGGAGAAGGACTGCATCCTTCCTATTTTCAAGCGTCATCATCCTCTTCATCCTCTTCCTCATCATCAAAGTCATCAAAATCGCTCCAACCTCCGTCCTCATTCTTTTCCGCGGCCAAAACGACTTTTTGCGCCCCCTCATCATCTCCGCGTGCGACTCGTCTCAAATAAGATCGTCGTTGGCGTTCAGACATGGAGGCAAGCAGACGTTCTTGATCTTGTTCTTCGCGTAGGATATCTGCGGGTGTTCTTATATCGGGACTATTTATGTATACCGTAAGAGCTCTCAACATATGGGAGTATGAGAGAGATCTGACTTGGAAACTTACGTCACGACATCTGTGCTTTCTTGACATTTTGCGCATACATTCTTTTCCTCGGCGCATGATTTGCAGAGGACGTGGTAGGCGTCTGTTACTTTCTTTTGTTTACATCCGACACTATAGTGGTAAGAGTATTGGCTTAGTATTGGAAATAGTGTTTATTGTGCTAGAATAAGAACTCACCATGTCTTGGGTTGCGTCAACGGTTTGTACTTGTTCATGCGTTTTCTTTAATTCCCAGAGAACAGAATAAGTAAATCATTCCCAAACTTGCACAACAAAGAACTGAGACCCCAACCTCCAGTCAACAATATCCAAACACCGCTGGCACAATCCTTTAGCAGGTAGGGCAGCAATTTTAAGTGCCACGGTATCCTTTTTGTGCGGTTTGTATGCAAATGTGTTTTGATATTTCTGGCGAGACTTGGTTGCCCCGCCTTTTCCTTTTGCTGACGATACTTTTCCGGCCATTGCTGCTGCTCGGTTTGTTGCGAAATAGGTGTACGTTCAATGTTCCTGAATAAAAAGTTGGCTTGTTGGAGAAGGAAGCGAAGCTAAGCAGGACCTTGTTGCCATGTCAACACTCATTGGCCATCACGACGGATCTGTATGGCTTATTGCAGATATTCGATAATGCAACCAAACCACCTTGAAACGACGCACGTTCATGAAGTGTACAACCTCATCGCAGACCATTTCAGTGCGACACGGTACAAACCATGGCCAGTTGTTGACAGTTTCCTCCGGTATGTCTTTGTCGCGTGTTTATCTTAGTACGGAATTGTAACATGTGCTTGTTAGGGAGCTGGAAAAAGGTTCTCTTGGTGCGGATGTGGGATGTGGAAATGGAAAATATCTGGGAGTAAATAAGGAGGTGTTTACTGTTGGTTCGGATCGGTACGTTCTCGTCGTCTAGGATTGATACTTGGGTGTTCAACCTTGTGAACTATTAGGAGTGACAAATTGATCGAAATCGTCCAAAAGCGAGGGTTCGAAGCCATGGTGTGCGACAATTTGAGCCTTCCCTATCGAGATGCATGCTTTGTATGTTGTTTCGTTCCTTTCGTTGATCTTGCTAGTACTGTACTAATTTTCGATAGGATTTTGTGATTTCAATAGCAGTGATACATCATATGTCATCTCCAGAGCGGCGATTAGAAGCTTTAAAGGTTCGTCTGTTCACGGAGTATGTCAAGTGCAATCAATAGTTGCTGATGAACATATAGGAACTTTTAAGAATAACGAGGACTGGGGGACGAATTCTCGTATTTGTATGGGCGTTTGAGCAGGAGGTGCGTGGTTGTACCTTTTCCAGAACCGGGTTGGATGTGAATAGATATTAATGGTGGTCCAAGTAGGGTAAACGTAAATATCAAGAACAGGATGTCTTTGTCCCTTGGAAAATGCCCAAAAAGATTTATTGTCCTGAAGGGCAACCAACGAAAGGGTCCACGCCGACAGAAGAAGGTAGTCAGGACATTGTGTATCAGCGGTGGGTTTCTTTCGTTATTGCTACCATCTATTTATTAATTCTCTAACAACTGGTCCAGATATTACCATCTCTTTGTCAAGGGAGAGCTTGATGAACTCATTACGCGGACTGGGATGGCAACAATAGAAACATCAGGATATGATAGAGATAATTGGTATTGCGTTGCCAGAAAGACTTGACATACGATACATAAAAGAGGATAGTGTCCTTCTATACTAGTCTATGTCATTGGTCTAGCCAAAAAAGATCTGCGATGTTCCCCCCGGGGGTGCATGCAGCTTAACACTAACTCTCTGTCCTGTAACGGGGGGTGCTTGGCCTTTAGCTGGCAGAGGAGCAGCAGCCGGAGGTCTCTCCGCAGATGTTGCAAAACCAAGGGAGCCTCTGTCCCGGGCCGCGTAAGAGTTCCTGGTGGCCATCATGTCCGAGTCCCTAGGCGTTGTGTCGCTACGGCGGCTGACGGGGTGCAGGTCGTTGCCAGTCGCCAAGCTAATTTGTGAGACCCCGCCAGGTGGGGCGTGAAGCCTTACGGATTGTCGTTTGCCGGTGACCGGGTTGGATATGTTTGCGACGTTCGATGTTTGATAAACGGGATCTCCATTGTTGGTCGGCTTCACATCCTCAGACTGACCAGAACCTACCCATTCGTTCTCATGGTGCTTTACATAAGTATCTTGTGGGGGTGCAACAGGCACCTCTTGCACGTCCAACGTCTCTACGCTTGATTGCACAGGTAACTGTGCGTCCCCTTTGAGGGTCTCAGTCTCAAATGCCGCCTTAACAACATTTTCCACATCATTGCCTGCTACTTTGACAGGAATCTCTCCACCTGCTCGCCCTCTAACACTCTGCGGCAAAAGACCTGCCTGCCTTAGCACACTCGCATGGTCCCAGTATACCCTCTGAGAAGCTAGCTTGTCACCACGGAACGTTGAGACGGTAATCTGCGCTACCGTGAGTGTGCGACCCGTATCTTTGACTCCAGGGAGCAGATACTCCATCGGTCGTTCGTGGCGGACGGTCAGGAGTGATTCTTCGACCTATCTTAACGGTGAGATGCCCATCATATTACCGCGTTTTCCATCACAATCTACTTGCATACCACATCATTCTGCCCATAGATAGTAGATAGAATCTTGGTGTCCTCAATGTAAAAGTACGTCGCTCGTATTTGTTCCAGGAGCACCTCAATTTCCCTATGACCGCGATATGTGGCTCCCGTCGGAACGTAACTAATCACGCAGTCGGAGTGAAAACGCGACGGAACTGCTTTGGGAGGAGCCCCACGGGTGCGGCGGTGGGTTTGCCAGAGAGATTCGAGTGTCATGTTACGGCGTTGGAAGAACACACGAGATGATGCGCAGACGGCGAGGGGACACTCGCTGGGAAAAATGCAAGGAGGATAGACTCTCAACCTACACGTGTTTACTGTGCCACAACACAACTCCCACAGTGATTGTGCCATCGAGGCGAACCAAATGCACTCAAGTATTATGATGAAGAAAACAATGTGCAATTGTGATAAACAACAAGATAAACAGAAAATATACCTAACAATCTAACCTGAACGTCCACAAAAACTATAACCTAATCTCTAGATACAGAAAAAAAAACCAATTTCGGGCAATTAGGCCTTGGTCACTGCAGCTTTGGCGGCGGCGGCAGCTTGTGCCTCTCCATCCAAAAGCCGGCCAAAGAATGGAATGAGCTGCTGTGCAACTGTGAAGCTGAAAATCAACTTGGGCCCAACGACCAGGATCTTTGGCGTCAATCCCTGCAAACATCAAGTACATGAGTTATCTGAGCAACCGGAATTAGTAATTTTGGTGAAGCGTACCTTGAAGAAGGCATGGAAACCTTCCTTTGCTACCATGTTCTTGACGATGGTCCATCCTCCCTGAGCTTGCTCACTTGAGCGTGCTTGGATACGGGTCTTGATCACATCCAACTAAACAAACGCCACCGTAAGAATGACTATGGCAGGTATTGCCCATTTAAGAAACATGATATCATACCGGTGCAGAAATCGTGATACTGGCAATAGCACCCGCAATGGAAGCGACAAAGTTTTGGAAGAATGTCGCCTTTCCATAATCATCCAGCTTGAACAAGTGCTCCTTTGTAATTGCGGCGCCACCAAACAATGCAAATGATCCCGGTGCGTTACGAGCAGCGGTCCAAGATGCTCCCCGGTATAATCCCCATCCCTCTGATCGTACAATCTGGAACACGTTCTGACCAGCGTATGACTGGGCGTTGGTTTGCATCTTGATTTTCAATGCATCCAAAGGCAACAAAACAATCTCTCCAATTCCGACCAACGACCCGGCTGTTGCATGCATGATTGTCTTTGCATGGCGGTCACCAAAGACGTTCTGGAAGGTCTCCTTGTAGTGTTTGTTTAGGTAGTCATTCACGTAAGGCTGGCCGCCGAATTTGTAGACTCGCTGCATGACTTTATAACCCGCTGCGAAACCAAGACCGGGGAAGAGAGAGAAGTATTTGGAAAGGGTTCCCTTTGTAGCAGCATCCTGAAGAAATATATACAAGTTGAGCGACCTGCCTCATGGATCATAAACATTGCTTAAAGAAAGGTCGCACCTTGAAAATGATCTTGTTCATCACACCCATGCTCTCCGAAAAGGCTTTCCCCGAGCCAAACACCTAAATTTGTGCAAGCCCATCAATGCCCGCTCATGGTGTATTGCTCGCAACTTGCTCGCGCCTACCTGCTGCTGGTTATTCATCAACCGCTTGGCCACCGTGTCCACCGGGTGGAAGCCCAACAGCTCCAATACACCAGCAGACGCTGATCCAAAGAAGCGGGCGGTGCCCGACTCCTTTCTGTTGCCTGAGGATGGGGGTGGGACCATGTTGCTGGACGGAGATTCAACAATGCGCTAGAAAGGGTTGGACCGGGGAAAGAAAAGGCAGACCAAAAACACCGATGGGATGCTGAATAGAGAGATACAAGTCATGTGATCTGATTGTTGCCATGGTGATAGGTAAAGAGATTGCTCATTGTGACTGCAATTCTTGGACGCTTTGTCCCCAGTCCTTCAGCGTAAACAAAGCAGACGGGGTCCAATCAAAGCAAGATATCAAAAAAGATGAGATCCGCCAAGGAGTGGCCTGTTGTGACATCTCTGACCAACGGAAATTGGTTGGAGCGGGCCATCGAAAAAGAGATGAAAGTCGAGCAATGGCCGTACGCCCGCAAGCGATAACGGATTTGCAAAATACTTGCTAGGAAGGCAAGCAGGCAAGCACACACTGCAAACTTGGAGCAGAAGCCTGTTCTGTGTGCTAAAAACTTCCAACCTGGTTATTTGAAATGGAATGCATTAAATCATGATGTTGATCTTATCTTATTGTCATGGCAACATCTGATGGTTAGGCGATGAAGTACCGCCCCGACTTGGATCTTGCCCTTCCTGGTTTGTTTGTTCACCACAGACATCATGTCACGAAAAATCACTATCCGCGTTCCCGCATCGACTTCAAACATTGGGCCGGGATTCGATGTGTTGGGAGCAACACTCTCCCTCCATCTCACGCTGACAGCCACCTTGTCGCCCACCTTACAGTCCGTCAGCATCACATACACTGGGAACAACCCTCACACGGTGCCATTGACAGTCCTTGACAATCTCATCACACGAACAGCCTCGTACATTGCTGCTGTGCACAATGTCTCGCTTCCGCCTATGGACCTTCACATTGATAACCCTATTCCACTTGGCAGAGGTTTAGGTTCATCAGGCGCAGCTGTGGTTGCTGGCGTGATCTTGGCCAACCAAGCATGTCAGTTGGGTTTGAGTAAAGACAGAATGCTGGACTTTTGTCTGGTTATTGAGGGCCACCCTGATAACATTACGGCGAGTTTGATTGGGGGCTTTTGTGCGAGCTATCTGGCAGCCAGTGTAGAGCAGGAGCATAGAGAGTTACATGAATTGGAGAAGAGCGGAAAGTTGATTCCTAAATTGAACGGCGTGGCGAATGGGAGTGTTGGGTTGCCCGTACCTCCGATTGAAAACATTGGGCGATACGTCCGGTTACCGCTTTCGAAAGCCATTCGGGCTGTTGTGATCATTCCAAAGTTTGAATTGTCAACAAAGTTGGCGCGAAGTGTCTTACCGGATGTATACCCCCGAGCAGACGTTGTCTTCAATCTGCAACGTCTCGCTGTTTTGACGTCAGCTCTGTGTGCCGAAGTACCCTCCCCGGACATTGTCTACACCGCCATGCAAGACAAGATCCACCAACACTATCGTCAGCACCTCGTTCCCGGTCTCCCCCAAATCCTTGCATTGACACCTCAGGATCTACCCGGATTGTTGGGCATATGTGTATCTGGTGCGGGACCGACAGTATTGGCACTAGCAACAGGCAACTTTGAAGAGATTGGAGCAAAGGTGCAGGGAATATGGACGTCGAGCGTGGGTGCGGATGGGAAACCTATTGAGAGCGAGGTTCTCATATTGGATGTATTGAAAGACGGAGCATCTTGGGAGAGTGTAGATTTGTAGTTTCTACACATATTTATGTAAATTACACATAGACAACAGATTCGTTCTTTAGTACGTTTTGAAATGTAGCCGTGCATGGACAGACATGAAAACAGCGATATCTTTGCTCGCCACAAGCGTCAACCGCGCGCAGCCCTAGCAAGTTCCCCCTTTGTCTTGTACACGATGGGCTCGTTCACTGGTGACAGCATTAGACTGCGGCTTTGCGCGACTCATATGCTGGCTTTGCACGTACCAATGACTACATGACCACCTAAAGGCTCGTGGTGGATGTTATCGAGACTCCCCACTTTGGATTGAGGGTGAAGATGTAGAGGCAAGTTGATGATCTGTCATATTTCAAAGGTTTTGTGCCCAGGACAGAGTGTTAGGAGTGGCATGCAGAAGAGCAGGAACACAGCCGTACCTGAACATCTCCACCACCAGGCACATGCCGAATATTCTACGACTCAGTGAGCGTTCAAGCCAATAAAGCAAGTAAAAAAAAATGGTGTCAAAGGGGGCCTAACCTCCAAACTTCCAACCCTGGAGTCCACCTTTTTGAACTTTCCCACCGGAATTTTTTCATTTATGATCTTGACCTTCCCGCCGCCCGGCTTGTGATGAATGTTATCCAAGCTACCAATCTTTGAGTGGACGTTTTTATTGATCGGTTTAGTCGGCGTGTGTGTGCGGGGAAGGCTCTGTTGCGGAAGCGGATGATGAGTATGTTCATCTACCCGAACATGATAACATGGTAGAGATACCTCAAAAGATGGACTATAAAACAAAACTTTTTCCCGACTCTTTGATTCTAAACTCGCAGATCTCTGTCGTCCCTTGAGAGTTTGACTGGCTCGTGGGGTATAATGAATATTATCCAGCGAGCCGACTTTGGATCGAGCGTTTTGGATGAAGCTTAGATCGTTTGTTGGGATTTTTTGTTTATGTCTTTGCAAGATTTGGACGGTGAGGATTCATTGAGTTGGGGATAGAAGGATTCGCAATGCATAACCTTACCCTGGTGCCGACCAATAAAGATTCTAAAGCAAGCACCAACTTTCATCAGCCCGATCTCCAGTGATGTATTGAAACTGTGGAGACTCGTACGCACCTCCAAAGACCCAACCCGACTGCTGGCCTTTTGTTTGAAATTCAGTCGTTGGTGAAAGATTTTCTTGTCTCCTGTTATTTTTACCGTTTGCCCATTGAATATCTTGGTCGGGAAAGATGCAGGAATTCGGTTGATTTGGATATCTTACCTCCTGGAGGTTTCCACGTTATATTTTCCTACCCACAACGGCATTTTCGATATCAGTTCGCCAATATAAATAATATTCAAGGAAAGTAATTACTCACCAAAGATCCAACTCGACTGCCGACAAGTACCACCGTCACATTCCCAACGTCTGGATGTGCCACCTCGTTCCGCGTCGTTTCGGCCCCCAAGACGTTGACAGGTGGAAGGCCGGGGAAGGGTGTTAACGAGCGTCTCCGGGGCGTTGTGGAGAGCGTTGTGGAGGGGACAGGGCGGGAAGTTTGGCTTGAGATGGGCATTGTTAATTAACAGATTAAAAGATATGTGAATCTGGCTGTGGCTGCTGGTCGATGTGGAGCACAAGCCCTGTTTTTATGTCTTTCGACAAGCATGTTGCGTCATGTGGGGAATTGATATCATTATTTTGTTTGGGTCTAGACATCCACTGTTCGATAGTTAAGGGTGTGACGCATGTGAGGGGTCAGAGTTGGGATCTATCCTGGTAAATCTTGTTTATGACGAACATGTGGTTTCCGCATTTTGGATCGGCGATTGGAGTCAAATATTGGAGAGTGTTCGTGAGATGTTGAGGTGCTTGTCCGGTGAGTTTGTTTCCAGAGGACGCTTGGGAGCAATGAGCATGCCATATCGCGACATTAAAGCTCGTCATTTTTAGATACGATGGAATAGTTCTATATACATTTCCATTTTTTCTTCTTCACCAAACCCCATATTTGACATATAAATAATGAATGTCACATCTAAACTCCAAATAGGTCCGCAACAATCTTCCATCTCCTCTCTACACCACGGCAAGCGAGCAGCTCTTCAACCCGCAATAAATAATAGCCATGGCCTCTAGATCATTTCCAGATGCTTCAAAAATCCTTCGGAACATCTCACGACCTGCTTGTAGTTGTATTCAAAGCCGTCTATCCCACCGTAATAGGGGTCTTTGATGATCTTGTCGCCTTTAGGATCAAAATCGCCAAACAACTGGACTGCAGAATGAGAGTCATCCGTTAGTCGATCGGTAGGAATGGAGAGATGTGGGGATATGAAAACAGACGAACCTTTCGAGGTAGACCCTGGAGGTTGTTTCCTCTTCAAATCCGCCAGATTGCTCTACGATCCAGTTGTGAGTCTAGGTACGACCACGATTTAACGGCCGAATCGTCGCACGCACCTCATCCATGCAAAGGATCCAGTCAAAGTCTCTGAAATGGTTCTTTGACACTTGCTGCGCAAAATGATGAACTGGCACACCATGGTTGACGCAGGTAGCAGTCGAGCGTGGGTCTGGCTTTTCCCCTACCTACAGAGCAAAAGTGAGAACGAAAAGATAAACAGACATGAAAAGCGCAAGACTGTGCGTACGTGATATCCAGCTGTGCCTGCACTATTTATCGCACCAAACCTTTCTTCGAGACCTTTTTCCTTTACAACATGTTTGAACACGGCTTCCGCCATTGGACTCCGGCAAATGTTGCCTAACTGGCGGCGTTAAAAGACTCTGCCACGGCAAGCGCCTCCAACTTGTATCAGACTTACCTAGGCAGACGAACAGCACAGAAGGCTTTTCGCGGGTTGACTCGCCCTTTGCCATGTTCGTGCAGCTCGGTTTGTGGGATGCCGAGTTTCAAAAAGTGAGATATCGCTGCAATGGCGACATTTCATCCCCAAATCTTTGGCGGTGTCACCGTGACTTTACCACACGGCACAGTTTTCTTACGCCGTAGGCCCAATGCAAGCCATGGTGGATATCAAGCTTTTGACTACACAGACGCAAATGTAGAAACAAGTAGAAGTCAAAAAGCCCAAAAAGTGAAAAGGTTCGGAAGCCGAACAGGCGAAAGGTCGACGGCGTTCTTGTCGCTGCCAGAAGTATGCAATGTGTGTATTTGTGTTCCTCTGCAGCACTCGATGAAATTGCGGAGGCTGATTGGGAAATTAGTCAAAAGAAAAATGTTTTCGTAAATGTTGAACGGCAACCTATAAAGGTTCGGACGCCTCACTTGGCCCCCCCTTCATATCATCGTTTATTCCTTTTTTTTCATCGTTCTCGTTTACAGATATCTATTGAAGACCCCATAGACTTTATGTCAAAAAACCACATTATTGCACCATCATTAGCAGACTTTGCATCACGATCCGTGTTTTTTCCTCTCTCGCCGGCCGAGAAAGAGGACAGGGACACCGCCCTTGAACCTGTCGAATTACAGCCAGTATTATTGGCCGTATCTGATCCCATTCCAAACAATTCCGTGTCCAAACACATTCCAAGGAGCTTTCTGCCCGACTTTATCCTAGTACCAGCGCCTACCAAGCGTCCACGAGGACCTCGTCTTCCGCCATGGCTATGCGACATGAAGAATCTCATCAGATCTCCACGGCCGCTACCATTCCTGCCTTCTCATACAAAACTATTCAAGCCACCTCTTCCGAAACGAGGCCGATCGGAGAGACAATGGGACGCCGGAGCTCTGAGGCCTCCCAGTGTTGTAAAGCTGAGATGTGCGCAAAGGAGAATGGAGGCAACTCGAGAGATGGAGCGCGAGAGGCAGAAGATGAGGGAGCAGGGGGAGATGGCCTTGAAAAAGAGGGGCGGCACAATTTATGGGGAGTTCAAAGTATCTGCCTCTAGCCTACCAACTGCGGCTTCAGCAGCAGAAAATACCGGGGTGGATAGCACGTACCATAGCGAGAAAAAGTCAAAGTCTACGACTTATCGGGTGTACAAATTAGCTTCATTTACGCCGCCCTCCTCCCTGCCAACTGCAGCATCGACGTCAGCTGGTCGTTTGAAAGATGTGCTAGTGACAGTGAAAGGCGGTTCTGGTAGTGGCGAGTGGGAACCGTACGTAAAGCACAAAAGAGCAGATTCAGCATATGATGACGGAGCTGTGGAGGGGCCCTACACAAGAACCTCATCCAGAGGTTCGAAGTGATAAGAAAGTTCGCAATAAAACAGAAAGTTTCGCCACTGAGACGGGATATTTGTGCTTGCATTGTAATTAGATTTGTATCAAGTTGAAAACAGAGCTGGGCTCTTTTCTTTGCAAACATTTAAATGTTGGAACAAAAGAGTTTGCGGGCATGTACAATATAGGTGACAGCAAAAAAAGAGTAAACGGCTTCAAACTAGACTATATAAAATGCATCTGCATCACCGAGCAATCATAAAGGGACTTTACAATTCATCCTTGCGCTCAACAGGTACCTGCCCTTCGGCACTACCTCTACCCACGACCCGCTCCTTGATAGATTCCTTCACACGCTCGACGAAACCTCGGTTGTCCTCAACGACAGGTGTTTCTTTTACTCCCTTGACACGGTCTGTAGCTTGCGCAGCGGTATTCTTGACAGTCTCCTTGGCGGCATTGGCAGCCTCAGCAGCTTGGTTCGCGGCCTCGTTCGCAGCTTGATTGGCACTGTTGGCAGCGTTCTTCACTACGTCTGTTGCACCTGCGGCGGCATTCTTGATTGTTTCTGTTGCTTGTGTGGAGCCCTTGACAACTCCTTCTTTGACAGCTTCATACGCCTCCTTGGTTTTGTCAATGACCTTCTTGGCGCCAGATTCTTCATATACCCATTCAGCGGCATCTTCCGTCAACTTTAGCACTCGGCCAATCCCGCGTTTCTCACCCTTGAGTTTGGGAACCTTTACATATGCGACGCCGGCGTCCAGATGCGCTTGAGCATGTTCCTCATCCGCGTCACTTGGGAATGTGAAGGCCGCGTCGTAGTAGCGCTCAATGCAGAGGGGATCGGGTTTCTCTGTTCCTGCAATGTTCTTGCATTTATGCTCGCCCTTGATCTTGAGTGTGCCCCGGTCCGCCGTCACCACGAGCTCGTTTGTGTGTAGACCGGGAACGTCCATTGCAAGGAGGTATTCATTGTCGTTTTGGCGGAGGTACATTCCTCGAAGGAGAGCGCTCTTGGCAAGAGAGGCTGTTGCTCCAACATCTGTTGTAACTTCTTCAAGGGCTCGTAGGAGATCGGCTCTGTATTCCACACCTGTCAGTGTACCGTTATATGATAAGCACACACACAGGCAAAGCTACTTACAAAGGCGATTCCTCAGCTCCAGGTACAAGGTTTCCGACCTTTTCTCGTGCGTCTCCAACGATTGACCTTCCCGTGTCGACGATGCCATCACTCCTCCTGCTTGATCCAGGGATCAACCAGAATGCATCCGACGAAGGAAGCGAGGAGAGGACGCATCCTGCCGCTGCCAAAGTGTAAACAAGGGCTTTTGTGTGCATTTTCTTGTAGGTATGTGGTAGTTTTTTGATGGGATAGTAGTGAGATGGGATGTGAGTTTTACAAAAGAAAAGTCTCGAGTACGTTTCGAGTTTTTATAGCGTCCGTGAAATTCAAGTCTTTAAATTCATAAAGGGGTGATGTCACTGCGAGTAACCAGCACTCATCACCATCTGATGACAACACTTGTTTGAATCATTTCGTCATTTTCTTTTTGTTCCCAAACTTTCAAGCCTCCTTCTTTTGGCTTCTCTGTTAAGTCTTCTTCTTTTTAGTTTCGCCTTTTGTGGGGCCGATGCGGGGAGAAGGGCTTTGTGGGTTAGAAAGCCAGCTGGTGGAATGACAAACCGCGGGAGGGAAGTGTGATCGAAACGAATGTGATCATGACGTAAGCGTTAACTTGAAAGTGTGCGTGGCTGTGCACTCGAGTGTTTTTGGGGAGTGAGTTTGAGGGCGCAAACCACATGCAAGAGTAATCCACATGCGCAAGATATTTGTCTTGACGATGGAAAGATATAGAATGAAAAAGATCATCATCTGCATCGAGTTTTGGAGCGATGAATATATCTCTTCAATGACAGCTTGGTGATCTGGCACGTCAAACGAGTCGTAGCAACTCATCTCAACTAATCAATCGATTAACCAATGCTTATTCTCATGACAGAGTTCATTTTCCAGTCAATGCATTATCGTTCTGCTCGCAAAGATGGTTGAGATATATGCGACACGAGTCATTCTGACCGGGTCAATTTCGGAGCCATATGAGCATTCAAGTCGGATCGAATGCTATTGTGGATTTGCAAGTGAGCGAGTGCCTTCTCATGAGTTCCAACACCTTAAGAATGGCGACCACAATCACAGCTCAAGATCTTTCCTCCGATTCGGACGACGAAGACTTTATCCCTACGCAAGAAGCAGATGCCTCAGAATCAGAAGCCGAGAGTTCTTCCGAAGAAGAGGCGGCGTTCAATGTGGCCGGGAAACGGCGTGGCAAGGACACGTTAAGGGAGGCAAAACGGGCCCGAGGCACCGAAAGTACGTAAGTATGAGGGTGTAGGCTCATGTACAGGGCGGGATACAACGGAGCTGATAATGGAGTAACCAATAGGTGTTGCCGACGACGAGCTTGATCAGCAGTCGAACGGCAAGTTGGCTGAGAGGAGGAGCCGTATCGAAGCGTTATGGGCTGAAATGAACGCGTCTGGTGGTGGCAGAAAGGTGCAAATGCGTATGGTATCCAGATACCAACCAGCAGTGTATTAATTGCGGTTCATACGCAGGTGAAAGACGAAGGCAAAGCATTACTTGTTAGCGTGATAGAAGCACCTGCTCAAAAACCTGACGAGACCATTAAATCCTCCCAAATCCCGCCGCCAAATCAGCCAAATCCGCATCATCAGCAACAACAGCAACAATCATCCACCACCGCAACACCAGATTCAACCCTCCCCGAGCCCACGCAACCCAGCCGCAACGCCCCCCGTCGACGAAAATCCAATCTTCTAGCTCTGGCGGCTAAATACGGCCTGGCAGACGCTGCACGACTCACGGTCCTCGAAAAAAGCAAAATGGATTGGAAGCGACATGTGGAAGAAGCGGGAGATGCCCATTCTTTGGAGCACCACAGAAAAGATGGGTACCTCGAAAAGGTTGCGTTTTTGAATCGGACAGACGAGAGGCAGGCGGAATTGGTCAAAAGTATGAAGAAATCAAGATCTGGGAGGCGATAGGTCGTACTCGAATGCTGTATAATAAATCAACAGCCGATATCGAGTTGGTTGACTGAAGCTGACCATTGTTATTGATCTTTGCTACTCTCAATTTCAAGCGAACCCTGTTCGTGGCGAGACCTTTAATCCTCGTCACCATCCTTGTCTGGATTTTCCATAGTTTGCTAACCTACACTGGCAATTATCCTGTTCTCAGTTGAGAATATCTATGTTAATCAAATTATTTACCTTCAATATTGAGCGACACCTTAAACGAGGAGTTAAATAGCTGAACAGTGATTGGTTCGCACAATGATTGGACTGTCACCTTTTGAGTCCTACATCCCCTTGGCATCGTCAACCGCAGCCATATGCTTTCCAAAAGTCCAGATATCATTTGATCAATTAGGCATTAAACTCCAACTTATGCCTTAAAGAGATCAAATGTCGTTCAGCTCAACGTACTATTATAAGGTCAGCTTTGGTGGCCATTTCATCTCTCCTCGTTTGCCATCCCATGTCAAAGGCCAGCCTCTTTTGGTTGATTTTATTCAATTATTCGTTTAGAGCTGCAGTGGGCATCACGGCAGTAGGTCTCTCGGCCTCCTCTGCAATATTTTACTGTCGCTTTAGATTTGGACGAGCCCCGTTGGATCTAGTTGTAGAATTTATGGAGTTGATAATGTGCTGAATTACGCCGTACGATTTCGTAATAGCCATCCCAGCATTGGGTTTTGCTTTTTTGTAACTACGGCCATTTGCGCGAGAATCGGTTCTGTTAATTCGTGTTAGTGTTGGCTGTTCTCTGAGGCTCCAGGCCCAGATCTGGTCCCATGAGATGGGAAATGTGAACGTTAGTCGTTTGGGATGGCAACGGGAAACCCTTTGGAAAGTATTTGTATTTAGGTGCAGATCTAAAGTACCCAATTTTCGAGGCCCGCATTTGTTATTGTAAAAGGAAGCAACATGCAACATAGAACTGAGTCTCGACCCAATGCAATGCTTCAAGCTAACGCTGCCGAAAGTAGAATTATTCTCCCAACCCCTTGTGGAAATACCAGAACACTTTGCTTCTTACGTAGTGCAAGATCTGGGAAGGGCAAAGTTTCGAGTAACCACTTTGTAGTAACAGTAGGTACGAGTAGGGCATGATTTCCTTCTGGATTGCATGTTACATATGGAGTTTTGCACCATTGCAAACTACCTACTGTCGATCACCTTGTGGATCTTGGGCTCGAGCACCCTCAGGTTGACCACAATTGCACTTGGTCTTCCTGCACCTCAGGTTTGCTGTAGGGACACCGTGCGTATGTGTAAGTACGGTGTTTGGATGAGTAAGAGAGCATCTATCCAATATGATTTTGTGGCCTCTAGCATGAACTATTCAATCCAACAGTTCCTTTCCCACCATCTATTTAAATCACTACCTACTTGAAAACTATATACAACGGCACTATAAATTACAAAGCCCTACCTGCACTCTACACTCTACATCACGACGGGACTCTTAAAAACCTCCCCCGATTTTTCACAACTCTCTGCCGCCTATTCTCCATCACTTTCTCATACTCCATTAAATACTCTACGACAGCAACGGGATCCACGTCGGCTTCCGACCCATCTTCCGATGCCAACCAGTGCAGCACAATGTCGAATGTGTAATACTTGTGATGCCACGTCAGTCCTGCCATTGCAGATGCGTTTTGGAGGAGTCTGACACGGTCTGGTGGGAAGATGGATATTCGAGTTGCTGGATCTGGTGGATGAGGAGAAAGGAGGTAAAAGAGATATGTGTAGGAAATTATAAGGGAATGAATGCGAAGTGATAAGGTGGTGACGGACGATGCTATCGACTCGGCCGTTGTGTCGATTGCAGAATAGATGAGCTGGAATTCGTAATTTGACAAGGTTGAAGTGGCGGATGGATTGGAATTGTCTTGTATCTCGTTTCGGAGGTCCATGTCGGGTGCGACGAGTGTGAAAGGATGAGACTGGATCACCACATCTTGACTGGACGTCCTTTCTTTACCCCCGGATCGTACAGCACCTTTTGCACACCATTCGTATCTCCCCAGTGCAACATCACGGACTAGGTTCACCACAGGTGACTCAACTGGGATCAACTCCACACATTTGCGGTCAAGGTCCACTGATCGAACCGCTAATTCCATGCTGTTGCAACTTACGACCGGTCTTCCAAACACTGGATAAGTGATTCTGTGATTTGAGGCGGGATGTGTTCCACTTGTGAGGAGAATGGCAGTGTCAAGGATGATAAGGGTGTCCAATGGTTTCGGGCGAGCGCTGGACGGGTCGATGCCGTAAAGCGTTCGCAAACGGGTTGCAAGTGCAATTTCTGTACTTTCCTTCCATGCTCGTGAGACTCGGCGGAGACGCCAGAGGACTGGGATAGCGAGATAGATGAGGACGTCAGTGACGAGTTCCGTAGGTAGTGTATCCATACGTCAAATTATTGAAAGGATTATTCGAGGAGTGATATAGAAAAAGAGTAAATGTAAAAGAGTAAATGACTCAGCGCGCTGTGCTAGTTATATCGGGACCAACTTTCATGGTCGAAATGCGGCATGTCGCTATTAATAGCACATAACTGCTGGTGCAAGTCTAGTGGAAAGTGAATTGGATGGGCAGAGGTCTGCAGGTAATAAACTATGAGAGCTTATACAACATCTTTGCAGCAAGATAAGGACGCTACTAATTCTTTACTTTTCGGTGATTAATGCCATAAACTCATCAAATCCGACTTGCCCGTCACCATCTAAATCAAACTCTTTAATCATATCCAGCATTTCCTCATCAGACTTGTCCTCGTTCAATCCTTCCAGCACACGTGCCAAATCTGCGGCGGATATATATCCATTACCATCCATATCCATGAGGTCAAAGGCCTCGCGAATTTGATCGGTGGTCTCAAGGCGACCTTGGATCATCCATTCGTGAGACATTTGGAGGAATTCGTCGAATTCCACTATTTGGCGGGAAAGGTTAAGTATGGGAGATTATCTAATCGAAGACGATTTCCGTACCCGTTCCGGTATGATCTTGAAAGGAACAACCTAATGTCAGAAAAACGTGCCTCGGTACTGCTACATTGAATTATAAACGTACCTTCGTCGACTTTCTCAATCATGTTCAACAGCTCCTCCTGTGTGGGTTGTAGTCCGATGCTCAACATGACCGCTCCCAGTTCCTCAAGATCAATTGCACCGCTTCCATCCCGATCAAATAGATTGAAGGCCTAAAAACCCCCGTTCGGCGCTACTTTCAGCTGCATGATAACGGTCAGCATCATTATGCTCCAACCTCTTTATAGTACTCATATTCTTCATCCGTTAAATGAAACTTTTTCCCATCTTTTGTTTCCACGTCTTGTCCACCCGGCCGCTTACTAGCCTTCACCCGAGGCTTCTCGTTAAAGTTCACGACAGTTACATCTCTGCTAGCTTTACTGGTGACGCTCGCCCGGGGAGCAACAGATGGTCGCCTCCGTGCAAACCCCTGGCTATGAGGTTCTGGAGTTCGAGATCGAGAAAATGTTTGTGGTGGGGGACGGAGTTGGGACATCATCCAACGTTTTTGTATTTTTGGCTGGCTAGTTGGGACTGGTTGCGGAATTACGCGCGTGATTATCTCAGCAGAATCAGCAAGCTTTATTCTTGGTGTTTTGCATGGATGGAAGTTCGTATTTCTTCCGGCTTTGAAACCTCAATCCATCATTCTTTTTTTGAGACTTTTAAAGCATCAATTGTATCTTGAAGAGGGAGCTCGCACAGCCAAGACCAGTGGCTTATCAAACTGCCATGGCCAGCACAGAGTCACTTTCAGTAGTCCCTCCAGCGGTTGACACCACGGCAGCGGAACCCACTGAGCCAGCACCACTGTCACCAACTAACGAGTACATGCAGCATATCCTCCCAGATTCTCTAGAGGCATTTCTTCGGTCATATGAAAACTTGCACGAAATTGTCGCACATACAGAAAACTTGTACCATGGACCAGATGCCATTACACACGATCGCGCGAGGTTCGCTGAGACGTATGGACAGACTAAAGGATACGCTGTACAAGGGGTCTCAGCTCTGGCATATCAACTCTATACGGCAGCCGAAAAGCTGAAAGGATTCCTTGAATTGCAGGCCAGGAGGGTGGATAAAGTTGGGCTTGAGACCGAGGCAATCGATCAGAGATTGAAATTCGCTTTTGAAGATTTGGAACGACGATCCTTGGGACAACCCATGGAAAAAGTTTACAGGAAGAGCAAGAAGATTGTAAAGATTGATGGTAATTGCTTGGTGTGTGGATAATAGCACATTCTGAAGGACTAACTTTGAATGCAATTCAGCTGGCCTGCCCAAGCTTCCAGCCCAACCAGCTCTCCAATTGGATCTTAACGCTTACGACCACGTTGGTGTGATACCTGAGTCTGGGTCTAGCCGTGCTTCACGGTATTCTGTTACAATGGTTTACGCTCCCTCCAAAATGAGTTTGGGGGCGGCCGCGGCTGCCTCGCTCTCGCGGGCCGACACGACCGTGGCCATGAGGTCTGGAGTTATTGGGGCTTTTAGACAGGCTATAGAGGAGCCTGAAGTGAAGAATACATCCAAGGCAGGCTCCGTGGCGTCGTTGACAAGAGTGGCCTATGACGGTAGTGGGAAAAAGTCGGTGCGAGGTGAAATCTTTGGCATACTGAATAATACGGCCAGTGCTAGTAGCCTAGATAAAAAAGGGTCTTCATCGGATATTGCAGCTGGACAAGGTGAGTATTTCGATCAAATCTCAGAATCTCCCACATGAATGCTGAATACGCATTGCGTTTGCGTGTTTTTGCAGATGTGAGATCGTCATCGACTGCATCGCCTGCCGTATCGGTGAGAGGACCTACCGTGACACCAGCAGTGGCATCCGTAGCGCCAAAGGAAGCACCAGCACCACCTGCAGCAGCGCTCGCGACACCGTCCCCGCCGCCAGCTGCGACTCCAACACCGACGAAAGAGCCCATCTCGACGGCTCCTCAACAAAATGTTGCTACTGTGAGTCCTGCAAGTCCTCCCCCGGCTCCAATACAGCCCGTCCCTGCCGCGGCTGTCATCGTGCCTACACCTCCTCCGGCACCTCAGGTGACCACGGAGCCGACAGTGCTCTACGTTGACATTCCGCCGCCTCCTCCTGGTCCGCCCGCTGTACTATCACCCACAGCAGCATCAGTTCCTGCACCCCCACCTCCGCCGTCAGTGACTAGTGGGGGCCCACCAGCCCCTCCTCCTCCGCCAATGGCGAGTGGAGGCCCACCAGCCCCCCCTCCTCCTCCAATGGTGAGTGGAGGTCCGCAAGCGCCTCCTCCTCCTCCGCCAATGACAAGTGGGGGCCCACCAGCCCCTCCTCCCCCACCCATGGCGAGTGGAGGTCCACAAGCGCCTCCCCCTCCTCTGATTTCAACAGGGGGACCTCCTCCACCTGCACCTCCACCTGCAGGTGGAAGTTTTCCTGCCGTGTCTTCTGCCCCGACAGCAGGCGGTCCGCCCCCTCCACCACCACCGCCAGCGGCATTTGGTGGACCTCCTCCTCCGCCACCACCTGGAGCGGGAGGACCACCGCCCCCTCCTCCACCAGGGCCGCCAGCTCCTCCACCTCCAGCTTCAGGTAAATGTCGGGTTCAAGCATTCCATAAAAGTATGTTGGTTTCTTACAGCGTCTGTTCTTTCAGGTGGCGGCAATGATCTACAATCGCAGCTTGCAAATGCGCTCAAAAACAAAGCCTTACGAAGTACAGCTCCGTCAGGTATGTGCTTGTTAATGTCACTCTATTGGTCGATTACGCAGTTGCTCATTTTCAATCAATCAAGAACCATCCTCACCGCTTACTCCCACACCTGGAGAAGGTCTGTCCCTTCAAGAACAATTAGCACTTGCTGTCAAAAACCGGGGAACCTTGCGTAAGCCGGTTGATGCCGCGCAAGCTGAAGCGGCACCTGCCCCTGCTGCACCTGCTGGGGGGCCAATTTCATTCCAGGACCAGCTCAAGATGACGCTGAAAAAAAGGGGGGATAAATGTAATGCACTGCTTTCTTGTTGTGGGTACCAGGCGGCAATAAGCTGACTCAATAACACACTTTCTTTTCCAGCCACAACGGAGGGAGAACAGAAGAATGAACCTGTTCGCCCAAAAGCGGAACCTGCAGTGGATTTCCAGTCACAGCTTCGCTCAGCATTGAAGAGTCGCTGTGAGTTCCTGTCTCCAATGTTGTCAAATGGCTTTGGCTAACCCCTGGCTCTCAGCAACCGTAAATGCTTCATCAATTGGAGCCCTTGGAAAGAAACCAGAAGAAGGTACTTGAACAGCACAATTGAAATTTGCCTGTTAGACCTGAGTTGATGTGGAGTCCCGATTTGGCAGATAAAGATGCGAACCCTGCACCCGCAGCAAGTGTTCGAGATAGATGGAAGAACCTTGAAAAGGCCGCAAGTGAGTGTTGAAATGACTGTTAATTGAGGATTTTGAATGTTAAAGCCTCGCCTCTGATTTGGAAACAGCTACCACACAACCGCTCGTTCAGCGCAAAACGAGCGTGCGTGTAGCCGACGTTGTCTCCGCAGCTGTTGCCGCCAAGAAGGAAGAACAAGCTGCCACTAAAGAAGAGCCGATCACGGACTCAACTCGTGAGTTGGGGTTTGCTACTTTTTTGTTACATATTACTATGATCTAAGCTACCATAAAACAACAGCCTCAACGATCCCCGCAGCGCCCATCCTCCCCCCAGCCCCTGGTATCCCTCCCGGCACAATCGTAACAGCTCTCTCGGATTATGCCAGCGGTGGAGAAGGCCAGTTAAGTATGACGGCTGGGGAGACATTCAAAGTGGTCAAATGGGATTATGGAAATGGGTGGGCGTATGGGCAGAGTGTGGATGGAAGCAAGTCTGGTGTATTTCCCCAAACGTATGTTCAACGAAGTATGTGAACAGTTAGAGATGGGATGGCGGACTTGGTGGTGAATAGGATATCACATGTTACATTTATGAATGGCCTCGGTAGCTCACCATTGTAAGAGTGTCAGCCATCGCAAAGCATGTCTGGGGATTGCTTACAGCTGAAGAATGCATTACATTCCACATTCAGAGTTCCGGCCATTGTGCTGCGACCTGTTGCTAACCTCAATTTACGATTCAGTTTTGCCTCTCTAGTGTACAGTGTCATATATGCGAGACCTAACACAGCAGACTCATAATGGGTCCTCAGTTTCAATTATGCACATTATGCTAACGATATCCACTCATGCAAACTATGTACAAAGTTAATGCTAATGTTAAGGAATTCTGGCTACATCTCAACGACAACAGGAGCAAATTCTCCTTCCTCTTCTTCCTCCTCCCCAAGCACCCGTACATCATGCCGAATGTCCCACTTGAATCTCGACTCGACAAAATCGACCAAAGTGTCGACAGCGCTCTGTAAAGTCTTTGGCACACCTCGTCCTGCACGATCTTGAAGCATTCGTACAAATATGAGGATATTGGATCGGATAAAATTGTCTGCTGAAAGTGCGTCGTAGAAAAAATCTGTTGGATGGGATTCCAGTTGGGCGTGGAAGATGCCTAATGAAAGTAACTTGGTGTGTGAATAATTGGCTAGGTAAATGGACTGGCCTATTGAGCTTACCTATGAATTCATAAAAGAGTGTGCTGCCATTGTCATCAATCGCTTCGTCAGATTGACAAAGCAGATGGATAAAAGTTTTCCACTGTTCATAACCGTCGTAGACCTCTCCGAGGAGGAATATGATAAATGCAAGCTGCAGTTCTCCTAAAAGTTCTTTATAATCTTATTTCGGGGTGATATCAGTAGCGGTCACGCCTCAATGTTTGGCATTCTAATGACTAGCATACCTTTGTACTGATTTTGTAGCAGTTGACGAAGGAGGTAACTTTTATCCATACTGTACTTTGTAACATCGCCACCAGATGCACCGGATGGAAAGGAACGCTTCAGATCGATGGGCGTGAAGTTCAGTCTTAGTACTTCCACGCGCTCGCCTCGAATCACATCTTCCCCTCCCTGCGCGGCTACGGTATTTGCATCATGCTCTGATTGGTCCTCGTTCATCACCACCTCCCCGGATGGTTTACATTGTCGAACATCATCCACATCTGAAAATCGAGACACAGTCGTCATTGCGCTAATCTTCCTTGACGGTGGGAGAATTCTATCGATGAGTTGAGGGGTGATATGAGTCGTGAGTCTTAGCCACTTTTGATATGGACTGACGGGATCGTTGTCGACGGGAAGGAGCGGGTAAACACCAAGGAATCGATCAAAGTCGCGTACGTCTGGTGGACGCAGAGGAAATTTAGAAAAAAGCTCGCGCAACATTTTTAAACCTTCTTTACACGTACTTGATCTGTATCGCTCCGCATCTTCTTGATCTATTTCATCATCTGCGTAAAGATCCTCTGCCGAGGGGTTCCAGCGCTTCACAACTACCTAGGCATCACAAAAGTTCTGAACACATGCATGAAGGATGAACGCCACATCTATTCACGTTGAGCAAAACTAACCTCACGCTCGGCAAACGTCTTAAAAAAGCCTGTCCGCACTGAGCCCTCCCCATGTCGACTTAGCGCACTATAGTACACAAAATGTATTCCGGGCGGAATGAGCTTTAGGCCCTTGAACTTTGGACCGGTTGTCCAGGAGTAGCAGTCTACGCCAAATTCCATGTTTTGCGGAGCGTCCAGAAAAAGGAGGACCGCCCCTTTATCAAATAAGGCGTTTGCAGTTTCTTGGTCCATTTTAGACAAGTAGGATGGGAATGGTGGAAAGTGTGATCTTGCACATACTTCAACGTTGGTGATCTTGCTCATGGATAGCTGTGCCATACATTCGAAGTGGCTCCATTCGGTATATCCGCAATCGAATCATATTTATTTTTGGCTTTTGAGCTCAGATCAGCAAACGAGCAGGAAAAGCGCTCACGATATCGCGGGATTTGCCAGTTCACCAACCTCTGTTATGGCCAAAGCTCGCACAGAAGCACTCAGCGCGGACACTGTCCACTCTTCCGACGAGGAAAGCTCACCCGAGACAAACCGGTACAATGACGAAGATCTCGAACTCGAGTACCAACCTCCAAAAGGCTTCCTACCCGAGCCCTTGACCTACACATCCGCTTTCGACTTTGATAGCATCACAAGCGATAAGGAGATCTGGTTGTTTAGAGTGCCTAATGAAGTAAGTGCGACCAAGCCAAGGACTAAAAAGACTTTGTAATGGACATTAGAGATTGTATGTTAACAGAGTTGCATTACAGGTTCCAGTCACCAAACTCAAAGGTCTCATTCTGCGAGATCCCACAATACCAACTCCATCATCATTCGCAACAGAACCCACACCCGTAGCTCATCTCACCCTTCCCACTACTACCACCCCACAATCCAGTGAAGAGGAGTATGCCATCCATGACATCACAACACCAAACACATACGGCGAACCAGGCGAAATGCTGGAACTGAAGCCTCTTTTGCCAAGCAAACGTTTGAATCGGTACGCACTGAGTAAGACCTCGTGTACCAGGTTCTTTAGTGTGACACCGGTCGCGGATTTGGCGCCTACCCAAGCGGCTTTGCAAGAAAAGGGTCGTGAAGCCAAGGAGGAGGCATATGAGAGGCCTCAACATCCTGAAGGACTGACATTACAATCGTTGCCCTTTGGTTTCGATACTGGTGCGTACTTTGACGAGTAGATGACAATCTTAAACAGCATGCTCACACTGCTGCATTTGCAGCGGGAAAAGCTTTGGAACTGTCACTGGAGCGGTACAATCTCGATGCCCGATTCCCCGCCAAATCCAAACGCGGGACTACAAATCAGTCGCCACCAGCATCAACTCCGAAAAACAAAAAGGCTTCCAGTAAAACCACACCGTCGACGGGAAAGAAGCGAAAGCAGGAAGGAGAAGGGCAAATCGCCGAGTCCCGAAAAGCTCCAAAATCGAGCGAAAAGAAGCGAAAGAAAGTTAAGAGCCAGGAATAATAGAATATTGCTCCTGTATCTCATGCACAACATAATAACAAGGAAAGATGCGATGGTGTTATTGCACAATGATACAAACTACCAGCTTAAACGCCCATGCGTGAACAATCATACTCTCGAATTAGCAAATGTACAAGAAAAAAAGAAAGAAATGAGGTGTCCAAAAACGATGGGCCCTCGAACAAAAGTTGCTGTCTAGGGCGAAGCGGTGCATGTTGTCATGAAACCTCCCAGCCACGCCCTACGGGCAAAGTCGCAATATCCTAATGTTCGAAACGCTTCTCTATCCCCTACATGTATTCTTCAATCCGAATCATCCCCATCCCCCACAGAATCAATTTCCCTCAAAGGCGCAGACTCTTCATCAAAGGTCTTGAGCAAATGTGCCTCATTGACCAACGATGTCGCTACTCCTCCAGCTGACAAGGAATTTCGTCGGCTGGCATTGGTAAACTTGTCTGGCGATCCATGGGCGGCGGGTGATTTGTGTGAGTTGAGCTGGAAGACTCCGACAAAGATGGTGAGGAAACCCGCAAACATGGATACAACGTCCCGCTGGAGATAAGCGAATCCCGGTAAATAAGGTTATTATAAACATTATGAAACATGTCATGACTTACACCGCTGGTGTCATTAAAGCCCTTGAAAAGTAGCACAGATGCTATGATGGTTGCTGTGCTAAAGAACACATAATAAACTTGGAAAACCAACTGGGTTAGGATGCAATAAAGATCGAAGTCTAAACCGATGGCACGTACTTGGTGTTACTCTAGAAAATCCCCGTAAAATACATTTAGCGAGCCGCATATCGAAGCCGTTGCGACAGATCACAATTACATACCTATTTGTTGAGAACAGATCCAATGCCTTATTGAAGTAATTCATCTGAACCATTGCACATCCCACGACCGTCAATCCAAAAACATATGTGGACGGATAAATCAGCTGATTCTGCCCAGACAAGGTCAATCGCATAGCGATACCAAATCCTTTACAGGCCATGACGGAGATTGATCCGACTAGGGAGCATATGGAGATGTAAACGATCATGCTCTTTTTACCCCACTTTGGTGCCACTTTGTAGATGAGGTATATTGACACGCCTGAGACGAGTAGACAGTAGATAAGGAAGCCTTTTGAACAAAAAGAATGAGATAGTGCCTCGGAGTAGCCGAAAGCATATGTACTGGACTCACCAGGTTGCAAGGCGTAATTCAAAATCTCATCCACAGTCTCAACGTGCTTCTCTTCAGGCGCATGAAGGATGATGACGACGGAACCAATGATGCACAAGGCAGCACCGACCTTCCCCTCCATCCCTAATTCTTCCTGTAGGAAGAACGATGCCAAAATCGCACTAGAAACATGCCATGGTGTGAACCTCTGCTTCAAAAATGGGCAAAAACCAGTGCTAGCCGGTACCTGACAACCACACTTCCCGCACCCAAAGGCGTTACCAAAATGGCGGGTGCATATGTGTATGCGGCAAAATTGGCAATCTCACCCAATACCACTGCGGATTTCAAACATGTCCCTCAGTCATGCTAGTTTCAACGAGTCCCTACAGCACAATAAATAAGACTCACTTGTCACCATCCCCGCCCACCATTTGTAATTCTGCAGGTAGCTGTAACTGTCTCCAGCATTTCCTAATCATCAAAGTATATCAGTATCTCCAGCGTCCCATTCTCCTCCTCCCTAAAATTCAGGCTGGTCCGCTCACCGCCATGTGTCCGCGCAGCGTCCAATAATCCCAATTTCGTTATAATGAAACTTGTTCCAATCAAGACGCTAGAGGACAGGGCCAGTATCAGGCCGACATATTTATCGTCCAACGGCATGTCCAACCGTTTTCAAAGTGAACACAATGTTGGGACGTGTGGATGGCGAAAAGGGTGGGGGTGGGAAGGGGGGGACGGCGGGTTTTTCAGTTAGGAGGAGCACAGACTATGCGTGCAATTCAACAAAAATGTGTCCGTCCTCATGCAAGGGTTCGTATGGTATACTCGAGTGTCGTTTTTCCTTTCGTTGAGGAATGCCAGCCTTGCCCCTCCGTTGGTCGACAAAGAAAATTGGGGGAATGTACGTTAATAAACCAAGTCAAAAATAGAAACAAAAAGGCGGACCTTCATGTGTTGATCCAATGGAAGACCCCCCGCCCCAAAAACGTTCTGGATGGAGTCACAAGGGTTGGTTTGGTTTCATTTCGCTCATGCATTCCAATGCATTTCAAAGGACTCTCGTCTAGGCACCGACCTTTTGGCCATCTTACTTCTTTATTATTTTTAAAAAAATCATCGCTTGACTACCAGTAAAGGCACCTGCTTATGGTACTTTGTCTCAAAGGCCACATTAAGGTGCTTTCCCCTCTCCGTCGCATCTATCCCCGTCATTGTCCGGATGCCCACTTCATTAGCAATACAGACCTTGATCAGATTGGAAATATCCTAAGGATCCGGTGAGATGACGAAACGCGGTATAGCTATAGGAAAATAAGCTACTCACTGTTCGCCGGTCTTCTATCCATCCCTGTTGTTTATCTGCACAATGTGCCCCATTTTCTCGTCTAGAACTCTGCAAGAGACGTTCCAGCATCCCTTTTGCAGCTGCAAAATCAGCTTGTGCTAGCTGTAAAGCCTATCCAACATGGAAAACTTAGAATTTGGCCAAATCATTGAATGAGATGCCAGCATTACCTCATCGCCGTCATCATTTTCCTGCACAGCGTCCAGAAAGTGCTCAAAAGGCAAAATAGAAGGACTCCCCAGGTTCGAGAATACCCGGAATCGATGTCCATAGTGTATACTCTCATTGTAGGCTGCATGCTTCGGACTAGGAAGGAGGCCTTGTCGTCTCAAGACCTTTCCCAGTTGAAATAACCCTCGGAAAATGAGCTGCTTGGCCACTACTTCCGTCAGCAAAAGCATTGTGGTCTGCTCTTCTCTCCGACCTGGGTTATTTCGATTCCGCTCAATGCGTAACAAATGTTGTTCTTGCATCTCAAAGAGATACTCTAGGTACCAAGACACCATCACATGTTCGTACGTGCCGTAGAGATCCAGCTCATATCCAAGGAGGAGATAAAGTAACAGTAGATTTAGCTTCTGATGGTACACCCACGATGATAAATGAAAGGGTAATTCGTCGGAATCTGATCGGCTCGGTATCGTCGCTTGCAAGTCCAGATCCAATGCTTCAGCCTCCACCTGTAAGGCTTCCCATTGCCGCACAAGCTTCCGTAGCCGTCGATGTTGTCGTGCCCGGTTGTGCCCAAACAATTGCAACAAAGCCCAAAAAGGATCAACTGCGCGTTCCAAAAATAGGTCGACTGTCTCCATCACTTGCGGATCCGTGACAGAAAAGCAGAGAGGACTACATAGCTTGATGACTGAATCCCGAATAAGATCTTTCAAATCCATTCGACCAAAAAGTTTACCGTCGCGAACCAATGTCTTTTGCATGAGAGATCGCGTCAAGACATTCGGATTGGGTGACCGGCCAGATACATAGTTCAAAAATCCCAGTAATTCATGCGAGTCTTGCAAAGCGGGTACATCGCAAATCTCTTGAAAGTGCGACAGCATGGATGCCATAGCTTCAGCGCCATCTTCTTTCCGCATGGCAATGATGGGTTTTGGTGGAGACTGCGAGAAAAGTTTCCGAGTCACATAGGGATCGAAGCTTTCTTTAACATCGGATCCGAGAGGTATGGTGTTTTGGATCGTCTTGATTTGCGTGATTGCTTGTGCAAGGCTTTTTCGTGCGTGAGGTAGGTTATATCGGCCAATGCTCGCCACTGTTGAGTAAAACGCTCGGCGAAACCGTATCCGTGATAAGAGGGCGTCAATGTACTCCAATTCCCGTCCTTCTGGGCACTCTAAGATCTCTATTTCACCCGCATCCGATTTAGCGGGCTTTCCCTTTGCCGTCCTCCAATGAACCATAAGCGCATCCTCAACTTGCAACAAGGATGACAAGGCTTCATTCTCCTGTACTTCCTCGCACAAACTGAGGCCCATGGAGTCTGGAATGAAATCTTCTTCCTCGTATACGTGTGCCATAGTGACCTCCCGTCGGATCAAGTTTGCAGTTTTTAATACTGCAATGATGTAGGCTTGCAACAACGGACTAGTTATCTTGTAGGGTTCGTGAAGGTAGATGCAGGTGAACAACGTCTGGCAGAGGAGGTTGCCCGATATCCAAGACATCTCCAAACTGATCAGCTCGTCAATGACACCGATCACTTCGGCGGCGGTGAATCGCTTCGTTTCAATGTCGGAAACGGCAAGTTTTCCCGATGTCAGCTCAGGAGGGAGCTCCATGCCAGCATCCATTTTTGGATCCATCATCTTCAAACGGCCATATATTTAAGAAAACCATAATGCCATGTAAGATACCGGTCCGACCTACCTCAATAGCAGACATGGCCTCCCAAAGCGTAAATCCCTCGGGGTGTACGAGCTGGCCCACTTCCAACTCTTAAATAAAAAAAGGAAAAGCAACCTCAATGAGCTTAAAGCACAAACGTCAGCCCTTTGCTGCAACAATCCCAAAGGCCTCAGGAAGAGAACCCTCACCATTGGTGGCATCCTTGAGAAACTGCGTTACATCCTGCCAACTTGGTTCTACAGGTGCCCACTCAAACGGTCTATGAACGCTGGTTGCTTTGTGGGTTAATTAGGTAGAGCTCACAGGAGCAGAGCGGTATCTAGTGCAACGTACGTGGTTTGTGATCTTGCTCCAGAATCTCTTCGTGTATTCTGAAAATGATCTCCACTGGGTTGAAAACGCGTTTGTCTACTGGAAGGAACTCTAGGACACTTACGTTTTCAAAGACATTTCCGAGTAAGCTTTCAAGCGCTCTAGAAGAAAAGCGCACCAAATTCCACGTTTCCTCCGTTACGATTTCCCTTACAACTCAACTCCAAGACCGCCAAACGGAGGGTCGGAATCGAATTGTTGATGTGTCATGGGTTGCCAAGCAACGCTAGGGGCACAGTCATGATAGAAGCTTAAACGTCACCAATAAGGCGCTCACTCGCCCACTGCAAACAGCGTAGATCATTCACCATGCACAAACCCCACACTCCAAGTCCACTGTCCAACCCCCAGAATGTAGTGACAGCCCCACGACCTTCCCGACGAGCACCAGGCCCCCGTGCCGCGAGACCAAGAAAGAAAAAGGAACTGACGGATCGGCAAAAGTCCATAGCAAAGTCGGCTGCGACTCGAGCGGAGTGGGATAAAAGAGTATTTGAGTGGCAGCAACGACTTTTTGACGGTGCTGTCGATTTGGATTTACTTGTTGAAGCGGTGCGTTCAATGATGAATGTCTTGATGACAATCAAGACTTGACTAGTTTACCTCTAGGCCAAATACCTAACACCAACCGATTACACTGATATTGTCACTGAGCGAGTATCCGACAAGACATGCGGGTACCCACTCTGCGATCAAGCAGTTGCAGATATCAAGGGCCGGTACCGTATATCAAGAGCAGAGCAGAAAGTATACGATGTGACCGAATTGAAGAGGTTCTGTTCATCAACTTGTTTTGCTGCAAGTCAGTTTTTTAAGGCGCAGTTGGTGGAGGAGCCGGTTTATATGAGGAATTTTGAGAGGTGAGTGTCATCGCCAGTATTCTTGACTAGGAGCTGTCACTAATGTGGTATGGTGTGTGTTTGGTAGCATGCCACCAGTTGAAGTCATTCCTACGGGATACACGCTTAGGTATAAGAAGGGACATTGATCCCACTGTCTGATTCCCATATCCTAATACTCTTACAATACTACTAGTGAATTCCGCCAACAAAGAGTATCAAAATCCGCACCAAGCACCACATCACCCAAAACCCTCCGCACCAACTACGTACACACCCTCCTTCAACGCCTCCCAAATATGAGCGCCCCCACCATCGTAGTGAAAGAAAAAACCATTGAACCACCCACGCCACCTACACCTCCTGCTGATATCGGCCCGCAACACGACGCTATTGAAGGATTCCATGTGCAATTTCGAAAGGACAAAAAGGGGAGACCTTCTACAATGGTATTAAAGGAACGTCTGGACGGCAGTTCAATCACACCTGAACCAATAAACGATACACAACACATTGAAAGCCAAACTAATGAGCAAAGCCTTGGGGACGGTATCACGCACCTTGAAAACAAACTACAAGATCTTGTTCTCACAGACCACGATATCCCAATCGCATCACCCAACGGCCCACCAAGACATCACACCAAAGGCCCAGCCGCCCCACACCGCCCCCCAACTCGGATCTTTTCTTCTGAAACCGTTATAGAGTCCCCACTGTTATCACCACCGCATTCACCCCTTGGACCCGATACAACAGAGCAAACACCACAAATATGGCTTCACCCCAAACCGATTGGAAAAATGGTCTCGTTGTCTCTTTTTGGGAATGTTTGGACGTTGTTGGGGAGGATGGTGACGGATCGGACGAGGGGGTGGGTGCGTGGGGAGTCTTGGGGGCCTGTGGTAGAAGATGAGAGGATGACGATTCGGAAAGGAATTTTTATGGAAAAGATGTTGGCGACGTATGTTTTGACATTGTTTTCTGTTTTTTTTTTTTTTTTTTTTTTTTTTTTTTTTTAAGTTTGGGTTTTCTTATTTTATGTTTGTGGTTGTAGGTATGCCCTTTTTCGACGCGAGTATCACATCACGGTGCCCATTACCGATGATCTATCGGGGTTAGTTGACACGCTGTACCTCTCTGAAACCATGGCCGTGCCATCTCACGCCGAACAATGGGTGCTTACTATTATTTTCATAAAAGTGTATGTTTGGTTTGTTATGGTCGTAGCAATCTTGTCAGTGGTGATACTCATACCTTTCTTTGTTAGGCTGTCCCGCCGATTGGTTCTACTTGCCCAGGAAGTGGAAAACAAGTGGAAAGACATGCTGGAACCCAGCGGAGTCAGTGAAGAGGAATTGAACGTTTTTGTCCAATTATTTGGATAAAAGCCTGACTGGTTTCCCTGATAATAGTGTGTCATGGCACAAAGGGGATGGGATTGGATTCAATATGTATATAGGTCAACTTTTTTTCGTACTTTCTAATAAGAATACCAAAATCCCATCGTGTATGGTATTACACCCAAAACAAATGTCCTAATCCACAACTCACACAAAATCAAATAAATATTTCCCAACATCAAATTTAACACTCTTTGCAACAGCATTCACAAACTCCAATCCTACATTACACTTGCATTTAACGCCATCCAAGCGATCGGGGGTCGTAACACGCACCAAAAGTCGTAGTGATACGAGGGATGCAATCTCTTGGTAAATATCGATAGAGCTCTCTAGAGAATTTTCGAGGATGCTGTAGAATATGGCGAGGAGGCGTTCAATGGGGAAGGCTTTTGGACCAAGGAGTTGTTGACGCATCTGTAAAAAGGCGTTTTTAGTACATGTGTCATGCATACTGGTTCGTACTACAAACGTACCTTTCCACCCTCACTCGATACCCTCGCTCGTCGCCCGCCCTTCTTCTTACGACTCCCCACATCACCCTTTGAAAAGAAGCGAACATCTAACCGAGGAGGATTATAGGACGCCAAAAATGCGGCAATGAGGAGGAATTTGGTATAGTAGGGTAAATCCACGTCGTAGACTTTTAGGAATGATCAGCAGAGTTTCCTGCATATCAAAAGATGCCCTATATACATACCGTGGTTGGATTTGACACTGGTTTTCTGGTATTCGTGACTGGAGACGTCTCGGAGATACACGCTGTGAAGTGCGTTTTTGATATGCGGTTGGATGAATCCAAAGAGTTTGCTGGTTTGCTGTCGGGTTACTAACATTGGTCCATTAATACATGCGAGAACCTATCAACCATAAAGAAAAGGCAATACATACCTTTGCCATTCAAAACCGGCTCAACATACTTTGGAAACCATAATGCAACCAAGTACCGCAGCTCACGTACATCCCTACAAGGCTTTGAAAACACTTCATAAAGAATCTCGACAAACGAGACAAAGAATTGGACATCTTCTGTCGGTGGACAGTCTTTTGCGAGTATGGCCAGTGTTTCGGATTTAGTGTACGATGGGAAATGGACAGTGTAGGATGGGTCGAGAGATCCAATGCGGGAACGGAAATCGGGCCAGGTGAGGTGTGTTATGAGGATAATGGTTAACGGAAATCGAACCTATTGTCGAGATTGTGTCAGTGTAGTGAAATAGGGAGAGGCGTGAGATATCCTATTGGGAACGTACGAGTTCGGGGAGTCGCATGAGAGCTGGGAGGAGTGTTGATGACATATCACGCAATCGTTCCGCCTTGTCAAATACCTGAGTTTGGCCAATAAGGCATCTCACCAACAAACAACAACACTCCAAAACAACCAACGAAAAAAAACTCAACATACCAAAATCCTCTTCTCCTCAGTCTCCATCTCCTTTACAACCCCAACAAACTCTGCAATACCATCACAGCGTCTACCAACTCCCCAATCCCGCAATATACCCTCAAACACCAATCGCTCCGTGAACCGTTCCACGCAATTCACCCACGCCATATTTGAAACGTCCTTGAGGACGCATTTTAGGAGAGTTGTTTTTCCTGTTCCAGGGAGGCCGCTGAGAAAGATTGTCGGTGGGGCGGGAAGGGTTGGCTAAAGAAATGGTGTTCAAGTTTTGGATATATTCGTGCATGTGGGAGAGAACGACTTACATGGGTGAGGATAGGAAGAAGAGCATCGATCTGAGATTTTCGGCCTGGGAAGAGGGTGTATATATCTGGTGGAGGGGAGGGAGCGGGAAAGGACGGGTCGGTCATGGTTAAGAAAAGTTCAAGCTTGAAAGTTATCGTAGTTGTTTGTGAGGATCTTGTCTGATTGTCCGGACGTGGGGACACGTAATCCATCACGTGTACGTCCTTGCACACTTCGCTGGCAGCCGTGCTACATTTCCCCTCGAATCCACGCACTTTTATATACACTAGCATGGACTTTGAAAAACATGGTTGATTAGGCGTAATGAATATTCGCAACCAGTGTTCAACGCTTGAATAATCATTAGCAAATTGGTTGCGGTGGGCAGTCATATGCGTGGTAGTGAGCGATTAACTCTGCACTCTCAAGTAATGCCCAATGACTACTCCGAGTGACGCTCACTGACGGCCACGAGAGAGGTCCTCAGAGAGTGGAACGGCAGTGACCGTGTTATGATTTCCTTACAATGCTAGAAAGAATATGGAGGGTCCTAGGTGGAACACACATGCATGCAAAACCAATCATTTCAATGCGATTTCTACGTGGTTGGATAATTAGCGACCAAAACAGAAAACTCGAAAGAACTTTTTCAATTCCCCAAATATCCAAAATCATAAGTTGATAAATGCTTGAGCGAACCAAAACAATTAAAAAAAAGAGACGAGAAAAGGAATATCCCAAAGCGTTCAATTTTCTCCAAAACCGACAACAAAACTCATATTCCAAATAAACCCCATTAAAACCTCAAAGAAACTACACAACCACCCCAACAACCTCACAAACCCTCTCCCAAACACCCACCCCAAAAACCTCCACAACAAAATCCCGCACCTCCTCAATATCCTCCCAATTGACGATCCGCCGCGTAGGATTCATACGAGACTCCCGAGTCCATTTCTCCGAGAGTCGTTTTTTGGGTACCGTGTCGATAACGAGTGTACGGTTGGGTAGGAGGGTTAGAGTGTGTGTGCTGGTTTGAGGGGCGGGGGCGATGGTGGTTGTTGTGTAGAGGGGAGTGGAAGAGTCGGACGGGGGGGAGGGGGGGAGGGTTTTGCGGGTTCGCGGGGTTGTGGGGGGTAAGGTTGTTGGTGCGGTGGGTGTTAGGGTGGACATGATGGGATAAGTTTGAGAATGGAGCTTGAACGAGTGTGTTTCGTAGCGGAGTTTGGCCAGGACCATTTAGTTTGATTACGGCATGTCGCGGGTTGTTTTTCATAGTTTTAGATTCTGCTTGGATTTCAACAAAACTATTGCAATCGAGATATTTTCGGCAGACAGCAATGACTGCAACAAACAAAACAGACATGAACAATGCAAAAACACTTTGTAACATCTTTAACAGTCTCAGCACCAAACATCCCAAACAACCAAATATCATATTCCAAAGTTCCTCAACCACAAGCATCCAGCTACCATCCACGTGGTATCACGTGTCATTTTAGATGCTTCCTTTCACCAACGGAGTTTTCCTTAGATCACTTTTACGTGTCGACAATGACGTCCCCACCATACACTCCCTTCCACCTTATCAAAACCCACAATCCAACCACCTCCTACGTTCTCTCCATCCTCATCTCCCCCGACGGCACCCTCCTCGCCGCACCAACATCATGCGGGACAGTCCACCTCTATGATGCGACTACGAGTGAGCATGTGGGTGGAATAAATGTGGGAGGAATCAAGGAGGCTGTGTTTGATAAGCGGGATAATGTTGTTTGGTGTGGGGGGGATGAGGTTAGTGTGTGGGATGTGCGGGAGGGGAAATGTTCAAAGAGGTTTCAAGGTGATTCTTGTTTTTTTTTGTGTGTGAGAGGAAATGGGAGTGTTGTTGTTAACAAGTGGTTGTTTTTTTTGGTTGTAGCGGGTGCACCTGTTTTGAGTTTGGATGTTAATTCTTCGCAAACGATGGTAGCTGCGGTACGTACTCCTTTCATGTAAACCTTATACTTTCCATGTGCCAATTTTCGTTTATTTTTAATAGGGAACAGAACTCGTTGGTGAAGACGCCAAAATCTGTATATGGTAAACAATTGCTGCACAAAAAAACAATCCAACATCACCATTATCCTAACGAACATCAAAAAAACAGGGACATCCGCGGAGGCCCAACACCTTTGACAGAATTCACAGAATGCCATTCCGACGATATTACCCAAATCAAATTCCACCCAACGCATCCAACGGCACTTGCAAGTGGATCTACGGATGGGTTAATGTGTTTATACGCTTTGACAACACCAACAGAAGACGACGCCCTAGAACACGTATTCAAATCCGATTCAATTTCAAAGATTGGGTTTTTTGGACCGGGGGGGACGTACTTGTATGCCCTATCACACATGGAGACGCTCTCATTGTATACCATGACTGGAGACACGGTACGAGAATACGGGGACGTGCGTGGGGCGTCTGAATTGGCGGCTTTAGAGTACTGTATTGATGCCACCTATGATCCGCATGGTGAGAGGTTATTTGTGGTCGGTGGGGACCAATCTGGGAATATGTGTGCATTGAATGTTGGGATGGGGGGATTGGAGTTGGTGCATACGTTGAATGGGGGGCATAGTGATATTGTGAGAGGGGTGCTTTGGGATGTTGGGGTAAGTAAACTTTTGTACGAGGTTTTTTTGTGATATTTTGTGAGATTGGTAGTGTGAATGTTGATGATTTTTTTTTTCTATAGGGGGGTCGGTTAGTCTCTGGTGGAGAAGACGGCAAGGTTTGTTTTTGGCGAAATGCATAGTGATGCATATTGACCACATGCACATGTGTGGTTACCATCGTTAAAATGCGCAAATTTCGGATGTAGAATAGTTTCATATAGGCATTTCTAACATAGTCCCACCATTTTCTTTTGTAATCCAACTATGATATTACTTTTTTTTTTAAACATATGCGAAACACGGACGGCAAAGAAAAAAGAGTTCCATAGCATTCCCTTTACACTTAGTACATACATCCCATTTCAGATCTCATAATCTATATTTCCCAAACGCAGGTACATCTTGTTCGACGAAGATTGACACTTGCATACATAGACCTGCAACACCAGGGAGTCTCTCATGCGAAACATTCCACGCTGGACCATACGCAGAAGCCATCGAAAACAAGCAAACAACACATCACTGTGAAGCCAATAAAGGCTGGGATCATCAGCCTATCGATCCCTTTTTGCTGAATCCTGCCTGTACTTTGCGTCTTATCAAGAATGCAAGCGCTCTACAATTCTTTCTGTTTATCAAAACAGAAAACTAGTCCCATAAGGGTCAACATGTTGACAATGGTGAGGCTAGCGAAAAAAGATGGCGATGATGAGCGAAGGGAGTGGAGAATCGGGGTATCGATCCCCGTGCCTCTCGCATGCTAAGCGAGCGCTCTACCATTTGAGCTAATTCCCCATGTTGAAACAATCCAACAGACATATTCCATATTCACGTCTTTAACACCTTAGATCGTGTTAAAAGTTCCTATCAACATTGGGCATTTCAGCTTCTACACGACAACAAGGGTCATGTTTTGGTTTTGTCTACGATACATAAAATTAAAAACTTTTGGTGATGTAGGTATCTGTTAAAGGTCTATAGCTTAGATATCATCACTGACTAAAACTAAACCTTGACACCAATAAAAAATCCGTTAACATCAGCCCAGGAAGAGTTGAGGTGATCATTCATATGACATGATTCGTTATACAGTTGTTTCATTCCATATCGCGGAGAAACCGTAAAAGGGTAATGAAGAAACCGGACCGTTTTGGTAGTGTGATCTTGCAATGTGACTCTTTAAAAAGCTACAGTTTTATCGTTCATAATTTTTTCGATGATTAGGAAGGGATTTTTGTTTTATTTTAGGGTTTGGTTGGGTATGGGCTTGGATTTTCTATCAAGATTTTCAGTGTTGAGAATGAACGAATAGCGTGTCGTAACTTTCCAATCGATCCCTGTAAGGACTGAATGATTCATTGCCTTAATCACAAGGGATTCTTTGAGACACATCATGGCTTGTTTGTAGTGCTGGGGTTACTTCTCGATCTTCCAACACTGTTCGCCGCATCTACTCCCTAGAGCTTTCTGCCTCTAAACGTTGGGAAATGGGGATCCGTTGGTTCTTGACGTCCCCATATCTAACACAGATATTCGCTCCATTGCACAGAGAGAGGTATCGTCAATGCAAAAAACAGTCTCAACAGTCATTATCAGGCATTAATAATGTCCTATGTTTCAAGACGTCCCCTATTTATCAAATACATTTTTTTTGTCCCTCTACCTACAATTCCCAAACTACTAGATAATAAAAGATCCCATCCTAGTCCACACTTAATATAAATCACACACACACACACAACTATTTTTTAATGACATCAAAGTCAGCGGGCGGGAAAATGATACCATATGCCACACTCAGTGCTTCCAAAATACCCGCTACATATTGGAGAATCAGGGTTGCGGGGATATGGATCAAGGCCATAATGGGATTGACCTTTTTGTCCAAGTCTTGAGTAATAATGCCAATCAGGTACAGGTAAACAAATACGACAAAGGAAAAGTCCTTGAGGAGGCCAAACCACCGTGGTGTGTCGTTGCCGCTTTCACCGTCAATCGATTTGGCGAGCCAAATACCGAGCGGGATCGAGGCAATCGTGCAAAATAGACAAAAGATACCGAGGGTCCAAAAGAAACTCCAGAGTTTGGGCAAAAAGGCAGGGAGACGGCGAATACCGACATACCACCTACGACGCTGCTTCAAGAATCCAATCAAGTCCATGGGAGACTGTTCACGAATGATGCCGGGAACTTTTCCGCACTTGTAACCCATTTCCCATGCATGGACGGCAAATTGGAAATCTTCGGTCAAGGAGCCCAAATCCCATGTAACAGAGTTTTCAACGAGACCATTTGTCAACAAGAAGGAACCGTGAGCACCGAAAATAGGACGCCTAAAGTACGTGTACTGGAGGTGGAAACGACTCAAGTCGTCTCCGACACGGATGGCATCGGCAACAGTAAAGATCCAGTTGGACCAGTAGCGGTACTGGTTGTACATGATGACGCCTTGACCCCACGTGCACTCGCGTTCGTACCAAATGAATTCAAGCACGCGCTTGACCGACTCGTCGTCAATAACAGACTCTTCGTCCAAGTGGAGAACCCAGTCGTGCTCTGTAAAGCGCATAGTTTGACGGTACCATTCGAGGGCACGGGCCTTGTACTTGCTGTTGGCGGTACGGAAGCTCTTTGGGCACGTGTAACAATTCAGGTTTTCGAAAAAGTAGGGCTCGTCGGTCAACACGTGGACACGAACACAAGGGTGCAAGCGCTCCAAATGCTTGTGGGCGTTCCAGGCACGGTAGACAGCTTCTCGGTTGTCACCTTTTGTGACTGTGAGAATGTATAAATTGTCTACGCGACGCTTGGGCATATCCGTGTCGTAGAGAAACTTTGGTGTGCGAAAGGGCAAGACCAAGCCGAAAAAGCAAATCAGTGTGTAAGGGAAAGGAAACAGCCAGCCTGTTTAATAAAAAGCATTAGATTTCATTTCATTTCAATTACCTGCAAGCAAAAAAACGTACCCAGCTTCCAGTAGCAAGACGTGTTCCATAATTTCGTGTCCGTGTACGAAAAGTCCCACGCGTAAAAGGTCAGCAAAAAGGTCCCACCCAGAATAAAAATCAAGTGAAAGAGCCAAGCTTCAGCCAAAATGGCCATGATGAATTTGGTGTTTCCCTTGTTTGTGCGCTCTCCCGTTTCTTCGAGGAGGGCATACGACATGCCTGGCACATTTGGGTTACTCCTTGATCCACCAATGGCCTTTGGATCCGTCTCTTGACGCGCACCACGGAAAGCGGGACCCGCTCGCGCTTCAGGGGTGTCTTCAACGACAGTTCCATCGGATTCAGATGCGGGAATCATCCCACTGTGTTTGGTATGCCGGCTGCGGGGGCGGTATGCGCGGGTTGAATTTGCTGGGGATGGCCATACTGGGGATAATGTTGGGCAGCGGCAATCTGTTGAGGCGAGAGAGGCCTGTAGGCCTGTTGTGCTTGTGGAGGAGGAACCGCATACCCTGTGATGATGATGTAGTGGCGGTTGTGACGACC